AGAATTTCCACATCATTGTAGCAATATGAATCAAGAGGGACTTTGGGCAAATGGAGCAGTGTCAGAATCAGTGTTTTTGTGCATGTTATCAGCTCACTACAGATTGCTACCTGCGCCCACTTCCTGTCTCTCAGCCAGGAAACCAATGACTTGGCCTGGACACACTACTACAGCCAACCTGCACACTGAGCCCACTGTCACAGCCCTCAGCACACACACGTCAACAGAAAACCCTGGCCAGACCATGTGTTACACTAACATACCATTAAACTAGTACACTAGCATGACCACTACATGTTTAAGGAACATTAGCTGTTCACATGCCTCAACGTTAACACATTTCTGCCAGAAATAGTTTATTTGAATAGTGCAATGGATGGCAGACGTGCTAATAGAACTTGAGAATATATCAACAAGATCCAAACGTGAAGTCAAATTCTGTTTTAAGTAGCCTTAATCCAAAGAGATCTATTTTGGTTGTGTCCTCGATGTGTCCTCTTTACACATTTCCATCGGTTCAAATCACACTAGCAGATTTCAATGTATTTCTTTTGATTGTGAGCAACTATACACCAACATTAACAAATATGAGAAAAGAAAACCGGTAAAGAGATAATAATATAGCATTAGAAATAAAAATAACTTACACACGTTCTTCTTCATAAGCACTTCAGCACACAATGCAGAAGCAGAGTGAGGAAGTGGTAAAGGGTTCAGAAAACCTTGACATGAAACTCAACACAGGAACTTGATCAGCCAATCACTTTCGCCAAACACAGCAAAGTTACATTTTGAATACATGTCGTGCAAAGAGCAATGTCTATGACCCACGTCACAATTCACTTTGTGATTTTGGCCTACTTTTGAGGAACAATTCAAAACATCAGAGGAGTCAAAAGATCTTGAACCTTTCAACACACATTATAAAGACAAAACAATATCATACAATCTTTCGACAGTGAAACATAAATGCAGCGGGAACACAATCAAGTTATATCTTTATGGCTGAACAAGAAGCCTGCTTCCTCCAGCACGCTAGTAAATCTGCCTGTGTTCACCATTAGACTTAGTCTAAGTGCACTTCTCAAACCATAGGTTTAGGTTGCTTGTTAAACACCATCTTGATGGGTGTTTTGTGTGACCATCTGTCAGTGTTAGTCTACATTTTATGAAGTTTCTGGACAGGCCCATTGTCTCTATTCCAGCTTCCACAATCTCCTCCCGGTCCGATCATGGTCATCACGGAAGCTTTGAGCTCCACCTTCAAGTTGAACCAGAGGCCAACTAAACTTCTGCAATGGATCTCTCCAGCTCTTACTGCCCTCTCTTTCCCCAAGACAAGATAAGATCATTTAGGTGCAGTTTTGGGAAGTTCAGTGTGAAACTCAGAGGAAGCTGAAAGTTGGTAGTAGTGTCTTTCTACACAGTAAGTGTTCCTTAGTCAGCAGTTATAATATGTTCAGTGTGTTCATGTCCGCCCTGTCAGTGTGGCTGTGTTGCCCAACTTCATGCATCAACAATGGTCTCATACACAGTTGAATACATCTCAGCGAGAGAGTTATGAATGTATCAATGTTATCCTAAAGTGTAAGATTGAATCCCAACCTTCACAGCAGTGAGTTTCAAAAATATTGAATATAAATATACAGTACCAGTCAAAAGTTTGGACACACCTACTCATTCAAGGGTTTTTCTTTTTTTAAACTATTTTCTACATTATAGAATAATAGTGAAGACGTCAAACTGTGAAATAACACATATGGAATCATGTAGTAAGCAAAAAAGTGTTAAACAAATCAAAATATATTTTATATTTGAGATTCTTCAAATAGCCACCCTTTGCCTTGTTGACAGCTTTTATCTATTCCTCCAGATGCCCTGAGAGGGAATAGGAGAGGAATCTAGCAAGCCAGTTAGAACAGGTTAGGAGCTGTTCTAAGATGCATTTTCATCGCTACTTATTGGTTTAGAGCATAGTTTCCCAAACTCGTTCTTGCGGCCTCTCCTGGGTGCAAGTTTATTATTTGGCCCTAGCACTACAGAGCATATTCAAATAATCAACTCATCGTCAAGCTTTCATTATTTGAATCAGCTTTGCAGTGCTAAGGAAAAAACAAACAGTGCACCCCTGGGAGGCCCCAAGACCGAGTTTGGGAAATACTGGTTTAGAGTCATTTAGTTATATAGGCCTGTGTCGTAAAAATTATTTAAAGACAATTTTCCCAAGCAGTTGAGAAATTCTAATACAAAATCCATTACAGACTTACCATAAAATATGCTCCAGATTAAAAGACAAACCTTGAGGAATAACTCCAAACAGCCACAAGGAATAAACTGAGGACAAAAACTAAATCCACTAACAACAAACAAAGACCACTTCATGTGAGAGTACCCAGACATGTGCATTTGGCACATAGCAACTGTCAGCTGTTCAGACTGCCAAAACCTGCTGAAACTAACACTGTGGCTTATAAATCCTTAATTAGCAGTATGTACACTATGGAATTATGTAAATGATGCAATAGATTACACATTTCAATAAGGAATGCATATCATTCAGTTATTTTACCTCTCCTAATTTTAATAAGTATAGCAAATTTTAGTATAAAAGTATTATAGGTCAAACTGAAAATGTTCCAAAGTACAGCACTTTTTCTAAAAGCTGTATTTTTATGAGCACATGCATTTCACTTGACATTATTACAGTAACTGTGCCAAGATCATTGTGTCAAGATCATATTCAATCCTTTGAACAGGAAGATCAGAGGAGCCTCACACACACCTTGGACACAGAGGACAAATGAGAAATCCAATATGCTCCTGAAAATCTGTGTAAAAGCGAAGGAATACCAGAGGGATGACATCATGTAGTGGTTGGATTAGGTACTGTATGTTCCAGTGTTGTGAGATAGTCTGGCAGATGGCTAATCAATATATATTCATTATTGATGAGGCTGCTGCTTCATCTGCAGGAAGTTAGGAACCATTAACTCCTCATCTTACCTCCTGTTGTCACCCACCTCCGACCTTCCTCCATTAATATCACCATCACACCGCCTCACTGGGGACTGTATGGCTGACATTGAGCAGTCTGACCTACACCAACTAAATTAGAACAAAAGAGATGCTTCACCAAGTTCGGATGATAGGATTGTAATGTGTAAAACGCATCTCGATACGTTACCTTTATGCAAGTGGCTGGTCCTATTTTTTAAATTGCAGAATGGGTCAGCCTCTTTGGTTTAGGTTTGAAAATTAAAAATGTTGTTCCTAGGGAGATTTGATTGATTTGTTTCCATCTTCTTAAATGTTATACTGAACATAAATATAAATGCAACATGATAAGTGTTGGTCCGATATTTCATGAGCTGAAATAAAAGATCCCAGAAATGTTCTATATGCACAAAAAGCTTATTTCTCTCAAATGTTGTGCACATATTTGATTACATCCCTGTTAGTGAGCATTTCTGCTTTGCCAAGATAACCCATCCACCTGACATGTGTGGCATATCAAGAAGCGGATTAAACAGCATGATCATTACAGGTGCACCTTGTGCTGGGGACAATAAAAGGCCACTCTAAAATGTGCTGTTTTGTCACACAACACCACAGATTTACATTTTAGTCATTTAGCAGACGCTCTTATCCAGAGCGACTTACAGTTAGTGAGTGCATACATTTTCATACTGATGTCTCAAGTTTTGAGGGAGCGTACAATTGGCATGCTGACTGCAGGAATGTCCAACAGAGCTGTGGCCAGAATGTAATGTTAATTTCTCTACCATAAGCCACCTCCAACGTTGTTTTATTGAATTTGGCAGTACGTCCAACCTGCCTCACAACCGCTGACCACATGTAACCACATTTACATTTTTGTCATTTAGCAGACACTCTTATCCAGAGCGACTTACAGTAGTGAGTGCATACATTTTCATACTTTTTTAGTACTGGTCCCCCGTGGGAATCGAACCCACAACCCTGGCGTTGCAAGCACCATGCTCTAACAACTGAGCTACGGGACCACGCCAGCCCAGGACCTCCACATCCGGCTTCTTCACCTGCGGGATCGTCTGAGACCAGCCACCCGGACAGCTGATGAAACTGAGAAGTATTTCTGTCTGTAATAAACCTCTTTTGTGGGGAAAACCTCATTCTGATTGGATGGGCCTGGCTCCCCAGTCATGTGAAATCCATAGATTAGGGCCTCATTTATTTCAATTGACTGATTTCCCTATATGAACTGTAACTCCGTAAAATCGTTTTAATTGTTGCATGTTGCGTTTATATTTTTGTTCAGAATAGTTATAGAAATAGTGGGGTTGATATTGTTAGTGGCCTTGCCTGACCCAGCCAACAATCTTCTAGACTTCCTCTGATCCTATTAGCTGTTGCGGAGGAGCTTTCACGCAGCTTCCTTATGGAATGCCATCCACATAGTCATGACAACAGCCATGCTCCCTTTGGTGTGGTGCTTTCTTGCACTAGCTCAGAGGATGAAATCATTACATACCACATCATAATACACAGCCTTAGGCAAAAGTAGGGCCCAGTCAGTTATCACCCACATTGATTTGTGACTCAAATTTTTATGAGTTTAAATGAACATAACTTTTGCCTACAACAATATTGCGAGTTTTCATGGAGCGTGTAATATTGGCCATTCCATGATGAAAATGGGCCCTTGCAGCCTCATATGAACATCATATTTCAGTTTGACTACATCATATAACAGCATTATTTCAGATATTGTGACAAGACCAAATACTTTGTATAAGAGAGATTTCATTTACAGAATTAACATAAGATTGGTTATATGGCATAATACGTGTTCAATAGCCAACAGCATGACATCAAGTCGATAGTGAAACTCATGATCAAACACTGATCTGCATATTTATACAAATTCTTGACAATACAACAACAAACACGCATGCACACACACAGTGAGAAGTCACAAATAATATTCAGTACATTACATCGTTTCAAACATCGTTTCACTGTTACATTTGAGCTTTTTTCCCCAACTCCTCATCCCAGTCTACACTCAGATCATCTTCATCAAAGTTGGAGGAGCTGAACATAGACAGGTCAGAAAAGAGGCCTTTAGAGCACAGCTCAAAACACTTTCTCTTTTTAGAGTTAACAGCAGAATCTCCAGCAGGGTTCTGGCCCTTACTGTTAAATGTCTGGAAGTCTTTGTCTCCACTAACACTGGCCTCAGTCCTATCCTCTGTAGAGGCTTTAGCTTGCATCCCTGTCCTCTGCTGTATGCTGGCGATAGCTTGTGTCCCTGTGTCCTGCTGCCCTGCTTTAAGCTCTATGGAGGTGGTTACCTGAGCCCCTGATGTAGGAGTTGTTATTAGGGTTGTAACTTCCTGGTACTTTGTGGTTATGAAGGAGAACCTGGAGAGTTTGGCCAGGGTAGAGGCCGCCACAGTGGGCTTTGGGTGATCTGGCTGTAGTGGGGGAGGGTCTGTGAGGGTTGTTGATGTAGTTCTGTTCACACCTGGAGCCATTCTGCTCAGCAGCTGCTGGCGTTTCTGCTCTGTCCCACGATCCCCCCCATTACCACCTCCCTCTGCCCTGGGACCACTAACCTCTGGGCTCAGGTCACGTGATACCTCAGTGGGAAACTCTTTCTCCTCAGACTGAACACTCAGCCTCATCTTCTTGGCAGCACTTCTGCCCTCTGCTGGCCTGTCTTGGTAACACTGTTTCTCACTCTTTGCCTTTTCTGTTCTCTCTTTCTCTCTCACTGAAGAAAGTGTGTTATGGTTCTCTCTGCTCTGTGTCTTTGCTTTGCTATGTGGATCACTATTCTCTGTGTGAATGTCTGAGCTGTCAGTATCTGGGCAGAGAGGTTTAGCGTGGGTCATCTTCTCTCTGGGTTTAAATGTGAACCCTGTGAACTTAGAGTGCAGTTCTTCTGCCCCCACAGTACCAGAGGGGTCCTGGTCTCCAGATGGGAGGTTACGAGGGACATTGTTCTTCTTTGAGTTGCGTTTCTTCCCTGCTACAGGTGTGCTGCAGGAGGACAGGAAGTCTGCGGAGAAGGCCTGCTCCAGATCTAGATGGTCTATGAGGTCTTTGCTGGTGCTGCCTTCTCCCACAGCTTCCTCTCCCTGCAGAGTCATCTCTCTGAGCCGTTTGCCTCGCAGCTTCTTGGACACCTTCTGTACCATAGAGCAGGATGTGTCTTCCACTGCTGCTGACGCTGTGCTTTTACTGCTCTCCTTACAGCTCTCTACCACCTCCTCCTCCGCAGTTATACTGGGTGTCTTATCGCACACAGGCGCTCTCCCACGCTCCTTGTGTGCAGCGCCGCTGTTGCCTGGCAACGACACCGCGGGGTGTTTTGGCAGGGTTTGGGCCTGCTTTGAGAAGGAGTTGTGGTTGTTATGTTTGGATGTTGTGATGGGTGAAGTGATGATCGGTGAGTTGGTATCTCCTCCCCCCACTGGGCCGGCCAGTGAGTGGAACCAGTCCAGTCCACTCTCTGTTGTGTCTGTTGTGATGTCAGAGCTCCCCGGACCTCTTGTCTGGGCGTTAGAGTTCTTCTCTATGTGATGATAACTGCTGCTCAGATCACTGTGCTGCTTTGCAGGCAGAGGAACACCTTTTTCTGTTCCATTAGGGGAGCCTGGCCCATTATTCTGCAGTCTAAAGAAAAAAACAATGACTCACGTTGTTGGGGGAGTTGTTACAAGTGAGATTTAGTTTGAAATGTTGCACTGTCTACACACAGTATTAGTATTATGATGGTGTAGAAGACAATAAGTTAAAGAATGCATTACTTACAAGCAATATTTACTTTTTGTCCTGTTCTGCAAAGTTTTATCATCACAAACCTTGTTCATTAGTATAATGTCTCACCTTGAGAGCCTGTCCATCTCCTTGTAGAGGAGGTGAGGCAGCTGGAGTCCCTCCAGAACAATTTGACACTGTGTCTGGTACTGCTGACTGGGGTTGTCAGGGAATGACGTGTGAAGAGCATTCACATCTCCCAGGAGAGCGCCCCCCTACGGCAGGCACACACACACACACACCTCACTGAATCTTCACCTTACATTTTGTATTATGTCATGTGTGTCAAGTCATGTGTATCGTGTGTCATGCTGAATGCATTACAATTTACATTCAATGTAACTGTAAAATGTTACATGTTATAAACTGGGTAGTTTGGGTCCTGAATTCTGATTGGCTGAAACAGCATTTCAGCTGTGTGTGTATGAGACAATATACCACGGGTATGATGCAAAAATACTTGTTTTCTGTTCTATTTATGTTGGTAACCTGTTTATAATATCCATAAGGAACCTCGGAGGTTTGTGTTATATGGCGAATATACCACGGCTAAGGGCTGTATTCACACACTGAGCTTCGTGTCGTGCCTAAGAACAGCCCGTAGCCATGATATATTTAAGCAATAAGGCCTGAGGGGGTGTGGTATATGGCCAATATACCACGGCTAAGGGCTGTTCTTATGCACGACGCGAAGCTGAGTGCCTGAATACAGCCCTTAGCCCGTGGTATATTCGCCATATACCACAAACCTCAGAGGTTCCTTACGGATATTATAAACAGGTTACCAACATAAATAGAACAGAAAACAAGTATTTTTGCATCATATCCGTGGTATATTGTCTCATACACCTCTCAGCCAATCAGCATTCAGGACATTATAAACTGGGTGGTGCGAGCCCTGAATGCTGATTGACTGAAAGCCGTGGTATATTAGACCGCATACCATGGGTAAGACAAAATATTTATTTTTACTCTTCTAATTACGTTGGTAACCAGTTTATAATAGCAATAAGGCACCTCGGGGGTTTGTGGTATATATACACACACCACACCCCCTCGGGCCATATTGCTTAAATATACCACATCCCCTTGGGCCTTATTGCTTAATTATTATATTGACATTTAAAAAAAATATATATATTTTACCCCCTTTTTCTCCACAACTTTGATCTTGTCTCATCGCTGCAACTCCCCAACAGGCTCGGGAGGCGAAGGTCGAGTCATGCGTCCTCCGAAACATGACCCACCAAACCACGCTTCTTAACACCCACCCGCTTAACCCGGAAGCCAGCCGCACCAATGTGTCGGCGAAAACACCGTTCAACTGACGACCGAGGTCAGCCTGTAACCGTCCCGCCACAAGGAGTCGCTAGAGCGCGATGAGCCAAGTAAAGCCCCCCCGGCCAAACCCTCGGCTAACCCGGACGACGCTGGTCAAGGCCGGCTGTGATACAGCCCCGATGCCGGGTCAGTAGTGACGCCTCTAGCACTGCGATATAGTGCCTTTGACTGCTGCGCCACTCGGGAGGCCTATTGCTTAATTATTTCATGTTAGAATGTAACAAAGTGTAGCTTCCTACCTGCATTGAGCACTCCATGACAGAGACAACAACAACAGCATCCTCCACAGTGACAGTGTCTCGAAACATCAACCTGGCGTGCGCTGCAAGGATCAGGACAAAGATCATGAGCTTCATGACCACATCATATCAACAACAACTATAGCATAAAACATTCACATAATAAATATGAGTTATAACACTTTCAGTAACTACTAAACTCCTTGGTAACTAAACTAAACCCAAAGGAATTCCGAAGGAAAGACATTAGATGTGTAATCTAAAATGTTGTCCCACCCTCTGCAAGGCGGCTGAGGCTCTCCAGCATGCGGATAGTAGTGCGGGCTGCGTTCCTGCTGTCGCTCTGCCTCTGCAGCTGGTAGTAGCGGGACAGGATGGAGTTGGCCTCCTCAGACACATGCGGCTGCAGCCCCTTGATCAGGCAGAAGTAGGCCTTCATCTTCTCCATGCTCCACAAAGACTCCTCCGACTGGCAGGGAGCTCCTGAAGGGCAGATGAAGGTATTTGGTATTTTATTAGGATCCCAATTAGCGGTTGCGATAGTAGTAGCTACTCTTCCTGGGGTCCACAGAAAACATTCAATAATACTGAACATTAATAGACAAGAACAGCTCAAGGACAGAACTACATACATTTAAAACATCACACATAGGCTACATATCAGTACATACACACAATATCTAGGTCAAATAGGGGAGAGGTGTTGTGCCGTGAGCTGTTGCTTTATCCGTTTTTTTTAAAACAGGTTTGCTGTTCAATTGAGCAATCTTTGATGGAAGGGAGTTCCATGCAGTCATGGCTCTATATAACATTGTACGTTTTCTTAAATTTGTTCTGGATTTGGGGACTGTGAAAAGACCCCTGGTGGCATGTCTGCTGGGGTAAGTGTGTGTGTCAGTGCTGTGTGTAAATTGACTATGCAAACAATCTTGAATTTTCAACACATCAATGTTCTTTATAAAAAACAAGAAGTGATGCGGTCAGTCTCTCCTCTACTTTTAGCAAAGAGGGACTGGCATGCATAGTATTGATATTAGCCTTCTGATTACAGTGAAGAGCAAGATGTGGGGATGTATTTATTATTTACTAGACAGAAGAAAATATACTGAAACAGGAAGGGACTACCTGAAATTGTCCAAAAAGAATAGTTTTTTGTTGCAAAACGTTTTGTCATAATGAATAGGACCCAGCCTTCCATAACCACAACTCTCTGAGTGATAGTTTTGATAATGACCTAGAGCACTATTTAATCTGGGGCGATGCCAGAGAGAATTTACATCATTGGCATTTTCATTCAACATAGCTCTCTTCCTTATACAAATACTGTTATTATGCAAATGATCAAGTGCTGGCTTTCAGGGGAGAGAGATTCTCTTTTCTAACAAAGAGCCTAGAGGAGATCTCAACTCTAATTTGCAGTGTAGCTTAACTCAGCAATATGATATCCCACTGATTCCTCAGATGACCTTTGTAATTGGTGGATATCTCAGGCGCTAAGAGCAAGATTACTATGCTCTACTTATAGAGGACTGGTTTTCGTTTATCTGTTCTGTACTTCAACTGATCACATACAGTACCAGTCAAATGTTTGGACACACCTACTCAATTCCAGGGTTTTTCTTAATTTTTACTATTTTGTACATTGTAGAATAATAGTGATGCTGCCACCACCATGTTTCACCGTAGGGATGGTATTGGCCAGGTGATGAGCGGTGCCTGGTTTCCTCCAGACGTGACGCTTGGCATTCAGGCCAATCTTGGTTTCATCAGACCAGAGAATCTTGTTTCTCATGGTCTGAGAGTCCTTAAGGTGCCTTTTGGCAAACTCCAAGCGGGCTGGTACCTTTTACTGAGGAGTGACTTCCATCTTGTGACATCAAAACTATGAAATAACACATTTGGAATCATGTAGCAAACAAAAAAGGGTTAAACAAATCAAAATATACTTTATATTTTATATTCTTCAAATAGCCACCCTTTGCCTTGATGACAGCTTTGCACACTCTTGGAATTCTCTCAACCAGCTTCATGAGGTAGTCATCTGGAATGCATTTCAATTAACAGGTGTGCCTTCTTAAAAGTTAATGTGTGGAATTTCTTTCCTTCTTAATGTGTTTGAGCCAATCAGTTGGGTTGTGACAAGGTGTGTGTGTGTGTGTGTGGGGGGGGGTATACAAAAGATAGCCCTATTTGGTAAAAGACCAAGTCCATATTATGGCAAGAACAGCTCAAACAAGCAAAGAAAAATGACAGTCCATCATTACTTTAAGACATGAAGGTCAGTCAATACGGAAAGTTTCTTCAAGTGCAGTCGCAAAAACCATCAAGCTCTATGATAAAACTGGCTCTCATGAGGACCGCCACAGGAATGGAAGACCCAGAGTTAACTCTGCTGCAGAGGATAAGTTCATTAGAGTTACCAGCCTCAGAAATTGCAGCCCAAATAAATGCTTCACAGAGTTCAAGTAACAGACACATCAACATCAACTGTTCAGAGGGGACTGTGTGAATCAGGCCTTCATAGTCGAATTGCTGCAAAGAAACCACTACTAAAGGACACCAATGAGAAGAAGAGACCTGCTTGGTCCAAGAAACATGAGCAATGGACATTAGACCGGTGGAAATTTGTCCTTTGGTCTGGAGTCCAAATTGGAGATTTTTGGTTCCAACCGCCGTGTCTTTGTGAGACGCGGTGTGGGTGAACGGATGATCTCCGCATGTGTATTTACCACCGTAAAGCATGGAGGATGAGGTGTTATGGTGTGGGGATGCTTTGCTGGTTACACTGTCTGTGATTTATTTAGAATTCAAGGCACACTTAACCAGCATGGCTACCACAGCATCCTGCAGCGATACGCCATCCCATCTGGTTTGGGCTTAGTGGGACTATCATTTGTTTTTCAACAGGACAATGACCCAACACACCTCCAGGCTGTGTAAGGGCTATTTTACCAAGAAGGAGTGTGATGGAGTGCTGCATCAGATGACCTGGCCTCCACAATCCCCCGACCTCAACCCAATTGAGATGGTTTGGGATGAGTTGGACCGCAGAGTGAAGGAAAAGCAGCCAACAAGTGCTCAGCATATGTGAGAACTCCTTCAAGACTGTTGGAAAAGCATTCCAGGTGAAGCTGGTTGAGAGAACGCCAAAAGTGTGCAAAGCTGTCATCAAGGCAAAGGTTGGCTATCTCAATTATAACATATATTTTGATTTGTTTAACAATTTTCTGTTTACTACATGATTCCATATGTGTTATTTCATAGTTTTGATGTCTTCACTATTATTCTACAATGTAAAAAATTGTGAAAATAAAGAAAAACCCTTGAATGAGTAGGTGTGTCCAAACTTTTGACTGGTAGTGTATATAATATATGCCATTTAGCAGATGCTTTTATCCAAAGCGACATACAGATCAATTCACGTCATTAATTGACCAGAGTCCTACCACCTGTTTCTCCAGGGTCTGGACCAGTTTCTATGATTATGAAGCCAAAACGCAGTGGTCTAAAAACTGGTGGATCTCAACACCCTAGCTCTTCAGTAGTAAGAGTGCACAGAGCCTGTTCTCTCGCTCTCTCTATAAGGACTCTGTATAAACACCTTTATTGTGCAGTATGAAGGAGGAGATGATACGGTCCCACTCAGGGTTCTTGGTGTCCAGTAGGACCAGGACCAGGTCAAAGCGGCTGAGCAGGGGGCTGGCCAGGGCCACGTTGACCGACACAGGCACGTTGGGGTCGTACTGGCCCTTAGGGTTGGTGGCAGCCAAGATGGTGGTCCTGGTGTTCAGTTTACACACCATGCTGGGTGGGACAGAGAGAAATAGACCCCACAAAGTCAATGAAGGAAATAGAAAGACATGCTTTATGCACGTCAGTCATTATGACCCTGCTTCAGCCCATAACAGAAGTGAGTGCAAGGTAAGATTTTTCCTTACCCTGCCTTGGCCACACTGATGGTTTGCTGCTCCATGGCTTCGTGGATGCTGGTGCGGTCGTGCTCTTTGATGCTGTTGAACTCGTCAATACAACACAGGCCTCCGTCAGACAGCACCAGTGCTCCTGCCTCTAGATGCCACTCCCCGGAGTCCTTCACTGCTGCCACCGTCAACCCTGACACACAACACACACTCCATTTTTGACTACTATAAGTGGTTATTTCAGTGATTCCTCTAAGCAAAGTTAACTGTATCTGATGAACCAGCAGAGGGCAGACAGACCAGCGGTAGTGGAGCCAATCCCAGCAGTGAGGACTGACCGGGGAGTGATCTTAGCAGCGTACTTCAGAAACTGAGACTTCCCTGTGCCTGGGTCTCCCACCAGCAGAAGATGAGACTCGCCTAAACCAGAAACAAATTACAAATCTAGAATCAGATATTAACATGGGACACCAATAGAGTTGCAGTATGTGAGGTATGTAAGAGAAATTGGCCCACATTTGGAACAAGGATACATACCTCTTACCTTAGTTCCAGAAGGATCTATTCTTTGCACCCCACCTGCTAACACCATAGCAACAGCTAACTTCACTACATACATTCCAAACACTTGTGGGCACAGGCTCATGAGAATCTGGTTCCTGCCTTCAGAGAGAACATGGAAAAAGAACACCAATCAAATTCCATAAACATTTCATGTCCATCTTATCTCATATAGTATTTAACATGTAATAATGACCATTAAATTAATTGAAAAGTTGTATCTAAATCTATATGGCAACAGTTTTAATTATGGGGATTGAGGAAGTATTACAGTTTAGGTATTATGTACCAGTTATAGGGTCATGTTTGTAATTGTCCCAGAACTCCTCAAACTCCTTCTGCATGTCCTCCAAGACCAAAGCTGCCATGGTCTGCTCATTGTTCACTTCAATGAAGTTGGCTTTCAACACCAGATCCAGTTCACAGCGTGCTTCCTCGTACAGGGGCTTCCATCGCTGACGAACTACTCCATACACTGTCACATCATCACCTGAAAAAATGTCATCACAAATGGTGATACAGTACCTTCAGAAAGTATTCATACCCCTTGACTTATTCCACATTTAGTTGTTACAGCCTGAATTCTAAATGGATTCAATATATTTTTTATCACCCATCTACACACAATTCCCCATAATGACAAAGTGAAAACATGTATTTCAATTTTCTTAGCAAAAACAAAAAATACCGTATTACCTTATTTACATAAGTATTCAGACCCTTTGCTATGCGACTCGAAATTGAGCTCAGGTGCATCCTGTTTCCATTGATTATCCTTGAGATGTTTCTACAACTTAATTGAAGTCCACCTGTGGTAAATTCAATTGATTGGACATGATTTGGAAAGGCACACACCTGTCTATATAAGGTCCCACAGTTGACAGTGCATGTCAGAGCAAAAACCAAGCCATGAGGTCAAAGGAATTGTCCGTAGAGCTCCGAGACAGGATTGTGTCAAGGCACAGATCTGGGGAAGGGTACCAAAACATTTATGCAGCATTGAAGGTCCCTAAGAACACAGTGGCCTCCATCATTCTTAAATGGAAGAAGTTTGGAACCAACAAGGCTCTTCCTAGAGCTGGCCGCCCGGCCAAACTGAGCAATCGGGGGTGAAGGGCGTTGGTCAGGGAGGTGACCAAGAACCCGATGGTCACTCTGACAGAGCTCTAAAGTTCCTCTGATGGGAGAACCTTCCAGAAGGACAACCATCTCTGCAGCACTCCACCAATCAGGCCTTTATGGTAGAGTGGCCAGACGGAAGTCACTCCTCAGTAAAAGGCACATGACATCCCACTTGGTTTGCCAAAAGGCACCTAAAAGTCTCTCAGACCATGAGAAACAAGATTCTCTGGTCTGATGAAACCAAGATTGAACTCTTTGGCCTGAATGCCAAGCGTCACGTCTGGAGGAAACCTGGCACCATCCTTACAGTGAAGGATGGTGGTGGCAGCATCATACTGTGGGGATGTTTTTCAGCGGCAGGGACTGGGAGAGCCAGAGCCCGGACTTAAACCTGATCGAACATCTCTGGAGAGACCTGAAAATAGCTGTGCAGCAACGCTCCCCATCCAACCTGACAGAGCTTGAGAGGATCTGCAAAGAAGAACAGGAGAAACTCCCCAAATAAAGGTCTGCCAAGCTTGTAGCGTCATACCCAAGAAGACTCGAGGCTGTAATCGCTGCCAAACGTGCTTCAACAAAGTACTGAGTAAAGGGTCTGAATACTTATGTAAATGTAATAGTTCCGTTTTTATATTTTTATAAATTAGCAAACATTTCTAAAAACCTGTTTATGCTTTGTCATTATGGGGTATTGTTTAATCAATTTTAGAATAAGTCTAATGTAACAAAATGTGGAAAAAGTCAAGGGGTCTGAATACTTTCCGAATGCACTGTATCCTAGAAACATACTAATCCCTTTAAAAACATTCCAATTCATCTACTGTGATTTCATCTTGGGTGAAAGACAATCATATGGTATTGTGATGTTATCACACAAAAAATGACACCACAATGTAACATCCGTACATCATACAGTATTATGAAATCATTGGTAATACATCACAATGTGGAATTCCAATACTCAGTGATGTCACAATCTACCTAACACAATGATGTCGCCCTCTGCAAAACAAATTTAAAAATGTAAAAATTCCCATAAAACAGTATGACATTATCCTTTATGTAACAATCCCAACTGTGATGTAATTTCCAATACAAATGTCAACTGTGATATCATAGTGACAAGTGATGTCATAGTGACCAATGTTACCTGATTTACAGCTGTCTACCAGATCATCCTCCAGAATGACCACCATGGAACGAGGAATACTGCCCACAGACAGCCTCTGGGCCTGGGCACACAGAACAGCAGGGAAAGAGGGGCGCAGTTTGATCAAATATAGGCTTACAATGTGTTTTCAGATGTTATTCAACAGGGTTATACAATGTGTAGACTATAATTAAAACAAACAGTGCTAGAGCATCTTAACCCCCAGTCAGTGAGTCACCTGCTCCTGGATCTTAATCTCCTGGTAGTCCCTGCAGGCTGCCGGGGTGGAGCTGCCTGACAGGCACGTGAACTTGTTGGCGTTACAGAGGTCCTGGTTGGGGCAGCTGGTTGGGGGGACGAAGCTGTAGAACTGCTCAAAGTCAGCCTGCAGGGAGAACACGTGACGGCACTTAGAGCACATGTAATCCCTCTCGTACTCCAGGACCTTGGCCACACTGGTGCGGATGACCGTGCCCGTGACGGACAGGAAGTGACCAGCGTCCCGAGACTTGGGGATGTTCTCCCTGGTGAGCTCCGGACACACAGGAAGACCTGAGGCGTGATGACATACAGCAATGCAGAGGGAGGTTAGGGTTATGGACATCAAACAGACCAAGGAGCACTGGACTAGACATCAAAACAATGATCAGAATTGACAACACAACTGCACCATCTTTCTTGGAATGCAAAGTTCAGCATTCCCTGTCATGCTCAATATAAACCACCAGATGGGGCTATCTACCCACTATTGTATTGAAGAGAGATGTATCGCTTGCATCTTGCACTGTGTTGCATGGGTCAAATTAAACAAGTGGGAGATTTTTAAAATAATGAAACATACTTAACCTATTACATAGCCTTACTGTACATCTGTCAAGTAGCCTACAGTATTTTATTGGATAAAACTACCTAATGGAGAGAGCTCTAAGGGAGAAGCCTTCTTCTTTTGTAACAGGAAGCTTTAGGCCTAAGCAGTGACCACTGTGAATCCACAGCAGACTTGTGAAGTCTTTCTTCCTGATACATCTGTGGACTCGCAGACACGGTCAGTGTAACATTTTATCCCATGCAATACTCCAGCCCACCAATGTTATTTACATTTACATTACATTTTAGTCATTTAGCAGACGCTCTTATCCAGAGCGACTTAAAGTTAGTGAGTGCATACATTATTTATTTATTTTTCATACTGGCCCCCCGTGGGAATCGAAACCACAACCCTGGCGTTGCAAACGCCATGCTCTACCAACTGAGCTACATCCCTGCCGGCCATTCCCTCCCCTACTCTGGACGACGCTGGGCCAATTGTGCGCCGCCCCATGGGTCTCCCGGTCGCGGCCGGCTACGACAGAGCCTGGATTCAGTCAGCGTTCCAATTCATCCCAAAGGTCTTTGATGGAGTTGAGGTCAGGGCTTTGTGCAGGCCAGTCAAGTTCTTCCACATCGATCTCGACAAACCATTTCTGTATGGACCTCACTTTGTGCACGGGGGCATTGTCATGCGGAAACAGGAAAGGGCCTTCCCCAAACTGTTGGCACAAAGTTGGAAGCACAGAATAATCTAGAATGTAATTGTATGCTGTAGCGTTAAGATTTCCCTTCACTGGAACTAAGGGGCCTAGCCCAAACCATGAAAAACAACCCCAGACCATTATTCCTCCTCCACCAAACTTTACAGTTGGCACTATGCATTGGGGCAGGTAGCGTTCTCCTGGCATCTGCCAAACCCAGATTAGTCTGTCGGACTGCCAGATGATGAAGCGTGATTCATCACTCCAGAGAACACGTTTCCACTGCTCCAGAGTCCAATGACGGCGAGCTTTACACCACTCCAGCCGACGCTTGGCATTGTGAATGGTGATCTTAGGCTTGTGTATGTATGGCTGCTCGGCCATGGAAACCCATTTCATGAAGCTCACGACTAACAGTTATTGTGCTGACGTTGCTTCCAGAGGCAGTTTTGAACTCGGTAGTGAGTGTTGCAACTGAGGACATATGATTTTTATGCGCTACGCGATTCAGCACTTGGCGGTCCCGTTCTGTGAGCTTGTGTGGCCTACCACTTCGCGGCTGAGCCATTGTTGCTCCTAGACGTTGCCACTTCACAATAACAGCACTTACAGTTGACCAGGGCAGCTCTAGCAGGGCAGAAATAAAACAAACTGACTTGTTGGAAAGGTGGCATCCTATGACGGTCCCACGTTGAAAGTCACTGAGCTCTTCAGTAAGGCCATTTTACTACCAATGTTTGTCTATGGAGATTGCATGGCTGTGTGCTCGATTTTATACACCTGTCAGCAAAGGGTGTGGCTGAAATAGCCGAATCCACTAATTTGAAGGGGTGCCCACATACTTTTTTAAATATAGTGTATTATCATCTCTCTCCAACTGGCATCTCAAACAATATTTACATTTTCCGTCCACATCTTCAGCATATATTGGTCTGATCTTAAACATGGCCTTGTAGCAGTAACATTCCCCACCAGAACACACACAGTTACATCACCAAGGGCCCTGCTACTATTTGCTATGCATTCTACATTCACACCATGTAACCAAATCAAGGAATAGCATATGAGTCAAGCACATCATCTGGCTATTTATAACACTGCTCTCTGTACTAGTGAGACCCCAGACTGCAGTACGCAATGGCTAAATTAATTAGATGTGAAGGTTGAGCTACTCTGCAAGGCCGGCAGACAGACCAGACAAGGTCAATCATTACAGATTATTCCCATCTGACTAGATGTCTGTGCTCTTTTTTTATAATCTGCATATTAAATCAGGCCAATCGATGTCAACCCGTTCCAGGTGCTAAACTAATGGTGTTGGTAAAAGTGTGGCAGCCCGGAGGTGTCGGAACCCATAGTGCGGCTGAGTCTTCGGCTGCGTTTACACAGACAGACCAATTCTGATCTTTAGCCCAATTATTGGCAAAAGAGCTGATCTGATTGGTTAAAATACCAATTAGTGGAAAAATTATCAGAATCGGGCTGTCTGTGTAAACGCAGCCTTATTGCTAGAGACAATGTGCATTAGAAACCCTCATTGACTAGCTACAGTTTCTCTGGGCCCCACCTCAGGTATCCACGTGTCAGCCCAGGAAATCAATATTGGGCCTGCTAAGAGTGATATATTGGGCCACGCTGAGTCTCCTGTTTCAGTCTCTTACTGCCTACTGTTCTCCTGCATTTCACAGGCAGACATTCTTCCCGAGTCAACAACCACAGACAGATACCTACACGGAGACAAGATGTTCATAATGTTCTCATTAAATCCTGCTGGCCAGTGATGGGTATACTGTACCTCCTATTGTGATTATTATCATTATCAAGCTGCATCAAAAGGATGCTAATGTTTGCCACTGGACACGTGATTCAACTATCTATGATGAGGAGCTCTAATTGTGTCTGTCTGGAATTAAATGACTCCTCTGTTGCAGAGGGCAGACTGATGAGGTGAGCCTCCTGTAGAACAAGTGAAATTAACCAAAAAAGTAACACTGCGGCCTAAACCACTCCAGGCACTGTTTTAATGGAGCTCTTCAAGACAAAGTGCATTGCAATTAGACAGGGAGGACAGCCACCCACTAACTCACAAATATATATCTCAGACGTTACATAAAGCTACAGCAGCAGAGGGCCATAACTATGTACGAGGACAATTCATTCAGAGAAGGGAGCTGAAAGAGCTCTCTAGCCTCTCATATTATTGACACAGATGCTCAAGTCAACCTCTCTATGCACTTGTCTTCATGTAAATAAAGAGATTGGATAACTAATTAGAAATAGCAATAATTATATAAATTAGAAATAGCAATAAATTATAGCAATAACTTCAACTTGCTCTATGATAGGCTAGGTGGAATGAATTTACAACATACTGCTTATCTTTTCAGATCTATACAAGTGCCTAGGAGGTAGGGGGCTAGCGGTCAATTTGGAAGTGGGTAAGAGCCTCTTACCTGTGATTCGGGCATGCAGGTGGTGTTTGACATTGTGCCACCTTTGCTGTGTAGAGTTCTCTGACACTGTCTTGGCGGCTCTGTGAAGGGTGTTGTCAAAGATGTTGATGACCTCGCTGGGGTAGGCATTGAAGTAGTCTCCCACCTCCATGTTGGCTTCGAACAGTGTCATGGCGTTGATGACCACCGGGTAGTGGGCATCCTCATCAGGCTCCTGAAGGATCTGCAGGATGTCACTCCTGTGGTACTCTGTCACATACGCCTCAAACACCTGCCCTATCAGAGCTACCTGCTCTGGGTTTATCAACATCCTGGATCTGGAGGGGTGAAATATGCTTTAGCTCATCTGTAGTGTCTGGCTAGTAAACTGAAGGTGACATTGGTAGTAGTGGCAAAGCCAGAGAGATTGAAAAACAAAGAGGTCAGCAATTTAGTTGCAGAGGTGAAGTGGTGCTGACACTATTTTTGATAACTCAGGCTAGTGAAGTTATTAATAGTAGCTGCGGTCCACGCGCATGAGACGGAGCTGTACTACGACAAAGATTTACGAGATACAGTCGCTTCAGATCAGATGTACGCTTATGGACCAGAGCTAGTGTGGCCTATTTTGGAGAAACACCTAGCATACACTACCGTTCAAAAGTTTGGGGTCACTTAGAAATGTCTTTGTTTTTGAAAGAAAAGCAAATTTTTTGTCCATTAAAATTACATCAAATTGATCAGAAATACAGTCTAGACATTGTTAATGTTGTAAAGGAATATTGTAGCTGGAAACGGCTGATTTTTAATGGAATATCTACATAGGCGTACAGAGGCCCATTATCAGCAACCATCAGTCCTGTGTTCCAATGGCACATCGTGTTTGCTAATCAAAGTTGATCATTTTAAAAGGCTAATTGATCATTAGAAAACCCTTTTGCAATTATGTTAGCACAGCTGAAAACTGTTGTGCTGATTAAAGAAGCAATCAAACTGGCCTTCTTGAGACTAGTTGAGTATTTGGAGCATCAGCAATTGTGGGTTCGATTACAGGATCAAAATGGCCAGAAACAAATAACTTGCTTCTGAAACTCGTCAGTCTATTCTTGTTCTGAGAAATGAAGGCTATTCCATGCGAGAAATTGCCAAGAAACTGAAGAACTCGTACAACGCTGTGTACTACTCCCTTCACAGAACAGCGCAAACTGGCTCAAACCAGAATAGAAAGAGGAATGGGAGGCCCCGGTGCACAACTGCGCAAGAGGACAAATACATTAGTGTCTAGTTTGAGAAACAGGCGCCTCACAGGTCCTCAACTGGCAACTTAATTAAATAGTACTGCAAAACACCAGTCTCAACGTCAACAGTGAAGAGGCGACTCCGGGATGCTGACCTTCTAGGCAGAGTTGCAAAGAAAAAGCCATATCTTAGTCTGCCCATCTTAATCTTTTATTGGACAGTCTGAGATATGGCTTTTTCTTTGCAACTCTGCCTAGAAGGTCAGTATCCCAGAGTCGCCTCTTCACTGTTGACGTTGAGACTGGTGTTTTGCGGGTACTATTTAATGAAGCATTTTAAAATGATAAACTTGGATTAGCAAAAACAACGTGCGATTGGAACACAGGACTGATGGTTGTCTGATCAATTTGATGTTATTTTAATGGACAAAAAAAATGATTTTCTTTCAAAAATAAGAATTTCTAAGTGACCCTAAACTTTTGAACGGCAGTGTATATAGAGAAATGTTTGTCAACACTAACAACATTTTTACTTTGAGTTACGAAAGTATATTGAAGCCAGTCACTAAACAAAGTTGGAAAATAATTGCTCTATGCCATGGAGAGATAAGTGTAACGCCACATAACACGATGGCCCAGATCTGGTTGTTTGGCTAACGTCAGCTAGCTAACAGGGAGGCAAGTTTGACAACAGCTACACATGATTCCAAAATCTAAATGCAATCTTCAACAACTTGTACTATGTATTAGCAAACAACATAACTTAATACATACCCTATTTTATTTTAAGTGTTTTAGTTTCTCTACAGCTGAATATCAACATAAATCCCACGGACATGCTAAGCACTTTGGTACTTCCCGCTGGATTCACACACTCTTACTTCCACAGGGGGTGATCAAACTATAACATGAAATAAACATCATAGTAATGTCTGAAAATAGTCCCTATGAATGAAATACTACATTTTAAAATCAACAATAATATAATGGAAAATGTGTCTTTCACAAAAGAATGTGAAAAGGCTTTTATGGAAGGAACCCCCTATCTTCTCTCACTTGGTAGTGTCTCGCCTATAGCAAAATAGAGTGCGCAGCCACAAGGTCTTCAGATTCACATGCCACTGCAGGTCATGTCTAGAAGGGCCGCAGCTAATGTCAAAGTGACGTCAAAACTTGAATTTTCCAGTCGCGTCGGGGAGAATTTAGCATTTTAGCTACTATAACCCTAACCCTTTTCCTAACCTTAACCGAATTCTCATAATCTGCTACGTTAATTATTCTAACCGGCTACGCAAAGCCCATTGAGAAAGTCATTTTTGACATTAGCTGCATCCCATTTAGTCAAAACCGCCACAGTAGGACCAGAGCCATTCAGCGCCTTCTACCGGCTCTGCCCACAGGGGTACAACTTTTGCATCACCTGAACACAGTAAAACCTGTACATACTATGACCTAAAACATTGTGAAACACATCATAGAGTTAATTTTTTTTAAATCCATGAACCTTATCATTATATATTTTCTGCTGAAGTTGGGATTCTATGGCACAGAGTACTGTATGGTACAAATCACAAATCATACATAAATTGAAAGGCCCACATAATTGACAGCACACAGATGAGTAAATGTCACAATAATCAGTATTTATTAGTTAACCATATACAGTATAATATAAATATAAAATATGCAATTTATTTTTAAAATTGGTGAGACATCATTATATCTGTGTTGAGACAACCATACAAACAGTTGAGTTCTACCAAAATGTATTATGCTGCTGTAACAAACTATCATTACGGTGCCATCCTAAAATAAGGTACAGAGAGAGGACAATTTACTATATACTGTATTCAACAAATGATAGCAGCATATGCACCACTCTTTAGAAACGGCAAAAAAGAAAAACGTCAAACATACTCATCGGCACTGTACAAACAAGGAACCCATTCACAGTGAAGTATTCAACAGAATGCAATGGAGTGGTTGATCATTAAATAATATGTTGTTGTTTTTTAAAGTCTTTTTCATTTCATATGGTTGACATGCTCTCGAGTTGCAAAAATCAGAAGGTGAAGTACTGGGCGAACCACTCCTGGCGCTGGGGGTCTGGGGATCCTATGGGTGACTCCTCTGTCTCAGGAGGGCTACACAGTGGGGCACACACCACAACAGCAGCAAACAGTTATACAATACAGGACATTATTGACTAAGAAATCCTTATTGCACCTCAGGGTTGAGAGTAGTTTTATTCAATTTAAAGGCTCTGGGTTTTATGCTTATGTTCTGTGTTTGAAGTCGGTGTAGTCATCCATCCAGTTCAGAGGATACAGAATGGGATTTTATTGAGGCAGTATAGCTATAGATTTGATTATCTGCTCTCGAGTGTAAATGCTTCCTTGAAAACAATAACATTTCTGTTGCACTAATCAGCCTTTAACTGTGTTAAGTTTGCTCATTTTTAATAGAGCCTGTGGTTGTAATAACTCAACCATTCCTGTTTTACATGATCATCCAGCCATGGGGTTTTGTGAGATTGAATTACAACAAGACCATGCAGTTGTTAATCCTTGACTCAGGTCCTTGGGGGATTATGCTCTCTTGGTTATACAAATATGTGAATGCATCTATTAAAAATCCTGAATACCAAATAGTGTTTGTTCTCTTCATACTCTGTAGTTTCTGAAAAGCAAATCCAATAATAAACTCAAAGAAAGAATGTGAGAGGGAAAATGTATTGAAAGACCATAATCTTGCCTATTGTGGTTTGTTCTATGCAGTCTGTCCAAGATGTAACCTATTCAACCTAATGCATTTCACTGGGTTGCTGGCTTGACCATAACCTTGGCATTGGAAATTCACAATAAACACCAACAAACCTCACTGTATTATAACATTGCAGCTTTATTCCACATAAAATAACCTTTGCTCTTTGCTTATAGGGCTGGATATCCTTCTGGTGTTTGTCTGGCTGACTGTCTGTCTGGATGACTTGCTGACTGACTGACTGACTGGTTGCCTGGTGTTTAGGGCCCTCCCTCAGTTTCTGTCCAGAGGTCGTAACCCGTTGACGGGCACCAGATGCCTCCTATCTAAGAAGGGCTTGACATCCGAGGGTCTGGAGAGCCAAAGAAGAGGAGAGGATGAGTGGGAGGAGAACTCTAAGTGAAATGTCAGAACAGAACATACAGTAATAATTAGAAGCCCTCTCCTCTCAACAACTACAGTGCACAAAGTGTTCAAGATTAAAATCTCTGTGATATATGACTCATAACTTCATATTGCAGTTAATATTTGAGAAAAACAAAGGCAAGGAGATTGCAATATGGGATCTGAAAAAGAACTATGTAACTTAAGACACTTTCAAGTTTTCATTTCCTACCATGGCTATTTACACAGTTGTCATGTCAAATAACAACCTCTAAACTTAAAGGTTGTATTATACTGAGCTGAAATAAAATATCCCCAAAATTTTCCATACGCACAAAAAGCTTATTTCTCTCAAATGTTGTGCACAAATGTGTTTACATCCCTGTTAGTGAGCATTTCTCCTTTGCCAAGATAATCCATCCACCTGACAGGTGTGGCATATCAAGAAGATGATTAAACAGCATTATCATTACACAGGTGCACCTTGTGCTAGGGACAATAAAAGGCCACTCTAAAATGTGCAGTTTTGTCACACAACACAATGTCACAGATGTCTCAAGTTTTGAGGGAGTGTGCAATTGGCATGCTGACTGCAGGAATGTCCACCAGAGCTGTTGCCAAATAATTGAATGTTCATTTTTCTACTAAAAGCCGTCTCTAACGTCATTTTAGAGAATATGGCAGTACTCCCAACCAGCCTCACAACCACAGACCACGTATAAACACGCCAGCCCAGGACCTCCACATCCGGCTTCTTCACCTGAGGGATCATCGGAGACCAGCCACCCAGACAGCTGATGAAACTAAGGAGTATTTCTGTCTGTAATAAAGCCCTTTTGTGGGGAAAAACTCATTCTGATTAACTGGGCCTGGCTCCCCAGTGGGTGGGCCTGGCTCCAAGTAGCTGGGCCTATGCTCTTCCAGGCCCACCATTTCCAAATATAAACTGTAACTCAGTAAAATCATTGAAATTGTTGCATGTTGCATTTATATTTTTGTTCAGTATATTATCATGACTAGATGACACAAGACAAATGATTAAACACAGTCTACACTCTGGTAATCATTCTGCACTGCACAAACTGTACTGCTCTGACTGAGCTAAACATGTCTGAAGTTTTAAATTAACGACAGGTGGCTTCTTCATTCCGTGCAGAACTCTTTATGTCACTGAAAACTATCCTAAAATATCTCCTCTGCAATCATTCTCTCCTTGGTCTCAGTAGCCTTCATTGCAGCAAATCCAATTTAATGCTCAATTGAACACGCATTCTGGTCTGTTAATTACCAACTTCAGATCTAGGGAACACCTGGGCTGAGACAGACAGGGCTGACTTCAACAGCATTAGAATCTAAAAGCAGAGAAATAGCATAAGCATGCATACTAGTGTTTTCCATAGAGAAAACTAAATTAGGTATGCAAATGTATATGTATGTAATTTCTATTGCTATATTTGTATTCTGGTATAGGCCTCCTGAATCGAAATAGGGCAGCATTTAAAGGGCACTGCATGCACAGAGATAGAAGTACATTTATATCATCTTAAAACAGATGTATAATACATGGCATCATAAGTGTGGTATGTGCTGCAGTAGAGAGGTACTGTACAGTGAGGGAAAAAAGTATTTGATCCCCTGCTGATTTTGTACGTTTGAGCACTGACAAAGAAATTATCAGTCTATAATTTTAATGCTAGGTTTATTTGAACAGTGAGAGACAGAATAACAACAAAAAAATCCAGAAAAACGCATGTCAAAAATGTTATAAATTGATTTGCATTTTAATGAGGGAAATAAGTATTTGACCACCTCTCAATCAGAAAGATTTCTGCCTCCCAGGTGTCTTTTATACAGGTAACGAGCTGAGATTAGGAGCACATTCTTAAAGGGAGTGCTCCTAATCTCAGCTTGTTACCTGTATAAAAGACACCTGTCCACAGAAGCAATCAATCAATCAGATTCCAAACTCTCCACCATGGCCAAGACCAAAGAGCTCTCCAAGGATGTCAGGGACAAGATTGTAGACCTACATAAGGCTGGAATGGGTTACAAGACCATCGCCAAGCAGCTTGGTGAGAAGGTGACAACAGTTGGTGCGATTATTCGCAAATGGAAGAAACACAAAATAACTGTCAATCTCCCTCGGCCTGGGGCTCCATGCAAGATCTCACCTCGTGGAGTTGCAATGATCATGAGAACGGTGAGGAATCAGCCCAGAACTACACGGGAGGATCTTGTCAATGATCTCAAGGCAGCTGGGACCATAGTCACCAAGAAAACAATTGGTAACACACTACGCTGTGAAGGACTGAAATCCTGCAGCGCCCGCAAGGTCCCCCTGCTCAAGAAAACACATATACAGGCCCGTCTGAAGTTTGCCAATGAACATCTGAATGATTCAGAGGAGAACTGGGTGAAAGTGTTGTGGTCAGATGAGACCAAAATCGAGCTCTTTGGCATCAACTCAACTCGCCGTGTTTGGAGGAGGAGGAATGCTGCCTATGACCCCAAGAACACCATCCCCACTGTCAAACATGGAGGTGGAAACATTATGCTTTGGGGGTGTTTTTCTGCTATGGGGACAGGACAACTTCACCGCATCAAAGGGACGATGGACAAGGGGACAGGACAAGGCAACAAAGGAGTGGCTCAAGAAGAAGCACATTAAGGTCCTGGAGTGGTCTCCAGACCTTAATCCCATAGAACATCTGTGGAGGGAGCTGAAGGTTTGAGTTGCCAAACGTCAGGCTCGAAACCTTAATGACTTGGAGAAGATCTGCAAAGAGGAGTGGGACAAAATCCCTCCTGAGATGTGTGCAAACCTGGTGGCCAACTACAAGAAACGTCTGACCTCTGTGATTGCCAACAAGGGTTTTGCCACCAAGTACTAAGTCATGTTTTGCAGAGGGGTCAAATACTTATTTCCCTCATTAAAATGCAAATCAATTTATAACATTTTTGACATGCGTTTTTCTGGATTATTTTGTTGTTATTCTGTCTCTCACTGTTCAAATAAACCTACCATTAAAATTATAGACTGATCATGTCTTTGTCAGTGGGCAAACATACAAAATCAGCAGGGGATCAAATACTTTTTTCCCTCACTGTATGTGGTAAAGTATGTGGGGGTGCATCTGTTGCTTAGTGGAAACAGGGTCACCTTGACAGGGGCTGAGACAGACAGGCCGTGTGTGTGATGCAGTGATGGGAGCGTCCCATGACAATGGAGGGCTGCCCCGCACAAATCTGCCACACTGACTCATCTGCAACTTATTTACATACAGCGCAGCATGCAGCAAGGGTAAGAGAAACCCAAAGCACAGAGAGGCACACAGATGGATAACAAGTGCAGCAATAGGCAGAAACCTAAGCACCGGGTGAGTGCCAGACATCATAAGCTAGTACAACACATGCACAAGAGAGTATCACATTCACATGTGTGCTTATTACACATGTACAGAACTATAGCTGGAAACACAACAACGAGCAAAGCAATGCCAAGGCACGAGAGAGAGAGCGGTTTATTGATGAGACGGGAGAGTGTCGTTGTTATTATCGAAGGCTTCACACATCACCACACACAGAACTGTACATGGTGAAAAAAATATCATCACCAATCTATATTACACAATCAGACTTTCCTCATATACAAATCAAATAATTTCACATCAAGGCGGACAACAAAGTGCAGTAAGTGCAGCATGCCTGGAGGCCGATGAGGATGAGGGGGTTTAACAGAACAACAACATATCACCAATGAGTTGTAGGCCTATAACTTCCAGAACAAACAGAAAAATACACAACACAGAGACACAAAGAGACACAACTCCTAGCATGCCCACTTATGTTAGCATGTTAAGAGTGACGGTGGGGTGTACACATGCTTCTTTTGCATTCCAATGCCATTTTCAAAGCTCATGTATTGCATGGGGCTTTGGAATAGTATAGTAAAGTGTTCATACATCTCCTGGAGTGTGTGTAGGTTCAGATGGAATATCCCTTTGTGTGTTTGAAAAGAAACCGTCAAGTGAAGCCACTGACTTCCTGGTATACAGTAAAGATAAGTTGACAGAGAAGTGGGGGAGTAATTGTGGGAGCTCTGCCTCTCTCCGAAAGCCAATTCTCTGGGGATACAATCAAAGCCTTGCAAAAACTGCAGGCAAAGACAAAAACCATCATGTCCTTCAAATAGAATAGCAATCAAGAGGGAATCCTCAGCCTGTTGGCAACAGGCAGCAGGCAACTTAATCTATTATTCAAGTTAATTACACTTTCAGACTGGAGTGTTTTTTGTTTTTTTCAAGCTGTAATTCCAGATTTCACGCTGTTCTGTTTATCAGAGCGAGGTCTGAGAGAGAGGGGGAAGAACATCAACATCCACCAGTAAGGGTCACATTGAGAAGTTTCTTTCAAAGACTGAAGCCCATCAGAAAGGGATATGGCAGCTGACTGGAGAGGTTTGTATGAAAGCCGCCTATATGCAGCTGTATGGCTCGAGGGTCAGGGCAATGTCTGTTTGTCAGTGTGCTTGTCCCTGGGCCTGCCCATGGTGCGGACCGAGGCGTCAGCGGCGAGGGAGGGACGGCGCTCACCTCATGAATTTCTTGGGCTCTGACGGAGGGGTTGGTGGGGGCAGAGGTTTGCTAGTGTTGAGCTCAAGGTGGTGAATGGGGGAGTTGGGGATTGGCTCTAGGCGGTTGGGCTGGGGCTGCCCGCTCCCCATCCCTGTTCCCGCCGCCTCCAGAGCCCTGAGGTTTGGAGAGCTGCTGAATCGGTTTGCTGATTTGTCATTCTTTCTCTTTTGCTACACAGAGGGACAAAAACAAAAAGAAACGGAAATATGGAGAACTAGTCCAATGAAAAAAAGACTGCTGTGCATATATATTTATATACATTACCAGTCAAAAGTTTGGACACACCGACTCATTCCAGTTGTTTTTTTATTTTTACTATTTTTTACATTGTAGAATAATAGTGAAGACATCAAAACTATGAAATGACACATATGGAATCATGTAGTAACCAAAAAAGGGTTAAACAAATCAAAATATATTTTATATTTGAGATTCTTCAAAGCAGCCACACTTTGCCTTGATGACAGCTTTGCACACTCTTGGCATTCTCTCAACCAGCTTCATGAGGCAGTCACCTGGAATGCATTTCAATTAACAGGGGGGGGGGGTATACAGAAGATAGCCCTATTTGGTAAAAGACCAAGTCCATATTATGGCAAGAACAGCTCAAATAAGCAAAGAGAAACGACAGTCCATCATTACTTTAAAACATGAAGGTCAGTCAATACGGCACATTTCAAGAACTTTGAAGGTTTCTTCAAGTGCAGTCGCAAAAACCATCAAGCGCTATGATGAAACTGGCTCTCATGAGGACCGTCAAAGGAATGGAAGACCCAGAGTTAACTCTGCTGCAGAGGATAAGTTCATTAGAGTTACCAGCCTCAGAAATTGCAGCCCAAATAAATGCTTCCCAGAGTTCAAGTAACAGACACATCTCAACATCAACTGTTCAGAGGGGACTGTGTGAATCAGGCCTTCATTGTCGAATTGCTGCAAAGAAACCACTACTAAAGGACACCAATAAGAAGAAGAGACCTGCTTGGGCCAAGAAACACGAGCAATGGACATTAGACCGTTGGAAATTTGTCCTTTGGTCTGGAGTCCAAATTTGAGATTTTTGGTTCCAACCGCCGTGTCTTTGTGAGACGCGGTGTGGGTGAACGGATGATCTCCGCATGTGTATTTACCACCGTAAAGCATGGAGGACAAGGTGTTATGGTGTGGGGGTGCTTTGCTGATGACACTGTCTGTGATTTATTTAGAATTCAAGGCACACTTAACCAGCATGGCTACCACAGCATTCTACAGCGATACGCCATCCCATCTGGTTTGGGCTTGGTGGGACTATCATTTGTTTTCAACAGGACAATGACCCAACACAAGTCCAGGCTGTGTAAGGGCTATTTTACCAAGAAGGAGTGTGATGGAGTGCTGCATCAGATGACCTGGCCTCCACAATCACCCGACCTCAACCCAATTAAGATGGTTTGGGATGAGTCGGACCGCAGAGTGAAGAAAAAGCAGCCAACAAGTGCTCAGCATATGTGGGAACTCCTTCAAGACTGTTGGAAAAGCATTCCAGGTGAAGCTGGTTGAGAGAATACCAAGAGTGTGCAAAGCTGTCATCAAGGCAAAGGGTGGCTATTTGACAATTCTCAAATATAAAATATACTTTGATTTGCTTAACACTTTTTTGTTTGCTACATGATTCCATATGTGTTATTTCATAGTTTTGATGTCTTCACTATTATTCTACAATGTAAAAAATAGTAAAAATAAAGAAAAACTCTTGAATGAGTGTCCAAACCTTTGACTGGTAGTGTATATTTCTCATTCTCAGAGGATTTATGTGGATGGATGCTTTCTGAAGGTCAAGCTCGTACCACTCAGCTAGTGAAGCAATAATATGTAAATCAAGATGAGCAAAAAGGGATGCATCAAATGAAGAGGCTACAGAAAGTTCACACTAACAAAGAATGGCTTGGTAAGCAAAGGAGAACTGGATGTCTGAACAGGGAGATAACACAGACACCTACTGACTAACCCCCACACACACACACACACACACACACACACACACACACACACACACACACACACACACACACACATATAAATGTACACAAACACATTATATATAACACTGAACCAAGATATCGGAAGTTATAGAACTTGAAATGGAGTCAACAGTTACATATTGACCATGCAGAGTGATCCATTCAACTGGGAGACAGGGGATTGCTGCATTTAGATTGGATTGGGACACAACTTCTCTTCACTAACGGATGGAATGATTCCAATGGAAATCAAGACTAAGAATATGTGGAAAGGCAACTTAAAATCTCCACTTCAACCATTTTCTACAATGAGGTACAGGCTAGTGGTTTAGGCTTGTAATGATCGTGATGGTTCCCTAAGGGTTTCAAATTGTCACCTGACGCTTTTGGTCTTGACAAAAAGTGAAAGATTAGTTCAGATTAGCTACATGGCTCTAATCAACTGGCAGAGCCTATACTCTATGGAGACGTAATGCACATGGTCAGTGTTAGTCCCCTGTCTGTCTGTCTGTCTGTCTGTCTGTCTGTCTGTCTGTCTGTCTGTCTGTCTGTGTGGTGTGCTAGTGTGCAGCGGTCAGCTCACCTTGATAAGGGGATTTATTACACCCACGTTGGGACTGGTGTTGAACACTTTGTTGAAGTTGGTCTCTCTGTTCACCAACTCCAGCTGGTAGAACTTTTTATCGTCCTGCATGTCAACAGAAATATTTCAGTTAGGTCATGCTTCTCTGGGTTATTGATGGAGCATCTCACACCTCACACTCTAATTAAATGTATATCATGGGCTTAAATACCAGTACAGTATGATACAACCTTTCTAGGCAAGCTCTAGTGCTATAGATACAGTATACTGAATAGCTGTCTTCAATGCATTGTTGGGACTCAAGGGCTGTAACATACAAGTCTGGTCTACTATTGTTTGGAGGTAGACAGGCATGCAGGCTCCATGTCTAGGATTGTTGGGTAAAACCACACAAGGGCATCCTGTAGGCCATCTTGTACTGTGTACATACACTTACCACCAGCTTCTTGACGAGGGACTCCCTCTCAGTCACCATGTCCTTTAGCTCAGCGATCACCTGCAGGTCCTCAGGCCGGCTCTCCCTGTTCCGGAACTTATCCTCCGTGCCCTCCAGCCTGGGGAGAGGAGGGGGCCATTAGGGCTCTGACATCTCACAGTTTCCTCACAGCACAGTGTGAATCAGGTATCAGTGTGGAAACAAAGTTTTGTTTGTGTAACGTGATGATAAAAGTGCCTTGGATCAGCTTGAGGATATGAGCATACACTGAGGGAGCATGTTTTGAAAGCTTCCCTTCCATCATCTGCAGATCAACACTAACGAATTAGCTTTTAACTCTCCTACCTTTAATCTCATTATCAGAAAGCCTATTAGTGCTTGTGTATTACTATGATCAAAACACTAGAAACACTACATGTTGTTCTGAATTCCACTTAAACTTCTCAACAAATAACGAGCGCTCTTTAGAAGAGTGATCAAAGCCATCTGCCTCTCCACAGTTTTGTGCTGCCTCTAATTTGAGATTGAGGACTTTAATATGCTGAGATATTCCTCATACTCTAAACAAGCATCCATCATGTCCAGTTTGGCATGACTTCCTCAGCACTACAGATGTGGAATGACAAGTGATACCAAACTCTCCATCAAACTCAGATGCAAGACAGGGACAGGAAAAATGCTTGAATTAGAGAGGGAGCATATTGGATATCATGATAATTGCTTCTGTTACACTGCTATGCATCAGCGATCAGTTCATTTGTTGCTTAATTCACAGTACCAGCATCTACTACACTTTACTTCAGTGTCACGTTTTACTATAGACTCATCTGCAGCTCTACAGATGCTCCAAACACAAGCCATGTGAAATCAACATGTTGCTGCAGTGCAGCCTGGGAGGCTGGTGCTGGCTTGCTTTTTTATAAATATATCATCGTCATCAGTGTTGGGGAAGCTACTCTGAAAATATAGTTTACCAAGCTACCAATTACTTCACACTGAAAGAAGTTAGCTACACTAAAGCTACCCTTAAGAAAATATAGTTGACTTATATAGAAAATATAGTTGATAAATTATCATATCTAAATCTGATATGTAATAGCCTACAAATTGCAAGAACAGATCACTCTGGAGTCAGTTGTTAACAGAATGTGTAATTTGGCCTATTAAACACAAAAACGATGTTTCAAGTGAGAATTAGGCAGGCCTGATGCCGAAAAATAAAGGAAAGTATTGCCTACTTCACCCATATTGTATTTTAGCCCAAAAAGTAGTGTGTATTTCCAGTAGTTCCAGTAGCTAGATGATAAAAAGTAATTTACTACTGAAAACACCACCTAGATTTTAATTTAGTTCAACTATCACCAATCTACTGCAAAATGGAGTTTAATTACTAGTTGAACTATATGTAGTTCACTATTCCCCAACACTGATCATTATCACACACCACTCAACTCTCCAGCGACATAACTCAAAACAGATGTGACAAACTGCTAGGAAGCACTAAAACGAACAACAACCAATCAGACAACAAACTTGTGTTGGTTCCCAGGGGTTTAACCAATAGGACATGTAATGAGGTAAAATATTCATAGAGCTTAAATGGCGTAATATTTAGAGGTGGCCAGGGACCGGCTTTGGGCGAACGAGGCTGCCATGGTGATTAATTGGGGAGGGGACAGGGGCTGTTGTTAAAATAGATTTGTGCTGTGCTTAATTAGCAAGCAGTAAATTGTCAACCTCAAGGTAAGGCCTTGGAAACTAGTCAGAAAATTGAGAACGACAGGGGCTTGGACCAGCATGAAATTGTTGGTTTTAGAAAGGTTAGCAACAAAAAAAACAGTGTAGGGCTAATGTGAACAATTTTTACAGGATTGTACTGGATTCTGTTTGTCAGTCAAATTTAGTTGAGGAACAAAAAATGATGTTTGCTTCACTAGCATTTCATTTTGAAAGGTGTGATTGAGCCATGAGAAGATTTGGTGGAGGACATCACAGATGCTCTCTCTGCAGTAGCTGGCTTTGTCTAGATGGTGCTCTCATTCATGTTAAACTAAATTAGGTCACTCCCCAGTCCCAGGATCCTCACTGAGGCCTGTACATCTGTTCCATCTAACTCTCTCCCTCTCTCTTTCTCTCTCTCATATCCCAAACATATGTATTATAGAGAAAGCTGCCTGTTATTCCTATGATCATTACAGTATCTCCTTGGATCTATTCAGAGTAGTTTGCAGGGGATGTCTATGTTCATATTTTCTGGTGTGTACTGTGTGTGTACCGTGGTGTCTTGAAAGCTAGGGGCGCTGCACACCCAGCTGGAGGTTTATCCCAAGTAGGACACTGCTGCTGATGGACAGTGTTTGTTTGTGTGTTTGTGTGTGTGTTTGTGTGTGTGTATGTGTGTGTGTGCGTGGGGTGGGGGATTGAGGACACAGTCACATCCACGCAGCACAGTGGAAAATAAAACTGGTCTGTCAGATCTCTCATAAAAGGGATGGACCTTCCCAATGGGCCATATTCACCTCCGGAGATCATGTGCAGCCAACCGCTCTCCCCTCTTGAATCCATCCCTTCCTTCCTTCCATCCCTGTATCTGTGTGGGGCACTCACCTCTTCAGCCTGTGCTCTGCCAGGGACTGTGGCCTTTCATCATCTGCCAGGGATTTATATAATCACACTATCACATGTGCTCTCATCTCACAGTGTCTCTCTCTCATTATGCTCTCCTCTCCTTTCTTCTCTCTCTCCGTTCTGCATTTCCGTTTGTGATGGTGAGGAGCAGAGATGATAAGCAGCAGTGTGGCGGTGATATAATCGGATCTCCCCAGAGAGAGAGCGCCTCTCGCTGAGTCTCTCTCTTCTCTCATCTCTCATCTCTCGGCCGGGTCTCTCTCTCTCTCTCTCTCTCTCTCTCTCTCTCTCATCTCTCGTCTCTCTCTCTCTCCTCTCTCCTCTTCTCTCTCTCTCTCTCTCTCTCTCTCTGCTCTCTCTCTCTCTCAATTTCAGTTTTAAGGGGCTTTTATTGGCATGGGAAACATATGTTTCCTCTCTCTCTCTCAATTTCAGTTTAAGGGGCTTTATTGGCATGGGTAACATATGTTTACTCTCTCTCTCCCCCCCTTCTCTCTCTCTCTGACAAGACCTAGATCACACACTCATGCCCAAGCCCACCCACACACACCTCATCTGCTATGTTCCCTGCACACACATACTGTACCACCTGCAAACACATATAGTGCTATATCAACTACATACTGGATGTAATGTACGTACAGGACTTGCAGAGCAGAGATCTTGTCTTTGAGGAGCTCCTGGGCCTTGTTGAAGTCACACAGCATGTTCTGAGTCTCTCTGTTGTGCATGGCGTTCATCTCAGCCATCTCTCGCTCGTGTTTCTTCGACAGGTCCTGTTCATGAGCCCTGATGAGAAGAGACCAGACCATTAAAACCCATTCAGATCACATGTCTTTATACACCTCTCCAGCTCTAAGGCTCTAAGTCTCCTGTCCAGAGGTGTTACAGTATCCTAACTCGGCACACTTACCACAGACACATTCCTTTTGATCCTGCTGGAGCCATTAAAATTTCATTCATCTTTGACTTTCCTTCTTTTCCTGACGTAACCGTCATTTTGTTTCCAAGAAAGACATATATAATTTACAGCAGGAGTCTCTGGAGGAGAGGTATCACTGTTTCGCCATAAGTGGAAAACACTCCTCTCTATTTACGTATTGATTTCTTTTGATGTGGAACAGATAGACAGGACTCTTCCAAGACATTACACCAGCTGATTGAAATTCCCTGCATTGTAGCGGTGACTCTCTCTTTCCCCTCACTCAGAGCTACCGCAGTCAGAGAGAGAGAGGGAGAAAGGGAGAGAGGGAGAGGGCTTGGGAGCACGAGGTGTGCAGAGGAATAAGTTTGCCTCTCCCTGAGTAACACTCCCTGAGGGACACAAATCTTTTCCAATTTATATATTTATTATGTTTTTTATATCTCAGGAAACGAGGATTCACCAGAGTGTTACATAATTGGAAGTGAAACGTGCTCCACAAGGGGCCTGGAATCCTACCATCGATATGTGTCGTTGACGCCACACATGCACACATTCGCGGCTGCAAACACACATACACACTAACCCCATGTGCTTAGTTATCTCTAGCGCTAGAAAAGCGTCAGCATCCATTTTTGATTCGTCAACAAACAGGCCTTCAATTCTAATGAGAGAGAGCCTGCCGTTCGTTCCATCCAGGCCTCAGACCACATTATTAATGACTATAAGAGTGAATTATTAATATCAGCCTGTGGGAAAAGCATGATGATGGATTATATTTAGGCCTTGCCCCAAATAACCCTGACTTTCATATTTACATATACATTTATTTGACCATTAAAATAGAGGAGAAAAACTAATGTCAAAAGGACCAAGTCATCAAAGGGAATAACAGTCCAGAAAACAGGGCTTCCAGAAGGGAGAGGCAAATTGGCCTGCTCTCTTTCTCTTGCCAGTATCCTTCAAATGTAATCTAACTCAAAAACGATGCCAGCACTGCCAATGGCCAGCGACTGTCACTTCTAAACATGAGGAATTCACACAACTGAACTTCTCGTGTTGTGATTCACCAGTCATCTGAATGAACTAAACGTGCTAAAAACCTTCATCGTGGCCATATTAAAACGAGGTACAGGCATTCACCTGCAGAGATAGCATACAGAGATTCACCTAATTAACTTTGGCAATGCACCAGAACAGCTTTACTGTAGATGACCTGTTATTGTGTCAACCCTCCTGTGTGTCCCCCCATAATGCCCTGTGGTGGGGTCACGACCCTGCCCTCTCCTCCTGCCCTCTCCTCCTGCCCACCTGATCTGCTGGTTGGCCTCGCTGCGGATCTTCAGCACCTCCTTGCCCTTGAGCTCCAGCTCCTTGGTGAGTGTGTTGATGTTCTCGTTCAGTGTGTGAATCTCATGGTCCAGCTCAGCAATGTGGTTTTTCCTCCTTACCACCTCCTCCTGCAGGTCCGAGATACGGCCCAGCAACTCCCTCTCCTGAAAGGGGAACAGGCAGACATACAAAGGCACAAAGGAACACACACACACACACACATTTATATGTAAACAAAAACAAGTTAAAAAAACACACGTTTGAGTTAGCATTTGATCCCACTGGCATGTGCTGCTGCGCTGTCCCCTTGTATTCCCAGGGGGTACAGTGATGCTTTCTGACACAATCTTTACAGTACCAATGGATGCTACAGCTTTGCCATGGATGCTACAGCTTTTCCATGGATGCTACAGCTTTTCCATGGATGCTACAGCTTTGCCATGGATGCTACAGCTTTGCCATGGATGCTACAGCTTTGCCATGGATACTACAGCTTTTCCATGGATGCTACAGCTTTGCCATGGATGCTACAGCTTTGCCATGGATGCTACAGCTTTGCCATGGATGCTACAGCTTTGCCATGGATGCTACAGCTTTGCCATGGATGCTACAGCTTTGCCATGGATGCTACAGCTTTGCCATGAGCACAGTCACATGCCATGGCATCACTCTACCTCTCTCAGAACTAAATTTGGACTTCACTGAACACGTTTGTTGTGAGGTTGTTAATATTGATGCTGATACGTCTCTTCTCTAAATAGATATTCTATTAATAAATAAAGTGCTGACTGTGCTGCTTGTATTTGTTTATAGTCAGTACGAGTTACAACAACGTGTTAGAGGACTGTTATATCGCCTGGAAAAGGTTGCATCCCAGGAAAAGGTCATCTCCTGACTATTAGCTCAAACATGGCTGCTCCGGTCTGGTCCAGTCAGGGTCAATTGTACTGAAAACATACCGGAAACCATTCACTAGAATACATGTATTTAGTCAATTGTTCAGTATGTAATAGGGACAACGTTGCCTTCTGAATCTAGACTACTCTAGACTATTATCAGTCTCTTTCCCAAAGTTGCGTAACAGTTAACTCAACAGGCTGATATATCAAATGCAAACATCTCCTTTTGCCCAGGCAGAAATCCATGTAATTACTATAACTCCAGCCGAGGTGTAGATTTATCATGCTTTGCTTGGCTCAAGGATCATTTTCCACTTCATCAACAGAAGCTCTTTTAGAAGTTCCTCACTCTCTAAAAGAGACATCTAGCTAACAGTTCACGCAGCATACCGTCAAGCCAAACTCTGGTATTATAAAGTTAATGGCTCTTGTGTAATCAGATTACAATCTGCATGTATTAACTTTGAATTCCTGTAAATATAATTTCATGCCAGCGGATTATTGTGATAACAGTATTATAGTTAATTAATGTGTGAGCCACTGAAGGGGGCTGGTTTCAGGGGACTGGCTCTCTCTCCTCCATAGAAATGTGTTTCCCCGTCCTCTGCCTAACAGAGATTCACTGTGACATTTCTGCTGCCTCCTAATCTCCCCAGTGGATACCTGTTTGGCTTGGAGGCCCACTTGATTGACATGTCTCTGCATGGTTGGGTTGTGGATTTCCACAAGGACAGGTAGAGAGGCAGACAGTGCCAGCAGTGGAGAACAGAGTTAAAAGGCTAAACATCAGTGTGGGGAGGGAGTTTGTAGCTAGGTTCTAATTGGCACTTGACCCTATATTTGTGTATGCCGTGGCTGGTTAGGCAAGTGTGTGTTCGTGTGTGTGTCCATTCATGTGAACGTGCGTGCACGCAGGCGTGTGTGTGTCCATTGGTGTGTGTGTGTGTGTGTGGGCTGTGAAGTGAGACAGTGGTGACAGCTCTATTAGTAGCACTGAGACACACAGTGAGGACCCTCACGCTGACTTGCAAGGTGCTAGAGGGCCAGTCTAAATACCACTGACTCTGTTACGATGACACTATAGAATAGCAATATTCATTGTCCATCTATAGATGGGAATTCTGTTGGAGAGCAAATTCTATGGTGGAACCATTCAAGCAGCACTCCTCAAAATCAAACCAACTCAAAATCAGCCCCTTCTCTGGGTGGCACTTTTCCAGGTCAAAGGAAGCTTCAAAGGCTTTGGATAAAATGTCACAAATTAGCACTTCAGTTTTTAAAGCTTCCTCTGAGGGTCTGGTGGGAAGTTGGTAGATGGAGTTCCCACTTCCAATAATCACCACATTTTATCTCTGATCTTTGACAAAATATATATGAAAAATATTTCCTTTCTGTGGCTGGCTGAGAGTTAGTTTGACAGTAGTGTGACTGGAGGTGGGTAGAGGGTACAGTCCAGTGGTCTGGGAATAGACAGGTCTCAGCGAGGAGTCTACTGGCCTCGTGAGGTCTCTCTGAGCCCAAGCTCCCCTCTCTCTATCTCTCTCTCTTCTCTCCCTGCTTCCACAGGACTGTCTGTCTCTACAGTTTCAGAGCAGGCTGATCAAAAGGCCAGCCAGAGTACAGCCTCATCATTAGGGCTGGAAGCCTGGTACAGAGAGAGAGAGAGAGGGTCAGCGAGAGAGAGAAGGTCAGCGAGAGAGAGAGAGAGAGAGAGAGAGAGAGAGAGAGGGGGGGGGGGGGGGGGGGGGGGGGGGGGGGGGTCAGCGAGAGAGAGAGAGCTCAGTCACTAGAGGGAAGCAGTCAAATCCTGTCTGTGAAGCCGGAGTGATTGGGGGTACTGAGCCCACCACCCCCCCCCAGGCCACATCACAAGGCTGGGAGGTATGGAGGCTGCTGCCATAATTCCATTAGTACAAGAATTGCCACGACCCTGAGGGAGGTGATCACGAGCCCTAGGACCAGACAAAATCTTTCCTTCAGCCTCCAGAAATGATGAGATCAAGTATACAGTACCTGTAGTTTGAATTCAAATCATTCCCAATACTGCTACATACAGATCTTAATTTGATTGTATTGCTGAGAAGGCAGATGATCTTCGTGATTTACATAAATTAACTGAAAACCCACATTAACACACATATATGAAGAGAATTGCACTTTTCATGTAGCCTACTTTTGGCCAGCTAATAGCCTTACCAACATTATGGACTAAATGATCCAATCCTGTTGCTGCAGGATTATTTTGCTCTGACAATATAGGTCAAATTAAGATCCTACATCTGTAGCAGTTCTATTGATCCCTATACAGATGACAGTGAAAAGTTATACAAAAAAAAAGATTAGCTGTGGATGAGGAGCCATTAGCAATGCTTCAATTGTTGGAGATTCATTGAGCATAGGATTTCATTAAGAATTGAGGAATCAGTGTGAGGAGATTAGATATCAGATACACAAAACATGAGAGGAAATATGGCACAGATCTCTCCATAGTAATGTACGCAAGCAGACACACACACACACACACACACACACACACACACACACACCATACCATACCATACCATACCATACAGAGATAGGATGTACCAGGGGAGTATAGAAAATAAACATTCTTCAGAGCCATTTGTCTGTCAGAAGTTGAGCATTCGTCTGTGGGGACAGCTGATCATTATCCTCAGCAAATGCAATTATACACACAGCAGACCAGTCCTGCTAATTTCATTAAACGAGCCAGCACCGTCCATCTCTCAGGGGCCACAATTAAAGCTAAGGCAACACAGCGCTCAGCTGTGTTCCACAGCTCAACACAGGGAGTTATTTCTTAGAAACCACTCTCTGTCTCCCAGAAAGAGGACGAGCAACACTTTGTAGCTCTCTTCAGATGGCCCCAACCCTTTACAGTCTGCCAGGGATGCTGGGCTAGTGGGGCTGTTCAAAGGAAAACAACACGGTCGGCGTTGCTAAGGCCCTTTGATTAAGGCGCTGAAGGTACATGTTTATTCTAAAGATCAGAGCTTTACCATTTACTGGGTAAAACCACAACACATGTCCATAAAAGACAACAACAGCCGTACAGTCTGGGAGACATAACTGGCTGCTGTGATTAGCATATTTGTATAATTAAATATGAATCAATGTACGGTTAGTATGGGCATAATGCATTTAAATGATGAAATGATTAAGAGTCCCACCCACGCGGGAGGGATGGCTCAGCAGCTAGTAAATCCTGCAGTCAAATGGGACATAGAGAGAGAGACGGGGTTGTGTCCTGACATGTCTGACTTACTGAACACACAGACAGTCTGAAGCAGAGGGAAAGAGGGAAACCACCAGGAAGCCTGTTTATCCCATGTGAGATGTCCGAGGTATTGAGTGTACTGTGGTGCCTGGAAATGGCAGCTACAGTATATAGGGGATGAGAACAGACCACAAAGGAGGTCGCACATGCCCCATGGTAGGGATGGGCATTTGACATTTTTTTTACTGTTAGAGTACTCAAATATTTTTTTAAATATATAATTTAGAACACAAGGCCCGCACTGGAAAAACATATGTGCGCATTTATCGATAGGCCTATGCCAACAGTCTGCAACAATGCCTAATTTACCATAACAGATAAGAAATCCTAATTGCTAAATATATATCAGTCAGTCTCCAGTATCTATGCTGCAATAGTCTATGTGCCGAGGGGCTAGGTTGAGTCTTTCCTATCTGGTTTAATTGTCCTGTCTTATCTGGTGTCCTGTGTGAACTTAAGTCAGAGTCTCGGCTCGTCTAGGGAGAGGAGAGGAGAGAGAAGGCAGAGGGAGGAGAGAGAGCGCAGAGAGAGAGATGCGAGAGAGATTAGAGCGAGAGAGAGAGAGAGCGAGAGAGAGAGGAGAGAGAGGAAGAGAGAGAGAGAGAGCGAGAGAGAGAGAAGAGAGAGAGAGAGAGAGGAGAGAGCGAGAGCGAGAGAGACGTAGAGAGAGAGGATGAGAGAGGAGAGTAAGAGAAGAGAAGATGAGAGAGTCACTAGAGGAAGCGAGAGCGCTCGCGCGGAAGCGATCTCTATACGGATAGATCAGCTCTCTACTATTCTAATATCCTCATCTCTCGATATACTCGCTCATCCGCTGCTCTAATATCTCTCTCTCTCTCTCTCTCTCTCTCTCTCTCTCTCTCTCTACACGAGCTAGAATGCCACCTCAAAGACCTCAATATATTCCCTCTTTTGTTTTCCAGGTATCCTCGCATCCTAACAGGAGGTGGATCACACATTGACATTTCTTACTGTAACACATTTCTGCTTTGCTGCCGCTGCTATTTTCCTCATCGTCGGACAAAAACAAAAACAAAACAAAAACCCTGTCATAACCCTGACATTGTAGCCTGCTTCTGTTGTGATAGGGGCCTGTCTGCTGTAAGAGCTTTAGATGATTACTGTGTCACTGTGGAAAGTGAACCCGCTTGCACTGCAGTAGGTACCCTGGATCGTATCTTGTTTTATTTGGCAGGTAGAACTGTATTTGCCTTGTGACCTTGCTGTAGACTGACTAGCGTAGGAGTAGGTCCCCTCAGAAACAGCTGTGTGCCTGGCCCTGAACATCTGGCTCTGCCATGGCGATGAGTGAGGACCCAGGGCATTAGACTTATTCGAGTGATTCATGCCTGAGATGAAGAGCACGTTGACAGGAGCTGGGCCGGCTGGGCTGGTATTATGTGAGGTAAACCTACTGCTCTCTAACTGACACATCAGCTTAACCCAGCCTCCCCGTGTGCAATACCATCTTTTAAACTGCACATACTGTAAGCTGGCTGCGGCATAGCTATTGGTTATGTACAATAGGTAATAGTTAAGCCCCCTTGTTTCTGTGAATACCGCATGTGTTAGTGTTATAAAGCACCCAGATTTGTTGCAGAATGTGGAGGAATCGGGAGCAAATGGATGATGTGTTGAGCAAATAAAATATTTTTTTCTCTGGGTGTTTTTGTGCTTCATCTTCATTTGCTTTCTTAAGTAAATCTCGCTGCGGGACACCATGGCCTCTTACTGTGGAGTGTGTGTGTGTGTGTGTTTGTGTGTGTGGGAGGGAAGGAAGGAAAGCTGTCACTTGTTCTCTCTCTAGAGGCCAGCACCCCAGGTTCCAACCCACTGATGACTCTTGCTCAAGCTGTATCTATCCAACAAGCCACACAGCTATTCAGATGTGTGAATATACAAGCAACAGAAGCCAGAGTGGAGAGGAGAAAAGAGGGCTGTTGCCAAGGGAGATATTTCTCTTCTATGGGCATTAGTTCAAAAACATTTCAGTCTGTACAATAAAAGGCACAGAAGGATTATCTAGATTTGAAAGTGTGTGTGTGGGCATATACTCGTTCTCCTTTTTCTAGATCATTATCTATCCTCATTCATTGAGCTAATGTCTAACCTCATTGTTAAGCCACTACACAAAATTGCCTGCTGTTAGGGCGATTACAAAAGTCTAAATCTTTTTTTACAATGCTGTTGTTCATGGCCAATATCCAATCATACTGTAATACAAACTAACGCTGGCCCATCCATATTGTTTCCATGATCTCTTAGCTAAGTGATATGTGGAATGCCAGTAAGTCCCGGTGACTCCCGGTGACTCTGACCTGTATCCGGCTGTTCTCCAGGGCGTTCTCCAGTTCCAGACTAGCTGCAGCCGTCTCCTGTTGGTGGGTCTGCCGTAGATGCTCTATGGCCGAGGCATGGAGGTGGTTCAGCTCAGAGCGCAGAGAGGCTAGGAACCAGAGAGAGAGAGAGACAGACAGGATCCTTAGGGAAGCGTCTCTAATTAAAACACATTCATCACACAGTACATCTCCTGCCTCTAATAAGCTATGTGATGGAATGTTCCAGTGTTGACCTTGATTCCTAAAGGGAGTGGCGGGCTGTGTTTAACAACACTAGCTTCCAATGACTTTTTCTAAAGGCTACAACCAAGTCTAGCATTTACCTAGAACGGTCCTCTATTACTACATATGGCCTTTCTCTCTCAAGGTCCTTACTCAGCATGTAAGGGCATTAGCCTTTACAGCATGGCTTTCGTTATTAGGGCTTTGACCCGGTGTGGCTCCCTCCCTGCCAGGGCCCTTAACCCAGTGTGAGACCCTGTGACCATTCCCCATCAGACCCTAACCCAGCCTGGCTCTTACCTAGCATGGCCTTGCCCTCGTCCTCCAGCTCGAAGCGTAGAGTCTGCAGCTCCTGCTCTGACTGCTGTTTGAGCGTCTCTATGCTGTGTCTGTGGGCCTCTCTCAGAGACTGGAGCTCTATGTGGTGCTGCTGCCGCAGACGATGCTCCAGCTCCTACACACACACACAGAGTTCAGAGGTCAGGAGGGACACACACAGGTTAGGACAAGGACAAACAAATGACATACAAATCTTTGTATATAACTTTTTGGCACGGATAACCATTATTTCCATCGCTAGAAGGGATAGTCTGAAACATATATGAAGAGTTCAGACAGTAAAGAGAAAGATCAGTTTGGGAGAATCTGGCAACAGCAACAATTAAACTCAACCAGTATGTTGCAGTGGGACTAAGTGTAGTTCAGTAACATAAGGGCCGAGAGGGACTCAGGCAGTGGCATGGCACCAGGGAGGGCCTTGCATGGGGCCAAAATACATATTTTAGACATTATTGCTGAACACTATAGAATTATATTACAATCAATTAGTACTTAAGTATTTCATCAGCAGCTTGTTGCGGCTATTGGAAGGCTGTCCTATGTTTTCCACCAACAACGAGCAAAACAGCACACAATACGCCACTCTAAACTCAATTGAGTAGACAGAGAGCCATTAACATGGTGAGGATAAAGTCACAGTGACATAAAGTAACACTAGACACCTGCTACTTCTCAAACCTCATGAATACGCCTTTCATTTCACACTATAATCTCCATTCATGGGAGGGAGGGAGGGAGGGTGTAGAGAAAGAGAGAGAGAGAGAGAAAGAAAGAGAGAGAGAGAAAGAAAGAGAGCGAGACAGTGGCCACAACACCAGATTGATAGGGATAAAACACTATTAAGATGGAAATAGAAAGATAGAATAGAAATGATTTCAATCAACATATGACTTGTATAAGACCAAATCAAATAGGCCTTACAGAGTAAACAGGAATAAATCAGCGGTGGAATTATGTTCTAGAAATTCTGTTTGTTGAATGCTGTACCCAACAGTTAGTGGTTGAGCCACATCAGTGTGAAGGGTGTGTGTGTGTGTGTGTGTGTGTGTGTGTGTGTGTGTGTGTGTGTGTGTATGTGTGTGTGTATGTATCGGCACAGTGTCCTTGTGGAGAAGGAAAGGTTTGGTCATGTCAGTATCATTCTAATGGCCGTCAGTGGGGACATTCTGTGCCTGGGCAGCAGGTCCTCTAATAGGCAACTGCTGGGAGAATTCAATAGAAAGCAATGTCCCTAACCTCAGTGGGGGAAGAACCCCGTAGCGACAGCAGCACTTTTAGAATAGATAACAAGCTAAAGTCTCCCATCGCCACATACAAAGTTCCATATCAAACCATGTAGAAACATGGGAGTTAGAGGCCTCTGTAGGGAATGGCTATGTTGCTACTACAGTAACAAGGCTTATTTGAATGCGTATTTCTCGGAGTCTATATAGTGTAGTATCTAGATGTTCATTGTTAGGCTGGTGGTCCTTGGGTCGTGTTTGTGTTTTAGCTCATTCCTCTGTGTGTTCGTTCATGTATTGGTTGACAATGGTATGGGACCAGGCCAGTAAATGATCTATATATCTATAAATGATGATATATATAGCCCTGGGTCTGTTAAGTCTGTGTGCCCAGACTCATTAATGAACAGTTAGAAACACATGTAGTGGGAAACAGCCTATTTCCTTGTGTGCCTATTCATTCAGTTGATACTGTCTGCAGCCTGTGCACGGATGAGAAATAAGATTGAATGGAGAAAAATCTATAGCTTGCGAGAATCCCAAGATACACCGTATTGTGTGTTCATACCAGAACTAGGTGATTTGCAGGAAATGTTTTACTGTGAAAAAGTAGATTGGATGTTAAAGTGAGCATTATATTATCATTGTATAACAGAGCTTGTCATGCAAATAGATACAATCAGGGGATATGTGTTCCTCCTGCAGGCAAGGTGAAACTAGAATTGTCCCTAATGCCTCAAACAAGACAATTCCGTTTGCTTTACTACACTTTAAATGCCTTTTTCCTCATAAAACATGTCCAGGACAAACTAAACCTGAATACATTTATCCCCGCAAAGGTTTAAACATTTAAACAACATCTTTGATTCAACCTTGCCCCTATTTAAGAGACAACAGCTATTGAGATAAATGTGTTCCTAGGAGAGGTATATTTTCTCATTTGCAGACAGGAAAGACTTTTCGGCCCATTCAATCGCCGATGACTCATGGGTCTTATGCTTCTAATCCAATCTGTGGCTGGAGAGGTGAGACAGAATGCTCAGGGACAATGTGTCAGCTTTGCATGACCCCTTGACATAAACTCCATCCGAGGGTTTTAGAATCTCAAACAAAGCATCAGAGTAAGGTTAAATTCATTTCAAAATGGCCTGTTGAGTGCAGAAAAACACATTTGTTCCCTTTTCCTTGGAGAGAAAAGGTTCAGTGTTAGAAAATGTGAATGTCCTTATATCTTTCGGAAGTCTGTATTTTAATGTAATGGGTCTTTTCTGGATTGATAAAGGAGTTCTGATTTACACTTCAACCTTGATTATGAAATGCCCAGACCAGTATTGAGATGTCAGTGTTTTGGGGTACAGTCAGTAAGTCTGTTTTATGTAAAGATGGAGAGCTGGGCATATCTGTTTTGTCACAAAGTGGTACCCGCTCTTTGGCTATCCAGTATTTATTTTTTGCGAGGAGCAAATCCAGCTTGCTCCAGCTGAGATTGTGCCACAGTGAACCCAGCAGCCCAGGTGCGTTTACTTAGTCAACACCAGTGAATAAATGAACAGAGCCAATCGTCTTCCTGACCTAGACCTCCACAGTTAACCCATGCATGAGCCTGGCTGTCAGTCCGCCTTTCAAGTATGAACACATAGAACTACATTTATGACCCGTGCTGATCAATATAGCCCCCTCTTGCTACATGACACTCTCATGTCCTATAAACAGCTCTATGAGCAGAGAGGCTGATTTAAAAAGAGTTGGATCTGAGCATGAAGTTACTGAATATGCTAACACTGGGGCTCCTGGATGCGACTGGCTTATGGACCAGAATGTATTGCCCCCGGCTGTGCTGACAGCAAACTCACCACCATCTGAATTACTATTACACAGATGCCTCGCCAGATTCCCCAAATATTCCCATAATATTACATTACTGCACTACATTACTCATATTTAACGCCCTGGGACAATATTAGCTGTGTTGCATCGTAACTCCATCAAATACTATGCTGCTGCTGCTGCTCTGTAACCTATTTGTTTTAAAGTGCGAAGAATTGAAAAGCAGTGTGTCCCCCTGACAGCAATGATTCAATCAAGGCCAGGTCCAAATCACTGATACACTCAGGAGTCAACTGCTCTACGTCTCTGGTAATGTTGATGGACTCACTGTTGCAAAAGTCCATCTGGCCACGTCACCAGCTATTTCACCAGTAAATCTTCACTGTCTCTCCTCATTCTCTGCTCCTGACTGATATCCAGTCTTACTGACACTTCGGAGCCTACACTGGCCCATAATGCCTCATATCTAATCTAGTGCTCTAAAGTCACCAGATGGGAGCTTTCACACAGACAGTGATTCTAACCACTTGTAAGCTGACAGAGATAATACGTAAATAAAGGGAAGAGGATATGGCACCCTGTAGAGCAGAGTTGCAATGATACAGATAAAAGAGGTAGTGATGTCACAGGGACAGAGGGAATGTCATGGCTACATCCCCCAGTAGACAGAGGGGTATGGGGGTGGTTTTTTAGGTCTGATGGTCAGGAAATGTACTATGACCGGAGACTTTATAGACAGACAGGTAGGGGCCACACCTTGAGGTCGTGCTGGCGGGTCTCGTCCAGGTCCTGCATGGCGCAGCAGTGGGCCTCCTGTAGGCTGTGCTCCCTGCGTTGGTGCTCCAGCTGCAGCTCCTGGAGCTGCTGGCTCAGGTGCTCCCGCTCCTGGCTGAACTGGGCCTGGAGCTGCTGCAGGGAGCTCTGCGACTGAGACAGCTGCATCTCCAGACTCTGCTTCAGCAACGAGATCTGACGAGAGGGAGGAGTAGAGAAGGGGAGAGGGAAGGAAGAAAATGGAGAGAGAGAGAGAGAGAGAAGGACGAGAGAGAGAGAGAGAGAGAGAGAGAGAGGGAATAGAGAAGAACAGGTGTGAAATAGCTGTTTGTCTGTCTACTTCACTGACAAACCTACGCCTACTTTGTTAACAAAAACAGATATCATTTTTTCCCGCTAGTTATGACCTGAAGCAACACAACATCACATTTTTGTTAGAGGGTGCAACAAAATGTCATTTTCCATTACGCTCTCAAAATCATTATTTCAAAATGGTAGTAGGCCTGCAGCAACTTTGCAACCTTTGGTGACGTCCAGTCAGTACTGTATTGTACGTGTCATCAACAGCTCAGTGTGTGATCAACATGAGAGCTCAGTCCTCATTACTAGTATTATTACTGTGAATAATGAGACTGACTGGGCCCAGAGCAAGAGAGGAGGGGTGTATGGGAAGAAGAGAACCACGGTGGTGACACCTCCACAAGTCACCCTGACTCTGCTGCTAACTACCAGGAAGCATCTGGAGCAAAGCCTTTGAGAAGGAGAGCTCTGTCTGAATGCCCTCCTTCCCCCCACATGCATTAATTTCCAGCATCTGCGTAATGAAACATTTGGACAACAAACAGTACAGAGTGCACAGTGCATTATCAATATGTTTGGCAAGCCAGTGAGAGGCAGATCAAAGACAATCTGCTATAATGCAGGGAAACTTAAATCCGTTTTACCTCATTTCTACCAGCATGTTAAATGTGCAACCAGAGGGAAAAGAACTCTAGACCACCTTTACTCCACACTCAGAGAAGTGTACAAAGCTCTCACTCGCCCTGCATTTGGCAAATCTGACCATAATTATATCCTCTGCTTACAAGCAAAAACTAAAGCAGGAAGCACCAGTTACTCAGTCAATAAAAAAGTGGACAGATGAAGCAGATGCTAAGCTACAGTACTGTTTTGCTAGCACAGACTGGAATATGTTCCGGGATTCTTCCGATGGCATTGAGGAGTACACCACATCAGTCATTGGCTTCATCAATAAGTGCATCGATGACGTCGTCCCCACAGTGACTGTACGTTCATACCCCAACCAGAAGCCATGGATTACAGGCAACATCCGCACTGAGCTAAAGGGTAGAGCTGCGGCTTTCAAGGAGCAGGACTCTAACCCGGAAGCTTATAAGAAATCCCGCTATGCCCTCCGACGAACCATCAAACAGGCAAAGCGTCAATACAGGACTAAGATCGAAGTGACACGAGCCTACCAGACAAGCTAATTTACTTCTATGCTCGCTTCGAGGCAAGTAACACTGAAACATGCATGAGAGCATCAGCTGTTCCGGACGACTGTGTGATCACGCTCTCCGTAGCCGATGTGAGTAAGACCTTTAAACAGGTCAACATTCACAAGGCCACAGGACCAGACGGATTACCAGGACGTGTACTCCGAGCATGCGCTGACCAACTGGCAAGTGTCTTCACTGACATTTTCAACCTCTCCCTGTCTGAGTCTGTAATACCAACATGTTTCAAGCAGACCACCATAGTCCCTGTGCCCAAGAACACTAAGGTAACCTGCCTAAATGACTACCGACCCGTAGCACTCACGTCTGTAGCCATGAAGTGCTTTGAAAGACTGGTCATGGCTCACATCAACACCATTATCCCAGAAACCCTAGACCCACTCCAATTTGCATACCGCCCAGCTTGCATACCGCACAGATGATGCAATCTCTATTGCACTCCACACTGCCCTTTCACACCTGGACAAAAGGAACACCTATGTGAGAATGCTATTCATTGACTACAGCTCAGCGTTCAACACCATAGTGCCCTCAAAGCTCATCACTAAGCTAAGGACCATGGGACTAAACACCTCCCTCTGCAACTGGATCCTGGTGGTAAGGGTAGGTAACAACACATCCGCCACGCTGATCCTCAACACGGGGGCCCCTCAGGGGTGCGTGCTCAGTCCCCTCCTGTACTCCCTGTTCACTCATGACTGCATGGCCAGGCACGACTCCAACACCATCATTAAGTCTGCCAATGACACAACAGTGGTAGGCCTGATCACCGACAACGACGAGACAACGAGCTTCAGTGCCTTCAGAAAGTATTCACACCCCTCAACTTTTTCCACATTTTGTTGTGTTACAAAGTGGGATTAAAATGGATTTGTCATTTTTTTTGTCAACGATCTGTTGTGTCAAAGTGGACAGAAAATTCAAACATTTGTAAAAAATAAATTTATTAAATAAGTACTCAACCCCCTGAGTCAATACATGTTAGAATCACCGTTGGCAGTGACTACAGCTGTGACTCTTTCTGGGTAAGTCTCTAAGAACTTTGCACACCTGGATTGTACAATATTTGCAGATTATTTGCAGATGTTTCTCATTGCTAGACGCCATTTTCAAGTCTTGCCATAGATTTTCAAGATAATTTAAGTCAAAACTGTAACTAGGCCACTCAGGAACATTCAATGTCATCTTGGTAAGCAACTTCAGTGTAGATTTGGCCTTGTGTTTTAGGTTATTGTCCTGTTGAAAGGTAAATTTGTCTCCAAGTGTCTGTTGGAAAGCAGACTGAACCAGGTTTTCCTCTAGGATTTTGCCTGTGCTTAGCTTTATTCAGTTTATTTTTATCATTTAAAAAAACGTCCTAATCCTTACCGATGACAAGCATACCCATAACATGATGCAGCCACCACCATGCTTGAAAATATAAAAAGTGGTCATCAGTGATGTGTTGGATTTGCCCCAAACATAACACTTTGTATTCTGGACAATTTATTTGCAGTTTTACTTTAGTGCCTTATTGCAAACAGGATGCATGTTTTGGATTTTAAAAAATTCTGTACAGGCTTCCTTCTTATCACTCTGTCACGATCGTCGTAAGAAGTGGACCAAGGCGCAGCGTGATATGCGTACATCTTTTAATGAGTACTTTATAACCATAACAAAACGATACGTGAAGTCCTAAGGTTAACAAACACAAACCTCTCCGGAACAAGATCCCACAAATGACAAGTGCAAAACAGGCTGCCTAAGTATGGTTCCCAATCAGAGACAACAAGCCACAGCTGCCTCTGATTGGGAACCACCCCGGCCAACATAGAAACACATGAACTAGAAACTGAACATAGAACACTAAACATAGAAACTAACTCCCTGGCTCAACATATAATAGTCCCCAGAGCCAGGGCGTGACAGTACCCCCCCCCCCAAAGGCGCGGACTGCGACCGCACCAACTAAACCCAACAGGGGAGGGGCCGGGTGGGCATTCACTCTCTAGCTACCCCCCCGTAGCGCCCCTGGTCTGGTCTGGCCCCGCTGACTGGAGCTGTACTGGACATCGGTGGAGCGGATTGCTTAGGCTCCGGTGTGGAGCAGCTGACCGGTACCTGACCAGGCACCGGTGGAACAGGCACGGGCTGTGCCGGACTGACGACGCGCATCACTGGCTTGGTGCAGGGAGCAGGAACCGGCCGGACCGGGCTGGCGACGCGCACCACTGGCTTGGTGCGGGGAGCAGGGACGGGCCGGACCGGGCTGACGATGCGCACCACAGGCTTGGTGCGAGGGGCAGGAACAGGCCGGGCCGGGCTGGCGACGCGCACCACAGGCGTGGTGCGGGGAGCAGGAACAGGCCGGACCGGGCTGTGGAGACGGACTGGAGGTCTGGAGCGAAGAACTGACACAACCCGTCCTGGCTGAATGCCTATTTTTACACACTCTGTGTGAGGCATCAGCACAGGACGTACAGGGCTGTGCACTCGTACTGGCACTACAGCACGTGGCACTGGCGCAGGATATCCGGGACCGAGGAGGGGTACTGGAGGCCACGAGCGTTGAGCCGGCACACTCCGTCCTGGCTGCATGCCCACCTTAGCACGACACGTGCGTGGTGCTAGCACAGGACGTACAGGACTGTGCCGGACCACTCGCGGCACAGTACGCAGCTCCACATACCTCGGAACCTGCCCAGTCTCACGCTGCCTAGCCTGAGTACGGGGAGTTGGCTTTGCTCTACCTCTAGGCTCCGCCAACCTCCCTTCCAGCCCCCCAAACCTGGTGGCCTCCTCTCCTAATCCACAAACTCGCCCTGTAGCTGCCTCCAGCAGCCCCGTCGTCCATGCCGTGTGCCCCCCCCAAAAAATGTATTGGGGTTGCCTCTCGCCTGTCCGACGACGGCCCGGTTGGCGCCGCTTCTCCTCTCCTGCCTGGACATCCTCCCTCATCGCCCTCCGGTAGCGGACGGCCTCCTCCTCGGTGATCTTCCCCAAACCGAGGAGGACATCCACTAGCGTTACCTCCGGCGTTTGCTCCTGGACACGCTGCTTGGTCCTTAATTGGTGGGATCTTCTGTCACGATCGTCGTAAGAAGTGGACCAAGGCGCAGCGTGATATGCGTACATCTTTTAATGAGTACTTTATAACCATAACAAAACAACAAAACGATACGTGAAGTCCTAAGGTTAACAAACACAAACCTCTCCGGAACAAGATCCCACAAATGACAAGTGCAAAACAGGCTGCCTAAGTATGGTTCCCAATCAGAGACAACAAGCCACAGCTGCCTCTGATTGGGAACCACCCCGGCCAACATAGAAACACATGAACTAGAAACTGAACATAGAACACTAAACATAGAAACTAACTCCCTGGCTCAACATATAATAGTCCCCAGAGCCAGGGCGTGACACACTCTGTCATTTAGGTTAGTATTGTGGAGTAACTACAATGTTGTTGATCCATCCTCAGTTTTCTCCTATCAACTCTGTAACTGTTTTAAATTCACCCTTGGCCTCATGGTGAAATCCCTGAGCGGTTTCCTTCCTCTCCGGCAAATGCGTTAGGAAGGACGCCTGTATCTTTGTAGTGACTGGGTGTATTGATACACCATCGAAAGTGTAATTAATAACTTGCTCAAAGGGATATTCAATGTTTGCTTTTTTTTTTTTACCCATCTACCAATAGGTGCCCTTCTTTGCGAGGCATTGGACAACCTCTCTGGTCTTTGTGGTTGAATCTGTGTTTGAAATTCACTTCTCGACTGAGGGACCTTACAGATAATTGTATGTGTGGAGTACAGAGATGAGGTAGTCATTCAAAAATCATGTTAAACACTATTATTTCACACATAGTGAGTCCATGCAACTTATTATGTGACTTGTTAAGCAACATTTTACTCTTCAACTTATTATGTGACTTGTTAAGCAACATTTTACTCTTCAACTTATTATGTGACTTGTAAAGCAACATTTTACTCTTCAACTTATTATGTGATTTGTTAAGCAACCTTTTACTCTTCAACTTATTATGTGACTTGTTAAGCAACCTTTTACTCTTCAACTTATGTAAGCTTGCCATAACAAAGGGGTTGAGTACTTATTGACTCAAGACATTTCAGCTTTTTATTTTGTATTAATTCCACTTTGTAATCCATTTTAAGTTCAGGCTGTAACACAACAAAATTTGGGGTGTGAATACTTTCTGAAGGCACTGTAGTTATTATGGCACAGCAGAGAGAGCCGAGCAGGAGGTACAGTAAATCACACGCCACTCAGAGAGGCTGTAATTCTGTCTCATCAAAAGAACAGAAATATACACCTTTCAGAGTCAGGAAGAGGAAAACACTCCAGTGTGAAGTGCACCAGGAGTCAGTTCCAGAGCACATAGAGAATCTACATGTTCAGAAGAGGGCAGATTTAGGTAATGAGTGTTTCATGCGTGTTGCCTGGGAACTGGATGACGTTGGTTCACTGCTGTAGCAACCAGTCACAGTGGTTCTACAACAACCCTCTCTATATAGAGGAGTGAAGAGAGAAGCCAAACACACTTTGGTACATTCAGAAAGAAGAGAGATTTCAAACCAAAGCAGAGCATATAGACCAGGTAAAATACTATATATATCCCAAAGAAACACAACACTGCAAGTGTTGCCCACAACAAACCCTGATCTGCGTACAGCACACTGTAACAAAAGGAAAATGGATTGTCTGAAGTGAAACCAGCATCTTTACTGCAAGCCAGAGCGAGTACACACAACGGCATCATGCAAGCCACTCACACCAGTTGAATATATTTGTCTGTAAATACTGTATAGTGAGGGGGAAATAAAGAGGGAAATTGTGGAGCAGGTGTGTAAGTGGACTTTACACTTACATTAATGATTGACTTATGTAAAGCTATGGGTGAGAACAAAATACACAGGAACAGAGGGATACATTCAGGAGTTAAAAACCCCAAAATAAACATTAAATACTGATCCAAAAGGACCAGGAGGGGAGGTAGGGGAGGGGAGCTTTGTATCAGGGAGAGGTTGGAGTGTCATGAGCGATAGCCAAGGTAGTGAGGACAGAGGAGACCCCTTTTCCCCCAGATGATATTGGCTATTTCAATGTTCTGAAGGACGACAAGACAACGTGAAATATGTTGATATCTCAGTTTAGTTTCTAAAAATGAATATATGAAATAACTTTCCACTGTCAAACCTAACTATTCTCTGTGAAGTTCCCTGAATATTAATGCAATTAGCAAGTACAAGTGCTTTAAAAGTTTCAGTTTTAATTAGATTTGGTCCATTCAGTCCCCTTCACAGGGCTGCCAGTGCCAGTTTGGGAAGATTTAAAATTTGAATTTGAATGGTATCCAGTAGAGGGGATTAAAATGACAACCTAAAATTCACCATGTTGTATCTTCTTACACTCCAGTCTTTCCCTATCTGTGTAAATGACAGTGCTAGCTATAATTGCGGTGGGAGTTACAGCTAAGGTAACAGAACAGGCTTCTCAGCAGTCTTTCATTGTGATGGCTACCTGCATATGCCGAGGCCGTGAGCACTCTCCTCTCACCTATTCATGGACATTAAGGAAGTGGATGATTTAAAATTGTATGACATACACTTCCAAATGGATGTTTCATGATATGATGGGTTAAGTGGTTAAAATGTATGCCCTATGTTATTGACCTTAAGGTACACTACCGGTCAAAAGTTTTAGAACACCTACTCATTCAAGGGTTTTTCTATATTTTTACTATTTTCTACATTGTAGAATAATAGTGAAGACATCAAATATGTTTTAGATTTGTGATTCTTCAAATAGCCACCCTTTGCCTTGATGACAGCTTTGCAAACTCTTGGCATTCTCTCAACCAGCTTCATGACGTAGTCACCTGGAATGCATTTCAATTAACAGGTGTGCCTTCTTAAAAGTTAATTTGTGGAGTTTCTTTCCTTCTTATTGCGTTTGAGCCAATCAGTTGTGTTGTGACAAGGTATACAGAAGATAGCCGTATTTGGTAAAAGACCAAGTCCATACTATGGCAAGAACAGCTCAAATAAGCAAAGAGAAATGACAGTCCATCATTACTTTAAGACATGAAGGTCAGTCAGTATGGAACAGTTCAAGAACTTTGAAAGTTTCTTCAAGTGCAGTCGCAAAAACCATCAAGCGCCATCATGAAACTGGCTCTCATGAGGACCGCCACTGGAATGGAAGACCCAGAGTTACCTCTGCTGCAGAGGATAAGTTCATTAGAGTTACCAACCTCAGAAATTGCAGCCCAAATAAATGCTTCCCAGAGTTCAAGTAACATGCACATCTCAACATCAACTGTTCAGAGGAGACTGTGTGAATCAGGCCTTCATAGTTGAATTGCTTCAAAGAAACCACTACTAAAGGACACCAATAAGAAGAAGAGACCTGCTTGGTCCAAGAAACATGAGCAATGGACATTAGACCGGTGGAAATTTGTCCTTTGGTCTGGAGTCCAAATTGGAGATTTTTGGTTCCAACCGCCGTGTCTTTGTGAGACGCGGTGTGGGTGAACGGATGATCTCCGCATGTGTATTTACCACCATAAAGCATGGAGGAGGAGGTATTATGGCGTGGGGGTGCTTTGCTGGTGACACTGTCTGTAATTTATTTAGAATTCAAGGCACACTTAACCAGCATGGCTACCACAGCATTCTGCAGCGTTACGCCATCCCATCTGGTTTGGGCTTAGTGGGACTATCATTTGTTTTTCAACAGGACAATGACCCAACACACCTCCAGGCTGTGTAAGAGCTATTTTACCAAGAAGGAGAGTGATGGAGTGCTGCATCAGATGACCTGGCCTCCACAATCCCCCGACCTCAACCCAATTGAGATGGTTTGGGATGAGTCGGACCGCAGAGTGAAGGAAAAGCAGCCAACAAGTGCTCAGCATATGTGGGAACTCCTTCAATACTGTTGTAAAAGCATTCCACGTGAAGCTGGTTGAGCGAATGCCAAGAGTGTGCAAAGCTGTCATCAAGGCTATTTGAAGAATCTCAAATATAAAATATATTTTGATCTGTTTAACACTTTTTTGGTTACTACATGATTCCATATGTGTTAGTTCATAGTTTTGTTTTCTTCACTATTATTATACAATGTAGAAAATAGTAAAAATAAAGAAAAACCCTTGAATGAGTAGGTGTTCTAAAGCTTTTGACCGGTAGTGTATATTAAATCCCTATAGAAATCTCAGCCAAACCTTTGCACTGATGATACTAGTGGACAGACTTAGAAATGATGTAGTCCTCTTACTGTTCAGTTATCCTGGAGCCCAGCCCAGTGTGTATATCACAATACCCAGCTGGTGCAGCAGGGTGAGGGTGAACTGTCTCTTACCTGCTCCAGTAGGTCCTCCACCTTCCTCTGCCAGCTCTCGCGGGCACTGCCCAGCTCCTGCTCCTTGTTCTGGGCCAGCTGGGTGAGGGCTGCCCTCTTGTCATCCTCATGATCCTCCCTTAGCTCCTCACGCAGCTTCTTACACTCCTGCCTGTGGACATACACACCAAATGCACACAATTACCATTAGTTTAAATACACAGAAGATAACAATGATTATCCAGGGCTCAGCCCATCACAATAATGTGAGTTTGACTCCGAAAGCAAAACCTTCTTGAAATAACTTCATGGAGTAGTAATATATTCTCATAAATTCCAAAACACTGAAGCTGCAGCGCCCTGTTTTACAGTAACGTTAGGTCAACATATTCTAGTGAGCATCATGCAAGTCATGCTTGCAAGAGCACGTTTTAAGACCCTTTCACAAACTCCACTTCTCATTGGATGCAGCACAGCCAAGACATTTGTTAGGAGCAAAAAGAACAGAAAGAAAAATATGTCGTTATTTTTAATAAACAGAATCCATTTGCACTCATCTCAAGAGCACACTGTGCGTACAGTGAACATGAGAGAAGAGAGATGGGGGCTGACTAACACTCTCTCCCAGTCTGCTACAGTGAAGATGTTAATGCATGCGTCGGTACACGGCGCAGCCTGGGACACAGAGGGTCTCTAAGAGGTTAACAGCTCGACATTATGTCCTGTAATTGCTGAACATTTCCAGCACGCCGCTGGCTGTCGGAGCTCTGGAGGTGTTCAGTCCATTTCCTGGGAGCGGAGCAGAGCGTACGTCTGTGTAGAATTCCCCACGCCGTCATGCAAACGTCTCCCACCTCACCATCTCAGTGCTATTCAATGCCCACGTGTTTAACGGCGCTGCAAAGACCTTTTAGTAGGAGTGCGGACTGCATGTTAATATTTATTTAGCAGAGAATGCCGTTGTTAAGTGCGGGGCGCCACCAATGTTTTTGTCCCTCCTAACAGCAGATGAGCGCCAGGGTGAGTGAGTGCTCTGATGCAACACCATAGTACCACGGTTTAGCCCTGTGACACTTCTGCAAGGACACGTATTGATCCTCATCGCTTCAGAAAAACACAGACAGACACACTGCTCTTAGGGACTTTATATTGTAAAGAGACTCATATTCATACCCCAGCCCCAAATCCCCAATCTGGCTAATTACCTAGGAGGGCACTCAGCACCTGGTGAGCGGAGGAGATGGGAAGGAAGAGGGGGTGAGTGTGTAGAGTAGGCAGGGAGGATGGAGGAGAGTGTAGGCAGTAGGGGAGAATGGAGGAAGGAGAGTGGAGCATGTAGAGGGAGGAGAATGGGAGGGTATAGTGAGAATGGAGGCATTACGTCAGTGTGACATCCCCGTTGAGATCAAAGCCTTCAGTCTAAACATCAGAAAGCAGCAGAGAGATGACAGGCAGTCAGTCACAAATGGACTCCATACAGTGGCGTAGTGCAGTTTCACAGGGACGTTTTTGACCGTCTCCGCGGTGGCTCCGTTGATGAGGATGGGGGTGTGCCCAGCCTGGTTCCTCATGAAGTCCAAAATCAGCTAATTTGTTTTGCTGACGTTGAGGGAGAGGTTGTTTACCTGGAAACCACGCTGTCAGAGTACCAATCTCCTCTTTGTAGGCTGTCTCGTCATTGTTGGTAATCAGGCATACTACTCTTGTGTTGTCAGTGAACTTGATAATAAAGTTGGAACTGTGTGAGGCCACGCAGCTGTGGGTATACAGGGAGTACAGGAGGGGACTGAGGACGCACCCTTGTAGTCCTCAGTCCCCTCGGGAGAGCAGAAACTCGTTCATGTACGTTTCCCCCATCGCAATACTTGTTACTGGTCATGAAGCAGACACCACCGCCTTTGTTCTTGCCAGAGAGAGCCCGCTTCCTATCCGCTCGATGAACTGTAAAACTCGCTGGTTGTATATAATTTGTTTGGATGTCGGAGGAAAGCCAAGTCTCAGAAAAGCAGAGTATGTTGCAGAATCTGATGTCCCTCTGGAAGGAGATCCTCGCTCTCAAATTTATTCACTAATGAGTAGTATGCTCGGTAATGGAGGACGGGTCACCCGGCGCCTCAACCTCACTAAGACCCCTCCACGTCTGCCTCTCCGTCTGCATCTTTATTTCCTTCTTTCCGGTAGGACTCCCAGGCTACCCGGCGCCTCACTGAAGAGGCTACACCATTGTTCCGCCGTCTCCGGGAATTCGGGAAGTTCGGGTGAATGGTGAGTACCCAGCAATTCATATTCCAATAGTTCTACCGGGTGTATGAAGTAATGCATTAAACAAACAGAGTAAGAAAATTTAAGAAAACACTAGAAAAAGTAGAAACCTGCAAAGTTTTCTAGGAGCTCGAGGCGAGGCTACCATGTTCATTCGGCATCATCATCCTTTATAATCACGAGAGAAATTGAACTAGTTAGTTATACACCCTGACCTATTAGTTATACACACTGACCTGTTCAACGAACATGCTACCTTGTCCCGGACCTGCTGTTTTCGACCCTCTCTCTCTCTCTCCCGCACCTGCTGTCTCAACCTTTGAATGCTCAGCTATGAAAAGCCAACTGACATTTACTCCTGAGGTGCTGACCTGTTGCACCCTCTACAACCACTGTGATTATTATTTGACCCTGCTGGTCATCTATGAACGTTTGATCTGTCTTATAATCTCCACTCGGCACAGCCAGAAGAGTACTGGCCACCCCTCAGAGCCTGGTTCCTCTCTAGGTTTTTTCCTAGGTTCCTGCCTTTCTAGGGAGTTTTTCCTAGCCACTGTGCTTCTACATCTGCATTACTTGCTGTTTGGGGTTTCTGTATAAGCACTTTGTGACATCAGCTGATGTAAAAAGGGCTTTATAAATACATTTAATTGATTGATTATACCTAGGTAAGTTACAAGGTTAACTGACTTTTCTCAAAACGTATCTCATTGTGGCTAGCTACTTGTCCCTCATGCTAGCCTTTACAGCAAAATATCACTTCAGAAACATCAATATACAAAATATTGATATGACCAGCATTGTAGACCATTTCTCCCCTCTTGCTGCAGCTTAAGCTAACCTCGAAATAACAGATAAATGTAATACAAATCTCCTAACGTATTTTTATTTTGTTTTATAGCACTAATGCTCAAGGGCTAATTTCATTTTTTAAGCATATGTTGCAGAACAGTGATTTAAAATACTGGACAAAGACAAATCTTAAGGGGGTTAGCCATCAGTGACGAAATTGACAAGCCACTGACGGAGTTGACAACAGATACTCAAAACAGAATTAGTAACATATGGAAATTGACTCATTTGAAAATCCCCAATAAAAACATAACCATTCTATCAGCTGTTTCAGCACTCTGACGGAGTTGACGTTAGATAAAAATCGGAGTTGAAGTTTTACGGAGTTTACAAAAAAAAAACATTTCTGCTTCATTCCAAGTGGCATACACAGTAGCAATGTATTTTCTTTGTCAGTTGCTTTATGACTCTAAAACCAATTAAATGTAACATATTTGAACCAAAATTAATATTCTATCTTAATCTATAAGGCAGATGGAGTTGACAGTTTATGGTTGTGAACATGATGATTCCAATATTGTTTCTTTAAATCTATCAGAAGTAGAGAACTTTGCAGACCATGAGTGGTCTTGTTCCACACATTTAAAAAAAATTTTTTTAACCTTTATTTAACCAGGTAAGCCAGTTGAGAACAAGTTCTCATTTACAACTGCGACCTGGCCAAGATAAAGCAAAGCAGTGCGATAAAAACAACAGCACAGAGGTACACATGGGACAAAACCAAACATACAGTCAATAACACAATAGAAAATCTATATACAGTGTGTGCAAATGTAGTAAGTTATGGAGGTAAGGCAATAAATAGGCCATAGTGCAAAATAATTACAATTTAGTATTAACACTGGAATGATAGATGTGCAGAAGATGATGTGCAAATAGAGATACTGGGATGCAAATGAGCAAAATAAATAACAATATGGGGATGAGGTAGTTGGGTGGGCTAATTACAGATGGGCTGTGTACAGGTGCAGTGATCGGTAAGCTGCTCTGACAACTGATGCTTAAAGTTAGTGAGGGAGATAAGAGTCTCCAGCTTCAGAGATTTCTGCAGTTCGTTCCAGGCATTAGCAGCAGAGAACTGGAAGAAATGGCGGCCAAAGTAGGTGTTGGCTTTGGGGATGACCAGTAAGATATTCATGCTGTAATGTAATGATGACATGAATAAGTGGTCCTTGTGGTATAGCTGACCCTGCTCATTCCTTATTAATTTAGAATTGTATACATATCTGACAGAATTGACCAAATTTCCGGACACATCTTTTATGAATCACAGTTTTGAGTAATATTATATTTTGAGAAATATTATTTAAAGTCACAGAGGGCTATTACAAGAAACTACATAAGAACATTTTTTTATTAATATCCATTAATCCATCATTTTTTGGAGAGTTTGAAATTGGGATCCTTTGCTCTGGACAAGGGCATTTCCAGGCATAGAGCCGACATGAAATGACTAATATTTAAAGTATTTAGATAAAAAAAATATATATATATATATATTCCCATATACATTTTCCCTAAATGTAAATGTTAAACTTAAATAATGCAACAAAATCTTTTTTTTTTTTTTTACTATAAAAATAAAGTTTCCCTGCCGAACAAGGATTGTCTGACTTTCAAGAATCCCTGAGCTAATTTCCTGTAATTCTACACATTTTGCCATGAGGCTGAGAGACAATGATGCAGTTTTAAAGCTAATTTCCTGTAATTCTACACATTTTGCCATGAGGCTGAGAGACAATGATGCAGTTTTAAAGCTAATTTCCTGTAATTCTACACATTTTGCCATGAGGCTGAGAGACAATGTTGCAGTTTTAAAGCTAATTTCCTGTAATTCTACACATTTTGCCATGAGGCTGAGAGACAATGTTGCAGTTTTAAAGCTAATTTCCTGTAATTCTACACATTTTGCCATGAGGCTGAGAGACAATGATGCAGTTTTAAAGCTAATTTCCTGTAATTCCACCCCAAAAATGCATGGCTTATGACTTGTTCATATGCTATCTGGGGTCCTGACCTCCGGGGGGGACCCTAACCCAACAACAACAAAGCTTGTGGGCCCCCCGCCTTGCGGGGGCTGCGGGGATGTGTGCTACGCCAGTGACTCCATCAACTAACTGTCTAAACAGCAATATCATTTCTTCCCCCTACATCTGGGGCACACCAACGCCAATAAATGCATCTCTCACAAAGCTTTAGTTTGACTGAGGTAAATCTCAACTGATAGAAACTCACTGTGGACGTTCATTATACCCGGTTCTGACATCACCGCACTGAAACACACAGTAACAAACTTCCTGTCCTATTCTATCCGTCTGGAATGGTGGACCTTAAAGGACTATCTCTCTCAGCACAAAACAAAGCCAAACCAGCTCCGTTCAATCATTCTCTGCCTGTGACGCTACACTTGTGTGTGTGTGTGTGTGTATGTGCGCGTGTGTGCGTATTCTCTGTGTGTGTGTTCTCTGTGCAGTTGTGCGCTGCGACGCGCCAGATGACACACACAGTGTCTCCTGTGGTTGATGAACTTGAAAGGCAGTCATAGACGCTGCGGTGCTGTGTGGTGGTGCCGCCCGTCTGCATTGTCCCTCTTGCTAATGCCGTTCATGTTCAAGCCCACCATTACGTAAGGTAAACAGAGAGGAGGCTTTAATGTGGTTAGGGGCTCTGGTATTTCTGCTGCTGTATCTTCCTCCACATCACCAGCCAAGCTCCCCGTGAGGAGCAGGAGGAGAGATGTGTCTGACAGTCAGTTACAGGACATGAAAGAGAGGCGCTTCTTAGCACCTCTTCCTACTGAGAACAGCCTAGAACAGAGGAGGGAGGAAGAAAATGGGAATATCTCTCCCTCTGCCTTCACCTCTCTCTTTCTCTCTCTCCCTCTTTCACCCTGAGTGGCATGTTGGCTCGAGTTAGACATGGCAGAAGTACAATCAGAACCCCCGCAGGTTGTGTTTTGCATTATGTTTACTAGAGAAGAAGAAGCAGTCTTCAATTTAGTTTTAATTACTATCTCACTTAATGAAAATACTAAATGCTGTCAGAACTAAAGAGCATGTAAAATTCATAACTTACAAAATGAAAAGAAGCTGAAGGGAATGCAATTGTGAAATATGGACATTGAGAGAGGAGGGTAAATGAAACTTAATTACAGTACAAGAGATAAAGAAGAGGACAGAATAAAACTTTGAGCCAATGCTGGACTGGATGGTTTTATTGTAGAACTCCATGTGTAGCAGAGCCTTCCTGGTAATCAGGAATCCTTAATGCTGTATTAACACATTCCTTGACCCCAGCAATGGAGAGAGACACTAATTGGACTCTGTCTGATGAGCTAGGATGAACTTCCTCCTCATCTCCAGTGTCACATCCCTGAGCTGCAGTTCTGTTCACATCATGATTCACATGTCCCTGATGTGCTGTAGAAGCATTGAGATTCAAATGGCCCTTTATTTTGACAACAAAGCCTTTTTACACTTGAAATTCATAAGCAGTGGCTTGTCACTCGGGCTCAAATCCTTTCTCATATCTACCTCATTACCATCCCCTCTCTCTCCTTTGAGCCAGAACAGGCAGCAGCAGCGGCAGTGAGATCGCTTGGTGAACAACCATCTTTGCTTCAGCCGAAAAACACATTTAGAGGTAGGCGAGGGCAGCGGCTGAACAAGTGTTGTGAAAAATGAAGGCCTCCTGCTGGGCTGGGATCAGCCCTGGACTGGTATTATTGGTATGAAGCTGGTTCTGGAGTCACTGTATCATGGCCCTCGTCTTAGTGTCACTGTTTCAATTACTGCAAGCCAAACTCTTTCACTTACCCTCTCCATCACCATCATTGGCACAAACAAACAAGAAACACATGCAGGCACAAACGCACGCACGCACGCACGCACGCACGCACGCACGCACACACACACACACACACACACACACACACACACACACACACACACACACACACACACACACACACACACACACACACACACACACACACACACACACACACACACCTTAAGGTCTCGGTCCACTTGAGCTCCAGTTCCAGCGCCATCTTGTCCATCTTGAGCTTCTCGTCCTCTTTAGTGGTGATGACTTTAGCCTCATGCTTCTTCTTCTGGGCCTCCATCTCTCCCTGAGAGGGGGAAGGAGAAGAAGAGAAAGACAGGAATAAAGAGAGAAAGGGTTCATAATATTAGCCCTCATGATAAACAACACAATTGAGCATGTGATCTAACCCAGTATGTACAGGACTCAACACACACTACTACCAATGAGGATCTTGGGGCCATGTGTGAACATGGGACAGTGCTCTGTGTGATCAGTCAGAGGAGAGGAAATAAGTCTGGACCTACTGCCATCAATACTGCTCCAAAACTTCCCCTGACATTCAGACTACAGCCTGCTTCATTATGCAGGACCAGAGAGAGAGAGGAGAGAGAGGGACAGGAGAGAGAGGAAAGGGAGAGAGAAGAGAGGGAAGAGGGGAGAGGAGAGAGGGAGAGAGAGAGAGGAGCCCCAGCAGGTCAAGGGCATAATGAAGTGCTAATGCCATATGGACTCCTTAAAGATGAGAACAGAATTCACAATCTGAGCCTGATTAGGTATGCCAACCCAAAGCTGCTGGAAAGCCTGCCTGGCATATCAAGAATTGGAATCTGGGACAAAGCAGGTAGACGTGATACATTTGGTAAGGGAATAGACTCAACGCTAGGGGATCAATTCAGGACATTTCAACTTTATTACCCCCCATAAATAAGCTTAATACACAATCAATAAATACCTGGTCAGAAGAGGGAATGGGGAAGGAAAATCGTTAGGGTTCCTGATGGAGAATCCAATGGCTCCCTGATGAGGAGAACCCACCAAGGACCCAGGAAAATCTATGTGTGTGTGTGTGTGTGTGTGTGTGTATGTGTGTGTAGCATGCCTGTGTGTGTGTGTGTGTGTGTGTATTTGTACTGTAACAGTGCTCTCACCTGCAGGGCGGTCAGCAGGTTGCTCGTCTCTCTCAGTCTGGCCCTGGTAGCGTCCAGCTCCTCCACTAGTTTGTCCTGGGCCTCCTTCAGGTTGGAGATGTGTCCCTCTGCTGAACCCATGCCCTGCTCACCCTCCTTCACCAGCTCCTGCAGGCGCAACACCTACACACAGGGGAGGGACAGACAGGGAGGGAGAGCAGACCCACACTCAGCACATAGAACAAGAATCAAGGCTAGAAGTATATCATACACCACAGTACCCAGACAGGCTTTAAAAACAGCTGTAATGAAGTAGAGTCAAATCTATTCCCTTTTGTAATAAATTCCAATTGGGAAACTGCACTTCAAATGAGTCAAGACACACTCTACACATCAGCAGCTGTTCTCTAGAAGTCTATCATACATCTCAGTGCTCAGAGAGGCCTTCACATCGTAACCAGCTGTAATTAACTCTTAGACATTCCCTTTAGTAGAGTTGGGAAACTGCACTTCAAATGAGCCAAGACATACTTATATATTCTCTACCTGCTGTTCTTTTCCTTTCAAACCTGGTTTGTTTTCTGAGAATAGATAGCATCAAACTTCAAAGATGACCAATTAGCACCAGTAATTCTAATTCCATGTGGCTGACCACAATAAATAGCCAAAATCAGTTGAGAAAGAGGAGAGATCTGATAGGTAGGGTGACTCCTGACTGACCTCCTGATTGGCTTGTTCAAGTTTGGCAGCGAGCTCCTCCCTCAGGCTGTCCAGTTGTTGTCTGAGATGGTTCTTCTGCTCCTCCAATGAGAGCCTCTCCCTCTCAAACTGCTGCTCCATTTCCTGTAGACAAACCACAAAGACTGTTATAATAATCCCAGCACAATAACCATTACAGGGTTTACAGTATTATAGGCTCTTTATGAATTGAAAATACTTTGTAGATATGGCTGCAATAATTGTGCTTTTAGAGGAAAATCAATGCCAGTTTAAAGGGAATGACTAGTACATGAAAGGACAATAGTTGGCATTATTCACATGAATACACTAATAAGAGTTCTGTCAGCGTCGTTGTTACACAATCTGGTAATATGGACTCAGTGTAGCTCTTTGGAGGAGGGCTTGTATTAAGAGCTGTTATATGTAGGAGGTTGTGTGTGTGTGTGTGTGTTTCAATCACAAGTGACACATTAATGTTGTACCCCTCGGCAGGTGGTTAATATCCTGCTGGGAAAATGGATGAGTGAGTTCATTATTTAAGCAATGTCAGGCCACTCAAGACAAGGATGTCTGCAAAGCAAATGTCTCATTATGGAACTCAATTTTCAGGGGGAAAAGATTTCTTGCTGTGACGGTGCGATATCATGGATCAAATGCAGCCTTCAGACATTTCTCGTATGGGATAGATTGCTAGTCTACCATTTCACTCTCATTGCAGGATATTTGTGCCAGTGGGTGACACCGCAGTGACAATATAAAACAGTAGACATCACCATAGCGGGGACAGGCCTACGAGATGGAAGGAATGAGTGGCATTTTTAGTACCAAGCATGGAAATGACAAAAAAAAAAGACTTCTTATGAAATTCTCAACAGCTCTGCATCTGTTAATGTCAGCACTGAGCATTCGACTGTGGACAGGACATTGTTCAAAACACTTCATGTAGGCCTACATCTTTTACGAAAACAGAATATTTGATCACTTTCACAAAAACATTATGACTAGTATATTACTCTGAAAAGACGCCTTGGAGCTAAATCAATGACTGCCAAATAAATAGTAAATGCATTGAGCTGACTAGTGACAGACTACTATGTGAACCATGTCCACTCCAATATTAACGTTCCTCTGATACAGTTGGTGATTGACACTACTGCATTATCCTTTCCCTCTGTAACCTCAGTTAATGCTTTCCAATGACTGAAAATGTACACCATATACATAGAATATACAACAGACACTTCAAAGTGCAATCTCAAAAGGCATATGTATGAGCAGAAAACTGGTCAGCATGAAGCACCAAGTAAGGCTGACTGAATAATGTATAGTTTCACCTTGTTCAGAGAGGACTGCTCTGCACACTGTATGTGCGTGTGAGGTTGGTTACGGGTACATCATTTAGCGCTCTCATCTTTCTCTGCACACACATATGCAAATAGGAGCTCATCTATGTTTCATGATCCCATCCCAACAAGAATCAAGACATTATGTATTTAATATTGTTAGCGTCTTCCCCTATGTTTTTTCCACTTGGTGTCAAGTTAAGGGATGTGGGTGTGTGTGTGTGTGTGGCGGCTTTGAAGCAAAGTCTTTGAGTTCCCATATCACACGCTTCTTGAATAGTGCATACGCTTCAAAACTTCTAATAGTTTAGTGTGCCACACAAAGTCTCTGTCAGCTGCCCACAGTAATTTGACAAGTCACTAGTTTTATCTCAGTGTCCAAACTAAAGGTCCATCCCACACCTTGGTGCTGACGCCAGCCCGGGGGGTGACTCATGACCACGTCTTGAGACAGGAGGATGACAAAATGACTCTCCTCCCTCTCTTCTCTCGCTGTGCTGTACGTACAGGGAAGAAGAGGAAGAGCATGGGGGAGTTGGCCCAAAATATGATGTCAGCCGCCGCCACATGGACTTGTCAAGCTGCTCTTTGCGACTACAGTGACTCACCGCCGCACAAACAAGACCCTAATCACACTATCACATGTGCTCTCATCTCACAGTGTCTCTCTCTCATATGCTTCCTCTCCTTTCTCTCTCTCTCCGTCTGCATTCCGTTTGGATGGTGAGGAAGGGACGAGGAGGAGAGAGGGAGAAGGAGCAGGTGAGCGGGGGGAGGGGGCGGAGGTCTCTCTCTCTCTCTCCTCTCTCTCTCCCTCTCTCTCTCTCTCCCTTTCTTGGGAGATCCTTTCCCTCTTCGAGGAAAGAGAGAGAGGGAGAGCAGGCGAGAGAGAGAGAGGAGAGATCGAGAGAGATAGGAAGGAGAGAGAAGCAGAGAGAGCGAGGAGAGAGTAGCGGCTAGAGAGAGCGCGAGAGCGAGAGAGAAATCTAGAGAGAGAGAGAGAGAATAGGTAAGGAGGAGACTAGAGACTCGCGATAGCTGATAGATCTCTCTGACTGAGCTCTCTCTCCTCTCTCGATCTCTCTCTCTCTCCTCTCTCTCTCTCTCTCTCTCTCTCTCTCTCTCTCTCTCTCACCTCCCCCCGACAAAGGGGAGCGGCCAACGTTTCTCTGCCTGAGATAAGGTTCCTGGAAGCAGCCGAAGCAGCTGGTGAGGTGCAGCCAGGTGTAATCACTGTCTTCCTCTGCAGATGAGACTGCAGAACTCAAATACCATCCTGGTGGAGGAACAACAGGGGTCGCTACCTCCATTTCCTCCAATTTAAAACAAGAAGGCGAAACAAGGAGATCTGAGCTGCCAGTGGAAAATGTGTTGACACTGAAGAATGGCCAGGCTGATTTGTGTGTCAGAGACACTTAAGCACGCACGTACACACATTCCAATGCCCATGAGGAGAGCCACTCTCATCCTTCCAATTGCCAGAAAGTAGTGGGCACAATGGTGTTAGGTTGGCCGGCCCTGCTATAAACAAGGCACTAACTAATTACAGCGGCTTAACCCAACATCTGTCATATGGCCGGTATTTTATTACATAAAGACTAAATAATGTTGGAGAGGGATGAGTTGACAGGAGCCTTTGGCAGCTACCGAGCTGAGAAGTAAAAATATGACTAAATGCATTCTGGCTGAGTCAATCGTGCATGTCTTTTGAGTGCTTTAATTTAATATGTTATCAGTCAGGGATTTCAAAACAGACAGTTTAGTCATGTCACTGGAGCAGATGTTTTAAAGCAGATAGAAAATACTTTCATTATTGAATGGAGTGAGAGCGAGATTTTCTGTAGTGCGGTGCAGAATTGATGTGGAAGGTGCATGTCAGCAGTCTCCAACCCCTCAGCCCAGGCTGTGGTAGGTCCTGGAACAGTGTGTGTGTGTTTGAGTGGTTGGGCTGAGCAGAGCGTGGCGGGGTGGGGAGATGAGTTGTCATGGTAGTGGTTAATGAGGCTTGGGTGCTAAGCCGGATAGAGGCCCTCTCACTGCTCTACTGCCTGCAGGACTGGAGCTGAGGCAGCAGAGCTCTGGGCCCTGACACACACAGAGAACAGTCCGGGAAAGAGACACATGCAGACACAGCCTGGGACACACAGACACAACCTGAGACATACAGACACAACCTGAGACATACAGACACAACCTGAGCCATACAGACACAGCCTGGGACATACAGACACAGCCTGGGACACACAGACACAACCTGAGACATACAGACACAACCTGAGCCATACAGACAGCCTGGGACATACAGACACAACCTGAGACATGCAGACACAACCTGAGACACACAGACACAGCCTGAGACATACAGATACAGCCTGAGACATACAGACACAGCCTGAGACATACAGACACAGCCTTAGACATACAGACACAACCTGAGACATACAGACACAACCTGAGACATACAGATACAGCCTGAGACATACAGACACAGGCCTGGGACAAACAGACACAGCGTGAGACATACAGACACAACCTGAGACATACAGACACAGCCTGAGACATACAGACACAGCCTGAGACATACAGACACAGCCTGAGACATACAGACACAACCTGAGACATACAGACACAACCTGAGACATACAGATACAGCCTGAGACATACAGACACAGGCCTGGGACACACAGACACAGGCCTGGGACAAACAGACACAGCGTGAGACATACAGACACAGCGTGAGACATACAGACACAACCTGGGACACACAGACACAGGCCTGGGACAAACAGACACAGCCTGAGACATACAGACACAGCCTGGGAGAGATAGACATGGCGGAGGTATATAGCACTGGGCTCTAATACAGAGATGGATGAACAGAGAGAAAGGTCTTTTGATGGGTCTGTTGTCAACCAATATAACCAACCTCTTTCTGTATGATTTTAAACCACTAGACATCCATAGTAACAGCACTTATGTGTTCTGTGTAGAATGGCAGGCAGCACTTGAGGGTACTCAAAGCTACACCAGCACAGAGCTGCTCTCAACACTTGTGGGATTGCCTTGACAAGTAGCTCTGACAAATTGTAGACCCAAACCAGCGCAGCAAAGCCTGAAATTCATGCATGCAAATGACATGGAGGGACTTGGAGGAAAGATAAGCTGTTCTGCCCACGGCAATGAGTCTTTCTCTCTCCCTTCTCCTCTCTCTCTTTCTGGCTCTCTTTCTCTGTCTCTACAGAGTGGTTCCACCAGCTGTTTGTAGTCCTATTTCAAACTGATAATCATTGGGCTCTCCTAATGAGGTTCAGACTCAGCATTGACCTTTTCTCTTATCATCACGTTCAACTAGTAGAAGATAATAATTGTTGCTCTTTAGTCTTGCTGTTGGATCCTGTGTGACTTGTTCATTAGGGTGGTTGTAATGTCACTGTAAGAGCAGATGAGTGTAGTTTGGTACAGATCTGCACAATAATGCAATTACAGAATGTATTACTGTAAGCCCAGTCCATTTGCTATTCATAACAATAGCCAAATCATAGCAAAACATAGCTTGGAGGTGAAGTGATTGTTTCTGCAGTTTACTGCTGTGTATGGAAATCCCAATCCCATCCCATTGCTGCATTGTGTAGGTGCAGCTCCCCTGCAGTGTGTGTGTGTTGCGTAGGTGCAGTGCAGTGTTGTGTTACCTGAGGTGTGTGTGAGTGTGTGAGTGTCTGTGTGTGTGTGTACACTCTTCTTACGGCCAGTAGCCAGCGCTTCTCCTTCTCGGCAGTAGTCTGTGTGTTCTCCAGGGTGGTCCTGTGCTTTTTCGACAGCTCCTCCAGCGCCCGGGTCTGTGACTCTTTGAAGTGGGCGGCGTCGTCCTCGTATTTGGCACGCATGTTCATCATCTCCTTCTCATACACCTGCTTCTCCTCCCGTAGAGTCTGATGGACCAACACACACAGAGACAACACCATGACAGTCTGCCCTGTGTTAATCAAAGATGTTTGATTCTAGTTTTATTAAACCCAGCTGTGAACAGAATGCTAAACTCATTACTGTCTTATTTCTATTTCCTTGGTCATTTGAGTGAGCATCTGAGTCAGTCAGACACAGGTAACACATGAACGGCTGTTTGGTGTCTTGTAACAGAGGAAAGTGACAGCCTGAGGATGCTTCAACACATTATTCACATTCAGAGATGAGGCTCAAGCAGCGAGCCAAATCGAACGGAGAGAGAGGCCTCTATTACCAGATGAGAGAGAGAGAGTGGCGTTTCTCAGAACGCCAGCAGCCCAGTGGATTACTGCACAATGCACTCACACCGCCGTTCACAGCAGGTTGCCATAGTAACACCGAACTCAAGGCTATGGTAATGGGAAACAGAACAGAAGAGAGATTTCCTGGGAACTGGAAAGGTGAGGTCAGGTTTTCAGGCTACAGCATTGTGGTGAATTGTCATTGAGACACAGGGGACATAGCATTGAGTGGTGCGGGTCACTGTCAACAGAACACTCTCCCTGTCTTGAGAGCATATTGACAACAGGAGGTTGGTAGCACCTTAATTTGGGAGGACGGGCTTGTGGTAATGGCTGGAGAGGAATAAGTGGAATGGTATCAAATATGTCAAACACATTGTTTGATGCCATTCCATTTGCTCCGTTCCAGCCATTCTTATGAGCCGTCCTCCCCTCAGCAGCCTCCACTGATATTGTCACGCAGAACGACATATAGTGAAAGCTTCAACTGTGCATTTTACCATAATGGAAATGCTGAATGGAAAATAGATTATGCTTGACATTCATTTACGGGGGAACTGCAGTTTGTCTACGGCGCTACTGTTCGCAAATAACGTAACTTGGTGGGGTCTGGTCAAGTTTAACCCGCTCAGCAGCATAACAATCTGTAGTTTTGTGTGTTCAGATGCGATGCATATTTCAGGGCTCTGTAACTCCTGAGAGCAAGGAGGACTTTCCAAGGAGCAAGCTAAATGCTTAGTCGTAAAATCAGAGTTTTTTTGTGTACTCTGACATCAATAATTGAAGTTAAATGCTATTTTACAACCAGAAAGCATGGCTTTAAGAAAAACGGTGACTATAGAGGAAGAAGCAGCCATGGCTAATAGTTGAGATATATGAAGCAAACTGTGACGCAAAATGGATGTCTATTTACACCAAAAGTGTAGTCTTTGCTAAATCGAAATAATCAGCTAAACGTCAACAAAAGCCCAATTTTTTTAGTCCAGTAACTTCTCTTTCCAAGATGTTGAGTGTTGTGAATAGTGCTGAGCAATTAACCAAAATGTTGGGTTTTCTTTCGGTTATTAAACAACTAATTGACCGACAACGGTTCAATTCTTTGAATTCAATTTAGTTAGTGAGCTCAACGCGCCATTTCTCTAGAGGGAAATCAAATCATTCACGAGAGAATCTGTCAAGAACTATGTGGGACGCTGGGCTGATTGGAAGTTTTCATAAGGCAAATATTCAACCTAGTTCACCACAGAAACGTGTAATTAACTACAATGACCATAATCCATTGCGCCTGTTCTTTCCGGCCACGGACAGAGGCGCATACACACAGACCATATGAGACCGCATGAGAGAGGAATGAAAATGTAGTCTATTTCAGAAGAACAGAATAGCATACTTTGAGTTGTCCTTATGTTAGGCCCTGATCTGGCTATGCCAAATGGCTGTGGGCTAAACTAGTTCATTTAGCAGACAAGATTTTCTTAGAATTCCGTGGCATGATTTTATAGTTTAAAGAATACAATTTAATAAAGCTGAATAAAATAGAAAGGATATTTTCTCCAAACGATTTGAGGGAGTGCGCACATGCGGCTATTTTGTGTTGAGCGGTTAACAAAGAAATAGGTACTCCTATATGCTTAATTTAGAGTTATTCATGTAACTTTTGTTGTTCTACAAACGTTGGGCTATATGTTTTGATTTTTAATACATAGTAAGGCTGCATGATGCGACTCTAATGATGATTTGAAAAAAGTCGCTTGAAAGTCAAGAGCTCTGCTTTGTTTTTTTGCGCAGGCTGTACACACTTCATTAGTCAAGCACTTGATAATGCCTTGAATTTCACAGCGGCATTCCCTTTGTGGCCGTAATGCACCCTAACAAAATCAATGGCTTTTGCGCCCAGTGGCCGTTGTGCCCTTCTCCCATCACGTGATCGGGTCTTTCTCACAGGCTACAAGTGAAGACAGACACATCGGGGACGCCACTGCACACGTCCTTATCCAATTCCAATTCCGAAGTGCATACTGAAGATATTGGAAGAACTGTCCACATTTACTTTTCGTCAGCCAACAAGATGAGTAGGCCTAATGAACAGCAAAATAACTAGCCTATGTCAATCTAGTATCCCCCATAGTACAAAAGTCGACCTATTCAATTCCGTGTGAGAAAAAAATATTCCAAACATAGTCTGGGACAGTTGTGGGATGCAATAGATCCAAAATTAATGCAACCACTAGCATGAAAAAACATTTTTTACGCAATGTGGCTGACGCAACATATCAGAACATTTAGCTTAAAATGTTGATAAACTATTAGGCTATTTCTTCACATTATAAGCGCAGCAATGTGCACATGGCAGTAGGCTATAAGCGCGAATGTTCCAAAATGTTTCAAAATGTTACTGCAAATGTGATTGCGCATGAGTAGGCCTAATGATATTATAAAGCTTTTATTATAAAGGTGCATTTTTATGGTGAAAATTATCTTCCCCAAACTTGAAACTGACCCACTGCTTATGTATGCGGATGAATGTGCTTAATTTTAAGAAGTTATTTGGCCACTTTAGTTGTGATACAAACCTTATCAAAACATTTAGGCCTATGGCCTAGGCTACATGAGATGTACGACTATGATTCGAAAAAGTAGGCAAATTTTTTTTAATGTTTCTTATGCTGGGCATCATTCACAAGTGCTAATATATAATTAACAAGTGATAGGCTAATATTGTCACCCATAAGAATATTCTTGATTTAATCTTGTCTTTATATATACAGTTGAAGTCGGAAGTTTACATACACCTTAGCCAAATACATTTAAACTCTGTTTTTCACAATTCCTGACATTTAATCCTAGTTAAAATTCCCTGTCTTAGGTCAATTAGGATCACCACTTTATTTTAAGAATGTGAAATGTCAGAATAATAGTAGAGAGAATGATTTATTTCAGCTTTTATTTCTTTCATCACATTCCCAGTGGGTCAGAAATTTACATACACTCAATTAGTATTTGGTAGCATTGTCTTTAAATTGTTTAACTTGGGTCAAACGTTTCAGGTAGCCTTCCACAAGCTTCCCACAGTAAGTTGGGTGAATTTTGGCCCATTTTTCAGTTCTGCCCACAAATTCTCTATAGGATTGAGGTCAGGGCTTTGTGATGGCCACTCCAATACCTTGACTTTGTTGTCCTTAAGCCATTTTGCCACAACTTTGGAAGTGTGCTTGGCGTCATTGTCCATTTGGAAGACCCATTTGCGACCAAGCTTTAACTTCTTGACTGATGTCTTGAGATGTTGCTTCAATATATCCACATAATTTTCCTTCCTCATGATGCCATCTATTTTGTGAAGTGCACCAGTCCCTCCTGCAGAAAAGCACCCCCACAGCATGATGCTGCCACCCCCGTGCTTCACGGTTGGGATGGTGTTCTTTGACTTGCAAGCCTTCCCCCTTTTCCTCCAAACATAACGATGGTCATTATGGCCAAACATTTCTATTTTTGTTTCATCAGACATTTCTCCAAAAAGTACGATCTTTGTCCCCATGTGCAGTTGCAAACCGTAGTCTGGCTTTTTTATGGCGGTTTTGGAGCAGTGGCTTCTTCCTTGCTGAGCGGCCTTTCAGGTTATGTCGATACAGGACTCGTTTTACTGTGGATATAGATACTTTTGTACCTGTTTCCTCCAGCATCTTCACAAGGTCCTTTGCTGTTGTTCTGGGATTGATTTACGTTCATCTCTAGGAGACAGAACGGGTCTCCTTCCTGAGCGGTATGACGGCTGCGTGGTCCCATGGTGTTTATACTTGCGTACTATTGTTTGTACAGATGAATGTGGTACCTTCAGGCGTTTGGAAATTGCTCCCAAGGATGAACCAGACTTGTGGAGGTCTACAAGTTTTGGCTGATTTCTTTTGATTTTCCTATGATGTCAAGCAAAGAGGCACTGAGTTTGAAGGTAGGCCTTGAAATACATCCACAGGTACACCTCCAAATGACTCAAATGATATCAATTAGCCTATCAGAAGCTTCTAAAGCCATGACATCATTTTCTGGAATTTTCCAAGCTGTTTAAAGGCACAGTGAACTTAGTGTATGTAAACTTCTGACCCACTGAAATTGTGATACAGTGAATTATAAGTGAAATAATCTGTCTGTAAACAATTGTTGGAAAAATTACTTGTGTCATGCACAAAGTAGATGTCCTAACCGACTTGCCAAAACTATAGTTTGTTAACAAGAAATTTGTGGAGTGGTTGAAAAACGAGTTTTAATGACTCCAACCTAAGTGTATGTAAACTTCCGACTTCAACTGTACTAAATAATATATGTGTGAAATTTGTTTTTATTTAGAATGGGCCATTATCATGTCTCGAAACAGGGGGAGCGGGTAAAAATACATCATCTATGCACTTAAATGGCGAATGGAGGACACTTTTCCCATGGTTGATTTTCATGCCAGCCAGGTAGGCTATACTCCTGTTGTAAAGATAAACAATGTGCTTAATATTAGGAAAGTTGAGAAATAAATATAGTAGGCCTAGCCTATAGAAAGCTTATGGGATCCTCCTCTTTTTAGTAGAAGCCATCACTCTGTTTTCTCGTGCAATTGCATAGTCTATTGAAATGTTGTGCAACATGAGCTCATGGGCTCTAATGAAGTGTTTGATTAGATTTCGAACATATTTGCATTGATGTCAGAGTGATTAGAGGGACAACAGAGTGCTGAGTACCAGGCAGTTAGCAAGTTTGGTAGGCTACTAATGACCATCAGTAGCATCAGAGCTTAGAGTAGCCTAATTACCATGACTAAACAGTCACATGGAATTTGACTGCCTTCATGACTCGTGACCGCTGGTGTGGCGGTAATACGGTCACCGCAACAGCCCTAGTCCTCAGACAACTCCAGGCTCCAGAATGGCAGAAATACAGTTCCCTCCACGCCACCGAAGGCTCACCTTCTCCAGGGAGAGAATCTGTTGCCTCTGCCTGTCGTCCAGTGTCTGGGTCTTGTTCTGCAGGGCCACGCGTTCCTCCTCTAGACGTACCACTTTGTCCTTCAGACGAGACTTCTCAGACTCCATGGTCCCTGGCAGGTGCTGCCCTCGTGGGGTCCATCTGAGTGGCCATGACAGGCTGCCAATGTGACCTGGAGAGGAAGAGGAGAGGAGAGAGAGAGGGAGATAGAGGATAGAGAGAGAGAGAGGATGAGAGAGATAGAGAGAGAGAGAGATAGAGAGAGAGAGAGAGAGAAGAGTGAGAAGATAGATAGAGAATGAGACAGATAGAATCTCGCGTCTTCTCTATAATCTCGATAGAATTCTATTCGAGAGGACCAGAGAGATATAAGGACGATAAGAGAGAGCGATAGAAGATAGATAGAGAGAGAGAAGAGGACCATAGACGATATAACAGAGATAGAGAGAGAGAGGGACTGAGATAGACAGATAATCGAGAGAGATAGAGATAAATAGCTAGATATAATTACAGATATAGATAACGATAGAACTTAAAACATCCCTATTAGAGAACTTAAAAAGATATAAGTCAAAGAATATCTATCTTAATCTATCATCGTATATCTATCTCCTCCATAGATATAAACACTATGAAACCTGTCCAGCCCTACTTGCTACTAGAATGAGATTACCTGTACGAGCAGTATTACCATAGAGAGTTGACCTGGGTCAATGTACTGTTTAAACATTGACGTTTTGGTGAGCCAGTATTTCAGTATTTCACTGCCAGATGAAATATTGATGCAGCAAGGCATAACTAGCGATCAAATCAGATCATACAGGCATGGCTGTGAGTATACAGCAGGGCTCGCTGCAGTACAGACTGTACAAAGTGCAGCATGACTTAAAATGGGCGTAATTCATTTGAACACGGCTTTCACATCCTTGGGCTTATGAATACCATTAGTGCAGGGATACACCATTTCACCATTAAACAGTTATGTTACAGCAATTCAGATAAGCCCAAGTAACCGTGAGGCTAACACCCTGTGTTTCTCTAACAGCTAAGAGGTTAGTGTTTTCAGCAGCAGCAGCATCTCTGTGTCTGATTCCAAACATGGGCCTGCAGATATATACAGTACTACACAGCTACACAATAGGCACCACAGAATATTCCAGACACAAAGTGCAAACATGTTGTTTTTCTCTCTGTCCTTGTTATATATCTTGACCATGGTATGACAGGCATTTGAACCACAACAGATGTTGCAGGGCTAGGTAAGAGCTAGGTGAGGGGGTCTAGGTGAGCCCTCTCCCCACCAAGGTACATTCCAGAACCAGGGGGGTGAAGAGGTCTCGGAGCAGAGCTGGGGCAAGACTGCAGAGCACACTGGACCTCTGTTGCCGGGATACCGGGAGGTGATCTGTCACAGCACAATCTCCTGTCAACAGGTACGCTAGCTGAAGCTGGAGCTACCTACCTCCAGAGTGTATTAAAAATCTCTCTCTGGGTTCTGGTTCATTCTGCCATCCATTGGGAATGTATCATACCAGTGATAAGGAAAGAGAGTCACGTGACAGATAATTGTGAATAGATGGAAGCCTATATACAGTAGGCTTGAGCCTGTGTACCTGTTATTTTCTCCTGAAAATATCTGATGCAAACTGGTGCAAAGACTTGGTAAATTTGAACCAACATTATTTTAATATTTCATGACTTGAAGTAATTGATACATACATAGACTTAAATGTTGGGGGAAATCATGTAGGACTAAGAGTGGTGTGGGTCATTAATCACATTGTGGTTCATTAGTGTTGCTCAGGTAGTGCAGTAGCGTGGGTTGTAACAGAGAGAGGAGGGAGGAGGAAAGAAGAGAGGAGGAGGAGGAGGGAGAGTGTAGTAGGGTGTATACTGTCAGTAACAACAGGAGGAGGGAGAGTGTAGTAGGGTGTATACTGTCAGTAACAGCAGGAGGAGGGAGAGTGTAGTAGGGTGTATACTGTCAGTAACAACAGGAGGAGGGAGAGTGTAGTAGGGTGTATACTGTCAGGGTGTATACTGTCAGTAACAACAGGAGGAGGGAGAGTGTAGTAGGGTGTATACTGTCAGTAACAGCAGGAGGGAGAGTGTAGTAGGGTGTATACTGTCAGTAACAGCAGGAGGAGGGAGAGTGTAGTAGGGTGTATACTGTCAGTAACAGCAGGAGGAGGGAGAGTGTAGTAGGGTGTATACTGTCAGTAACAACAGGAGGAGGGAGAGTGTAGTAGGGTGTATACTGTCAGTAACAACAGGAGGAGAGAGAGTGTAGTAGGGTGTATACTGTCAGTAACAACAGGAGGAGGGAGAGTGTAGTAGGGTGTATACTGTCAGTAACAGCAGGAGGAGGGAGAGTGTAGTAGGGTGTATACTGTCAGTAACAGCAGGAGGGAGAGTGTAGTAGGGTGTATACTGTCAGTAACAACAGGAGGAGGGAGAGTGTAGTAGGGTGTATACTGTCAGTAACAGCAGGAGGGAGAGTGTAGTAGGGTGTATACTGTCCAGTAAACACAGGGAGGGAGAGTGTAGTAGGGTGTTATACTGTCAGTAACAACAGGAGGAGGGAGAGTGTAGTAGGGTGTATACTGTCAGTAACAGCAGGAGGAGGGAGAGTGTAGTAGGGTGTATTACTGTCAGTAACAGCAGGAGGAGGGAGAGTGTAGTAGGGTGTATACTGTCAGTAACAGCAGGAGGAGGGAGAGTGTAGTAGGGTGTATACTGTCAGTAACAGCAGGAGGAGGGAGAGTGTAGTAGGGTGTATACTGTCAGTAACAACAGGAGGAGGGAGAGTGTAGTAGGGTGTATACTGTCAGTAACAGCAGGAGGAGGGAGAGTGTAGTAGGGTGTATACTGTCAGTAACAGCAGGAGGAGGGAGAGTGTAGGATAAGAACTCTAACAGAGAGGAGGTGGGAAAGAAGGTGGAAAGCTAACTCACTGGCTTTGAGGAGGATCTCTGTGGCCTGCTGCTGCACACGATCTCTGGTGGCCTCCAGCTCACACTCCGCCTCCTTCTGTCGAATCTCCACGATCTCGGCATCCTGCGTCACCTCGTCCAGCTGTTTGCTCAACTCCTGGAGCACAAACAGAAACACACAGAGCACATATTAGCCTATACTCCTGAGGCACAGACACGCATAGCACAGGGTCAACTTCCTGACCTGTGTTCATTCTCTCTGCCAGAACAATGAAACAGTATATACAGTACATTCGGAAAGTATTCAGACCCCTTCCCTTTTTGTTACGTTACAGCCTTATTCTAAAATTGCATATATAACTGTTTTCCCTCATCAATCTCATTTTTACATTTTAGTCATTTAGCAGACGCTCTTATCCAGAGCGACTTACAGGAGCAATTAGGGTTAAGTGCCTTGCTCAAGGGCACATCGACAGATTTTTCACCTAGTTGGCTCGGGGATTAGAACCAGCGACCTTTCAGTTACTGGCACAACCACTAAGCTACCTGCCGCCCCAATCTCAAATCAAATAAATGCACATTTTATTTGCCACATGAGCCGAATACAACAGGTGTAGACATTACAGTGAAATGCTTACTTACAAGCCCTTAACCAACAATGCATTTTTTTTAAAGAAAAAAGAAAAAAGAAAAAAGTGTTAAAAGCAAATAACTAAAGAGCAGCAGTAAAATAAAATAACAGTAGGGAGGCTATATACTGGGGGGTACCGGTGCAGAGTCAATGTGCGGGGGCACCGGCTAGTCAAGGTAATTGAGGTAATATGTACATGTGGGTAGAGTTAAAGTGACTATGCATAAATAATAAACAGAGTAGCAGCAACGTAAAAGAGGGGGTGGGGGTGGGGGGGGCAGTGCAAATAGTCCGGGTAGCCATGATTAGCTGTTCAGGAGTCTTATGGCTTGGGGATAGAAGCTGTTGAGAAGCCTTTTGGACCTAGACTTGGCGCTCCGGTACCGCTTGCCGTGCGGTAGCAGAGAGAACAGTCTATGACTAGGGTGGCTGGAGTCTTTGAAAATTTTGAGGGCCTTCCTCTGACACCGCCTGGTATAGAGGTCCTGGATGGCAGGAAGCTTGGCCCCAGTGATGTACTGGGCCGTACGCACTACCCTCTGTAGTGCCTTGCGGTCGGAGGCCGAGCAGTTTCCATACCAGGCGGTGATGCAACCAGTCAAGATGCTCTCGATGGTGCAGCTGTATAACTTTTTGAGGATCTGAGGACACATATCAAATCTTATCAGTCTCCTGAGGGGGAATAGGCTTTGTTGTGCCCTCTTCACGACTGTCTTGGTGTGTTTGGACCATGATAGTTCGTTGGTGATGTGGACACCAAGGAACTTGAAGCTCTCAACCTGTTCCACTACAGCCCCGTCGATGAGAATGGGGGCGTGCTCAGTCCTCTTCTTTTTTTCCTGTAGTCCACAATCATCTCCTTTGTCTTTATCATGTTGAGGGAGAGGTTGTTATCCTGGCACCACACGGCCAGGTCTCTGACCTCCTCCCTATAGGCTGTCTCATCGTTGTCGGTGATCAGGTCTACCACTGTTGTGTCATCAGCAAACTTAATGATGGTGTTGGAGTCGTGCCTGGCCATGCAGTCATGGGTGAACAGGGAGTACAGGAGGGGACTGAGCACGCATCCCTGAGGGGCCCCCGTGTTGAGGATCAGCGTGGCAGATGTGTTGTTACCTACCCTTACCACCTGGGGGCGGCCCGTCAGGAAGCCCAGGATCCAGTTGCAGAGGGAGGTGTTTAGTCCCAGGGAGTTCCTCTGTGGAGATAGGAGAACCTTCCAGAAGGATAAACATCTCTGCAGCACTCCACCAATCAGGCCTTTATGGTAGAGTGGCCAGACGGAAGCCACTCCTCAGTAAAAGGCACATGACAGTCCGCTTGGAGTTTGCCAAAAGGCATCGAAAGGACTCTCAGATCATAAGAAACGAGATTCTCTGGTCTGATGAAACCAAGATTGAACTCTTTGGCCTTAATGCCAAGTGTCACGTCTGGAGGAAACCTGGCACCATCCCTACGGTGAAGCATGGTGGTGGCAGCATCATGCGGTGGGGATGTTTTTCAGCGGCAGGGACTGGGAGACTAGTCAGGATCGAGGGAAAGATTAACAGGGCAAAGTACAGAGAGATCCTTGAGCGCTCAGGATCTCAGACTGGGGCGAAGGTTCACCTTCCAACAGGACAACGACCCTAAGCACACAGCCAAGACAACGCAAGAGTGGCTTCAGGACTAGTCTCTGAATGTCCTTGAGTGGCCTAGCCAGAGCTCGGACTTGAACCCGATCTAACATCTCTGGAGAGACCTGAAAATAGCTGTGCAGCGACGCTCTCCATCCAACCTGACAGAGCTTGAGAGGATCTGCAGAGAAGAATGGGAGAAACTCCCCAAATACAGATGTGCCAAGCTTGTAGCGTCATACCCAAGAAGACTTGAGGCTGTAATCGCTGCCAAAGGTGCTTCAACAAAGTACTGAGTAAAGGGTCTGAATACTTACGTAAATGTGATATTTCAGTTTTCGTTTTTTATAATTTTGCCAAAAATTATAGAAACCGTTTTTTGCTTTGTCATTATGGGGTATTTTGTGTAGATTTATGAGGAAAAAGTCAAGGGGTCTGAATACTTTCCGAATGCACTGTATACAACTCACTCACTCATACTCTCTAATAATCACTTAATTTTCTTTCTCTCTTTCTTCTTCTCTCTATCACATCACTCTTTTTTTATTTCCTGCATTTGCACTCTCTCTGTAGAGATGTAGCGAGAGAGACTAGCCACTTTTCATTCTTAACATGTTCTCTACTGCTCTCAAGGTTTACTTTTGAAATAATTCATCGGAATTGCCATGAAATAGTCACTTAGATTTACATTTCCCATGGGAATATCATCCATTTGGAAGTGGAGTTCTAATGTATATGTAAATATCTTGACTCGTCTGGTGGGGCAGTAGGTAGCGGGGCGGCATGTAGCCTAGAGGTTAAGAGTGTTGGGCCAGTAACCAAAAGGTCACTGGTTCAAATCCCTGAGCTGACTAGGTGAAACAAAATCTCTTGATGTGCCCTTAAAGGGATACATCGGGATTGAGGCTCTTTGTGTAATTCCACAGTCAGATTAACTTGTGGATACCATTTTTATGTCTCTGTGTCCAGTAAGAAGGAAGTTTAGAGGTAGTTGCACTAACATAGCATGCTAGCAGATACCCATAGACTTCCATCTATTGCGCTAACGCTAGTTATCATTGGCTCATGAAACTACCTCTAACTTCCTTCATACTGGACACAGAGACATAAAAATGGTATCCATGAGTTCATCTGACTCTGGGGAAGTAGATAAATGGCTTTCTTGTCAAAATCCCAAAGTATCCCTTTAAGCAAGGCACTTAACCCTAATTGCTCCTGTAAGTCGCTCTGGATAAGAGCATCTGCTAAATAACTAAAATGTAAATCTTAAACGTAAACCTTTTTCTGAAGGATCGGTGTGGGGAGTAAAAAAATTAAAATGCATTGATTAGGTGACTATATTTCCTCAAGCTAAAATATGATATTCAATTTAAGAATGCCTGGGTGGGAATCACATAATTGTTGCCCAAGCTCAATTTGAATATAAGATGGAGTTGTAAAGTATCTATCTTAGGCCTTAAGTGCCACATTCCCTCATAAGGGTTATGTCTATACTTTCTCTCAAATCCTGAATCATTCACTAAATGACACCTGCATCTTTTGTAGAGAGACAAACAATGCTAGCTACAGTAAAATAAACATCTTGTCAGGAGTGAAAGAGGGGATGCATTCTGATTGGTCTGTGTGGTATGATTTCCCTGATGAGCAGGTGCTGGTGTGTGTGTGATGAGCTGTTTAGTGAGAGAGGACACGCTTTAATCACCCTCACAGTTTCTTTTGTTTCTCTTAATGAAAAATCAAATTGTGGCAGCATGGCTGATATCATCGTGTCACACCTGAGCACCCGTCCCATACTAAACTGACTGGAAGAACTCCTGGGAGCTATCGATTAAAACACATTCAGAGAAAGTTGCTAGCTAACAAAGATCCCCCAATACATGTTACAGAGACTAGGTCTTTGGCTGACTGAAAGGGAATATCTGTAGTAACCAGTGTTATATGGTACATTCCTCCCTGAGTCAAATCAAATCAAAGTGATTTTTGCAATATCCACCCTGCCATGCATAGGAACGTGGCAAGACTGACAGCTTCTCTGAGCCAGGCAAATTCATTCATCAGGATAATGATAATGGATATATCCAAAGAAATGGCAATAGAAACTAAGGTAAAACAAAGGTGCACATGGTTTGCTGTTATTTCAGCTGCTTGATGTGATTGTGTGTTATCTTTAGTTGGCTAGCTAGCTAGCTAGCAAAGGAGAAGTAACGTTAGCCTAGCGATCCTCTATAACTATTTTATTGACTGGACAATCAGCTGGTTGCTGCCTATTTATCAATTATTTTTAAATCATTATTTTCTGAAGCTCTTGTTGCCTATTTATACATTATTTATCTCTCGTCATCATTGTGTCTCGTCATCATTGAACCTCTGCTAGCTAGCTACATGCCAATGATTTGTTTAGCATAGCAACATGGAATGAATAGAATGAACGACTGGGACAAAACATGAGAATAGAATTAACAACCAGCCTGTTTGGTTAGCAACTTCAGAACTAACAACTGTTTTTTGCCCGGACTATATCGTCTGGTGGAAGAATTAAATAAATCAAATGTACTCATTAAAATAAAGTTTTTAATGAAAACATGTAATTATTATTATTTTTAAATATATTGCCAACCATTTCATAAAAGCAATACGGCCCTCGAACCCAGGATTATCGTGTGATAACCTCCTCCTAAGGACTTGGCTTCGCCTCCGGCCTAAGAACAGCCCTTAGTCGGGAGTTATCACACGATATGTAAGGGTTGGTGTGAGGTGTGAGGTGTGACCCAGGTGCGGTGCAGGATATACAGTAGGCAGTAGGCAGAGATGGTGAAACAAGGATCTTTACTGGTGGTCCCGAAGCCAGAATACAAAATAACGGACTTATCACGATAAAACAAAGGCGGAGCAAATAAGTCTCCAAAAACCGGCTGACACCTAAAATAAAAAATACTACCTAAGACTGAAACAAATAACGAAACAGGGAGAAGACTTTTCAAGTACCTGTACATAGGTCTCCGATCAGACACTGAGTAGAACTGCTGGACATAGAGAAACTAGCAGAAAAAACTGAGCAAGGGAACACAGGGAAGTGAGGGCATAAATACACAGGTGAATCAGATAGACACAGGTGACACCAATAGGAATATGATTTGCCTCGACTGTGAGTGAGGAGTTGCCTAAGGTTGTCGGAGGATGACACCTAGTGGGTCGCTCCGGAACTGCGTCCCCTCCTGTAACAATGATAATCCACGGGTTCTCATGCCTTATTGCTTAATTCTATGATTCCAACAGTTCACCTAACTGTTTTGATCTATATTGCACGTCAAATCGCAATCACAATATTTGATAAAAATAATAATCGCAATTCAATTTTTTGGTCATATCGTGCAACCCTAGGTAGGAGCATTATAGAGTTCAACTTTTTTTTTGTAAAATCACCATGATTAAAGATTAGGAGAGTGTGAATGATGAAGAGGTCTAATTATGGCATTTTAAATGGACCCTTCAATTTAGATCAAACTATGGATTACACCTTTTTAATCCTTAGCACTTCAAAGTCAGATTTTAACTTCTAATCATTTCATTAAATTACTATTAAACCACAATGGGATTTTCAGGACTAAGATATTAACTGCTTTCTGGATTTAAGGATTACAGGGTTTAAAGAGGACGGTGATAATTAAACATCAATGCTACATATCTTCTACTATAAAGTTCACTCATGTATCTCTTTAAGACTCTAATAGCTTTGAGGGCTTTCATTAGGATGTTTAAGCCACAGTGGGGTATCTCCCATCAACACAGGCTCTCTTACCTTGATATTGCTCTCGGCTGCAGTGAGCGAGGCCTGCAGCTTGTGGGACTTCTCCCTGTGTTCCCGGGCCTCCTCCTGCACCCTCTGCAGCTCGGAGCGCAGCTTCCCCAGGGTCTTCTGCAGTGCTGCCTCCTGCATCTGGAACTCCCTCCGCAGCTCCGCCTCTGTCTTCTTCCAGGCCTGCAGGTTGTCTGCGGTGAGCTGCTGTGTGCGCTTCATGGCCTCCAGCTCGCGCTCGTAGAAGGCTTGGGCCTTGTTGAGCTTGGCCTCGTACTCCTCCACCAGCCTCTTCTTGTCCCCCTTAATCTCCTCCACACGCTCCGACAGGGACTCCACCTCAGCCTTGTGCAGCTGGCCCAGTTTCTCCTGGTCCTTGCTGTAGTTCTGGTTCTGGCTTTGGTGGCTGCGGAGCAGCTCCGACACCTCCTGCCGATGGTTGGCCTTTAGCTCCTCCAGCACCAGCTTCTTCTCCTGCTCAAACTGGGCCTGCGCCGTGCCGAAAGAGCGCAGCTTCTCCTCGAACGAGTGCCGCATCTCCTCCACCTCGCGGGACATGGTTACCACACGCTGTGTATGCTGGGCCTCGGTGCACAGCTGCATGTCCTCCACACGCTGCCGGTAGGTCTCGAACTCGGCGAGGGCCTGACGCTTCATGCGCTCGTGCAGCTCCATGGACTCCTCGAGCGACTGGATGCGCTGCTTCAGGTCCATCTCATCGCTGATCTTACTCTTGTACAGCATGATCTTCTCCCGCGTCTCCGACAGGATCTGCTGCACCTCCTCCTCGTGCGCCTCCTTCAGCGTCTGGATGGCCGCCTCGTGCTCGTCGTTCTTGGTGTTCAGGGCGTAGATCACCTTGGGGAGGCAGAGAGAGCATCATTATGGTGGTTGAGAAAGGATAGCATAGAACAAACGCATATCCAATGGCTTGTTTGAGCAGGTGCTGGAGATCAAAGTAAATGTTCATCAGCAAGAAAGTTCAAACTGTGTGGTGATGTGTTATAGCATTGTCCTCAAACTAAAAGGGATACCTTGAAGGTTTATCATTACTTTGACTTCCTGAAACAGTCAAAAAACACTTATGAGACAGATGATTGACAGTTAAGTGAGTGGCTGACCTTTAAATCCCCAAAATGACTTCCAAATGAAAGCCTGGATAATCTGACTACAAAGTGATTTTCTGGTCACACAGAATTTAGGGGGGAAATACATTTTACATTTATAGTTCAAGAGCCATGAGAAATTCCCCCTAATCTTAATCCTCCCTCCCCTCTACTGATCCAGGGTGCTGGCTCCGGGCTGCTGCCCTAAGGAATAAGGCTATTTGTTTTCTCACCAGATAAACATAGTCAATAATTCATCACTTTAATACTTTTGAAAAGCATGTCATAAGAAGATGCCTTTTCTGAGAATTGTATTCATATTTTATACGCCAGGGTGAAAACAGGGTGTTGACAACTTGCCAGTGTTTTTGATATGCTAAAATGTTTAGAAAATGTTAACTTTAGACCAACTCCTATTGTTATCACTCTTGTGACTGTCCATTACAGCTCTCCATCAAATAAGAGCAGATGCAACACATTGTACCCAACCAGGTAGGACCTTTTTTATCAAAGGTTTATTCAAGAAAATACTAAACCAACAGGCATTTCTTGTTTGCTATTGTGACCTCTACTGCTGTGCCATCCCTCAATCGCATGGCAATCTCTCAAAGGAGATAAAAGGCCTATGTAGCAGGATCTCAGCTCAATTTTCATTATAAACATAATATTAATATTTGAATACCCTCAATGAAAGGCATTCTATGGGAATGAAAGGGCCCCAGCTTGTGCAGTTTCTCACGAGCGATGAGGGCTGAGTCAGAATTCATTTCCATAATTGTTTTGACAAATGACTAGGGGAAAGAGCTAAAAGTTCTGGGCCTATCTGGTGCTAACGCAGCAATCTAGCCAGCCACATATGAAGAGAGAGATAGAGAGGGAGTGATGAAGAGCGAGATAAAGAGAGAGTGATGATAGAGAGAGTGCAGTCTGCAGTCCCAAGGGCTCAGTGGGTGAGAGTAGTGGACTGAGAGACAATGGCTTTGGCAGAGAAGCGTTCAGTGATGTCATTGTCCCATAATGGATTCTCCCCTCCATTTGACCTGAGAGGAACCCTCCCTGCCTGCCTCTGCCTCTCTCTCTCTCTCTCTCTCTCACTCTCTCTCTCTCAAAAATATCGACATCATAGTTATGTATTGATTGCAAACTCTTAACTCAACATAGTAAAGTATTGCTGCTGCCTGGATAAGTGAGAGGTATTATTACCATCAGCCGCCCCCACCTCCACAGATCAATGTGTGGAACTGCTGGCTGAGATGTTCTCATAATGACAGTAATCTCGTTCCCAGACACTTCCGCCCAAATGCGCCAAGAGTCTGGTGGACCAACCTGTCAAGCTTGGCCTTCGTTAGCCAATACATAGACATTGACTTAATTGGCTTAATCTACCAACCAATCACCTCCCACAGCACCTTCCCCCTAACTCTCCCCCGTACGCTAGCACACCACAAGCGCAGAGCCACGCAATGCAGTCGTGTGATTCACAAAAATTAAATGACAAATACTTTACTCAGTAGGTCACTCCAATAGAATGATATGGTCACTCCCACTAAGGCCAACTTTTAGTGGTTGATATCCCAGCCTTATTATGCGCTGTGTGCATAAATTGTGAAAGATGAATCAGTGATTGTAGATGGATGCATTCATCACTGCCGGGATGAGACCAATATAACACTGGCTGCGTTGTAGTCAGTCTGAAACATGAGCCGAAAGCCCCAAGAGTAGGCATAGACCTACTTACCGCTAGCTACGAATGTGTAAACTAATTGTCTCAGTCATAACACTAAGCTACAATACCTGCAGAGAGGTAAACCTCATTCATGTTCCCAGAAATGTTTGAAGATGCTGAAGATAGAGAACAAAGAGTGATCCCTTAGATCATAAAAGGCAAAGACACCTCAGGGCAACACTGGAGATGGTTCTGGTTAAGGTTTCAGAGCGAACTACTCAATATTTCCCATCTCTCACACTCTGTCATACAGAATACTGATACTCAAAGAAGTAGGAATCTGACTTATTGCCATAAATGAATGATGATCATGTCACGCCCTGGCTCTGGGGACTCTTAAATGTTGAGCCAGGGTGTGGACTTGTTATGTTTAGTTTTCTATGGGTTTTGTTCTAGATCGTTTATTTCTATGTTGGCCAGGGTGGTTCCCAATCAGAGACAGCTGTAGCTCGTTGTCTCTGATTGGGGACCATACTTAGGCAGCCTGTTTTCACCAGTTTATTGTGGGATCTTGTTCCGTATGGTTTGTTGTATTACCTAGGACTTCACGTATCGTTTTGTTGTTTTTGCTCGTGTTGTGTACACTTAATAAAAGTATGTACGCCTATCACGCTGCGCCTTGGTCCGCTTCTCATAACGATCGTGACAGATCAGTGATTCAAGGTGGCAAGATTGAGACACGGAAGTGAACCGGGGTGGTCAACTCAAAGCTCTCTGGTTGTGGGTGTTCATATCTAGGCTGAAGTCAGCATGTTTGGCACATAAATCAAATAAAATCAAATTTTATTTGCCACATGCGCCGAATACAACAGGTGTAGACATTACCGTGAAATGCTTACTTACAGCCCTTAAACAACAATGCATTTATTTCTTAATAAAAAGTAAAATAAAACAACAACAACAAAAAAGTGTTGAGAAAAAGAGCAGAAGTAAAATAAAATAACAGTAGGGAGGCTATATACAGGGGGGTACCGGTGCAGAGTAAATGTGCGGGGGCACCGGCTAGTTGAGGTAGTTGAGGTAATATGTACATGTGGGTAGAGTTAAAGTGACTATGCATAAATAATTAACAGAGTAGCAGCAGCGTAAAAAGATGGGGTGGGGGTGCAAATCGTCCGGGTAGCCATGAGTAGCTGTTCAGGAGTATTATGGCTTGGGGGTAGAAGCTGTTGAGAAGCCTTTTGGACCTAGACATGGCGCTCCGGTACCGCTTGCTGTGCTGTAGCAGAGAGAACAGTCTATGACTAGGGTGGCTGGAGTCTTTGACAATTTTGAGGGCCTTCCTCTGACACCGCCTGGTATAGAGGTCCTGGATGGCAGGAAGCTTGGCCCCAGTGATGTACTGGGCCGTACGCACTATCCTCTGTAGTGCCTTGCGGTCGGAGGCCGAGCAGTTGCCATACCAGGTGGTGATGCAACCAGTCAGGATGCTCTCGATGGTGCAGCTGTATAACTTTTTGAGGATCTGAGGACCCATGCCAAATGTTTTCAGTCTCCTGAAGGGGAATAGGCTTTGTCGTGCCCTCTTTACGACTGTCTTGGTGTGTTTGGACCATGATAGTTTGTTTGTGATGTGGACACCAAGGAACTTGAAGCTCTCAACCTGTTCCACTACAGCCCCGTTGATGAGAATGGGGGCGTGCTCAGTCCTCTTCTTTTTTTCCTGTAGTCCACAATCATCTCCTTTGTCTTGGTCACGTTGAGGGAGAGGTTGTTATCCTGGCACCACACGGCCAGGTCTCTAACCTCCTCCCTATAGGCTGTCTCATCGTTGTCGGTGATCAGGCCTACCACTGTTGTGTCGTCGGCAAACTTAATGATGGTGTTGAAGTCGTGCCTGGCCATGCAGTCATGGGTGAACAGGAGGGGACTGAGCACGCACCCCTGAGGGGCCCCCGTGTTGAGGATCAGCGTGGCAGATGTGTTGTTACCTACCCTTACCACCTGGGGGCGGCCCGTCAGGAAGTCCAGGATCCAGTTGCAGAGGAAGGTGTTTAGTCCCATGGTTATTAGCTTAGTGATGAGCTTTGAGGGCACTATGGTGTTGAACGCTGAGCTGTAGTCAATGAATAGCATTCTCACGTAGGTGTTCCTCTTGTCCAGGTGGGAAAGGGCAGTGTGGAGTGCAATAGAGATTGCATCATCTGTGGATCTGTTGGGGAGGTATGCAAATTGGAATGGGTCTAGGGTTTCTGGGATAATGGTGTTGATGTGAGCCATGACCAGCCTTTCAAAGCACTTCATGGCTACAGACGTGAGTGCTACGAGTCGGTAGTCATTTAGGCAGGTTATCTTAGTGTCCTTGGGCACAGGGACTATGGTGGTCTGCTTGAAACATGTTGGTATTACAGACTCAGTCAGGGACATGTTGAAAATGTCGGTGAAGACACTTGCCAGTTGGTCAGCACATGCTCGGAGTACACGTCCTGGTAATCCGTCTGGCCCTGCGGCCTTGTGAATGTTGACCTGCTTAAAAGTCTTACTCACATCGGCTACGGAGAGCGTGATCACATAGTCATCCGGAACAGCTGGTGCTCTCATGCATGCTTCAGTGTTGCTTGCCTCGAAGCGAGCATAGAAGTGGTTTAGCTCGTCTGGTAGGCTTGTGTCACTGGGCAGCTCGCGGCTGTGCTTCCCTTTGTAGTCTGTAATAGTTTTCAAGCCCTGCCACATCCGACGAGCGTCAGAGCCGGTGTAGTACGATTCAATCTTAGTCCTGTATTGACTCTTTGCCTGTTTGATGGTTCGTCAGAGGGCATAGCGGGATTTCTTGTAAGCGTCCGGGTTAGAGTCCCGCTCCTTGAAAGCGGCAGCTCTACCCTTTAGCTCAGTGCGGATGTTGCCTGTAATCCATGGCTTCTGGTTGGGGTATGTACGTACGGTCACTGTGGGGACAACGTCATCAATGCACTTATTGATGAAGCCAGTGACTGATGTGGTATACTCCTCAATGCTATCTGAAGAATCCCGGAACATGTTCCAGTCTGTGCTAGCAAAACAGTTCTGTAGCTTAGCATCTGCGTCATCTGACCACTTTTTTATTAACCGAGTCACTGGTGTTTCCTGTTTTATTTTTTGCTCATAAGCAGGAATCAGGAGGATAGAGTTATGGTCAGATTTGCCAAATGGAGGGCGAGGGAGAGCTTTGTGGAGTAAAGGTGGTCTAGAGTTTTTTTCCCTCTGGTTGCACATTTAACATGCTGGTAGAAATTAGGTAGAACGGATTTAAGTTCCCTGCATTAAAGTCCCCGGCCACTAGGAGCGCTGCCTCTGGATGAGTGTTTTCCTGTTTAGTTATGGCCTTATAAAGCTCATTGAGTGCAATCTTAATGCCAGCATTGGTTTGTGGTGGTCAATAGGCAGCTATGAAAAATATAGTTGAAAACTCTCTTCGTAAATAGTGTGGTCTACAGCTTATCATAAGGTACTCTACCTCAGGCGAGCAAAACCTCGAGACTTCCTTAGTATTAGATTTTGTGCACCAGCTGTTGTTTACAAATATACACAGACCACCACCCCTTGTCTTACCGGAGTCAGCCATTCTATCCTGCCGATGTAGCGTATATAGCCCGCTAGCTGTATGTTGTCCATGTCCAAATGTAATGTAAATGTTGTCCATGTCGTCGTTCAGCCACGACTCGATGAAACATAAGATATTACAGTTTTTAATGTCCCGTTGGTAGGATAAGCGTAATCGTAGGTCATCTAATTTATTTTCCAATGATTGAAGATTGGCTAATAGGATTGATGGAAGAGGCAGTTTACTCGGTCGCCATCGGATCATTATGAGGCACCCCGACCTACGTCCACGATATCTCTTTCTCCTGCGAATGACGGGGATTTGGACCTTGTCGGGTGTCTGTAGGATATCCTTCGCGGCCGCCTCGTTGAAGAAAAAATCTTCATCCAATACGAGGTGAGTAATCGCTGTCCTGATATCCAGAAGCTCTTTTTGGTTATAAGAGACGATGGCAGAAACATTATATACAGAATAAATTACAAATAACGCGAAAAAACACACATAATAGTACAATTGGTTAGAGGGCTGTAAAACGGCAGCCATCTATTCTCGGGCACCATCATCATTTAATGGAGAGGCATCATCTGCCTCAACAGGGGAGGGCTCAGGTCTGACAAATCCACTGCTTCTCCTATTCTTCTCTCCTGGCACTGGGGCTTTAATCACTCCTACTGCCCAGTGCAAGGGTCATTACTAATGTCTTTACATCCGCAAATGGGACCTTGATGATAGCGATTATCACCGCCATTTGCAGAGGAGTGCGGAAGGGTAACATATTGTTCAGTACAATGGGGCACTTGGTAAACGGGGCCAAATTAGCTTTGAGCAGTGGTAACTGCCTTGGTGAGGCTGTAATCACATTCTGCTCTCCGTGCTGGAGATCAAAATGGGGGACGGTTATGTATTTTCAGTCTTAACGGACAGCCCTGCAGAATGCCTGACATGCCCAGGCTGTCATCAATGTTCGGCTGCCTTGCCATTGACTGTCTGCATCAGTATCAGTATTCAGTTGAAGCCAACATAAAGGCAATCTTGCTTTTGTGACTTTTTTTTCCAGTTATGTTTACAGTTTTGTCAACCTAATTCCTGACTCGTATTCAGTATTAGTTGGACTAAGTAACGTACAAATATAGCGCATCAACCACCTTAGACGCCCCTTAAAGAAGTGAGATGCTGATTCGCAAAGCTACTGAATATGCATTAAGTGTGGAAAAGGATTGAATGAAGTTGAAAGATAGTCTAGTGCTAATTACAGTAATTATATGCATATTTTCCACTAAACTGCAAGGTGCACCTTAATCCACGAGGTAATTAAGGCAGATGAGGGGGTAGGACTGGGCCGACTCTGTAAACGTATGTTGGTTTCATACAGAGGGAACACTGCTATGATGAGCTTCTCCAGCAATGTGACACCAACACGTCCCCCACTGCAGCATTTACATGGCCTGATTGTGAATACGTTTATTTTAAAAGCCTGACTTAGCAGTAGCCTACATATTCATGTATTATTTTTAAGCCGCTCTCAGACAGAAGATTATGGTTTGCGTAACATAGGTAGTAGTTGTGTAAACAGCCTTTTTGCGTAATCTTATCTAAGGCAGGTTTGACTGATTGCGGCGTCATTGCTCTGGGCATTATTGCTCTGAATGCACTATATGTCCTTCATAGAGAAACTACAGACACTCACTGATGATGTTGTGTTGGTGTTCCTCTCTCTGTTTTGTTGCGTAACTGTATTGGTGCGTTCTTAATTATTGGGATGGATGTATTTTTCACAGCTTCATTATAGTGATGAATATTTCACACGGCTCTATATAATCTGCAATACTCATTTACAATTCTTGGTCTAATCATGATGCACTGTACTGTAGGCCGAGATTAGAAACGTTGACTTCCCTATCGGTCTTCCATTGAGATTTAGCCTTTTAATTACAACCGAGACACATGGCAAAGGTCAAAGAAAGTGATGTGTTCCACTTGCCTTCAGACAGGAAGTGCCTGTGTTAATGGATGGTGGAGTGGTTACCTTTGGTGTGTGGGTGCAAAACAAGTCATGCACCAATTTGTCTCTGATTCATCTAACTACCTTGAAAGTCTAACTGAATGAGATCTAATTCCAAAGCACTGCAATCTCCTCCTTCAGAAATGTAATGGTTGATTAAGATCATTAAATCACATGCCTCTCATTTTAATACTGTTAAAATATGCTTCCTTCCAACAACATCGTCTATGGTCCCTGATCTTCCTCAGATACTAACCAGAGGATTCATGCCAACTTTGGGGATACTGCCTGATCAATCTCTAATACTGTGTACTAGGCTGTAGCACTGGGTGGTGAGAAAAGCCTTGATTACAGTGGTTCCCATTTCCTTAGCCGGCCTTGACAGGTTTAGTCTATGTTTACCAGGGGGATTTAGTGCCTGCTGCTGGAAGGCACGGTTGCCAGGCCCCTGGTGTCACCCAACTTGGGAAGCACCCTCTCTAGGAGGTGGAGGCTGTGAGCAGGGCAGAACACAGAAAGCAGAACACATCAGTAATTATCTGCTGGAAAGGAACAGTGTAAACAACATCTGTCTGAGAATGTGTCCAGGGCTGGACCTACTACGTCTTGCCAGCCACTCAATTACATTTCCTACTTTGAGGTAATTTTATAGCATTTCAATTCAGATAACTTTGCGTTTGAGTAGAGAGACACAGACATTATTAGTACAAATATCAGTATGTATTTTATTACTTTTTTTATTTAACTAGGCAAGTCAGTTAAGAACAAATTCTTATTTACAATGACGGCCTACACCGGCCAAACCCGGACGACGCTGGGCCAATTATGCGCCACCCTATGGGACTCCCAATCACGGCCGGTTGTGATACAGCTTGGAATCGAACCAGGGGTCTGTAGTGACGCCTCAAGCACTGAGATGCAGTGCCTTAGACCGCTGCACCACTCGGGAGCCTGAGTATGACTTGCTTTGTTCTGCAGTTATTTGCCATAGAACATTATGAGAACATAGACTGTGGTATTGCTGGAGAAGCTGCCTGTATAAAGGCGCATGTGATCATGTCTCCACACATGACTGGATGACACCTCAAACAATGCAAGAGGACAAAATGGTTTAAAGATCTGGAAGTGACAGAAAAGCTCTTTATAGATCAATAACAACAGTATTTTGGAGCCTATTTATTGAGTGAGGCGACAGACAAGGCATCTCCTAGTGGGGTTCGGAGCATCCTTTTCAGAGTGCATCGCAGGCAGCGCGCTGTGGTGCATTTGTTGTGTGATCCATCGCCCTAGGGGGAAACAGGCTGATCAGCCGGGGAAGAAGAAGCACTACTGTTGACCTCCTTTCTCCCCCTCATCCCAGGAACTAGCTGGAGAAATGAGACAAGGCAGAGGGAGTGGAGTACTAGAGGACTTTCATACGAAGCGCTCCATCAGCTCAGTGACTAAACTTTCTAAAGCACTGCCTTGGAAACCAGGCCCTGGACTGTTGTGGAGATGAGAGAGGTTTTACTGATATAAATTCCACACGCTGCCGAGTCTGACACGCTCAATCCCAATTCCAATAGTCACGCAATCATCTGAACAATGTTTTATGTTCACTTCAAAAGAGCTGTCCAGGTTATATGAGGCTCTTTGCCCAAGACGATATGGAATCGGATTGTCTGCCAGGGAGGTATGCGTTCTTCCACTCTTCAGTTACTTGAGTTCAGTGGGCCTCAGTAGGCCTCTCTGTTGGGGGGCTGAAACAGGGAGGGATGTGGGTCAGACTAACAGATTCCATGGTGTCAGTGACCCTGATATGACAGTCTGTCTGGACACACTGTGACAGCTCAGTGGCGGGGCGGGTCTCCTTGGGCCAGTGAATGGAGACCAGCTGGCCACTTGGTCGGTCGGTCTGTTTGTCTCTTGGCTGTCTCTCCTCACCATCTCCAGAACCCAACAGGACTGGGTAGTGGTGGGCAGAGTAATCTCTCATGGACAGACTACGTAAACATAAAATGGTACCGTAGATCTGTCATGATACAACGGGAAGAGTGAGATAAAGCAGCATTAGTTCCGGTGCTTGGGTTTTTCCTCAATAATGATTTGGACAAATCACAATTTTGCATGTGTTAGCATCTTTCAAATTTCGGAAGGGGAGGGGACATTTGGCCCATAGACTTGCCCGTAACTTGCAAAGAGAGAGGGTGGAGCTCTTCGCTCCGGTTCCGATCCTCGTTCTATCTCTTCTCTTAACACGGTATGGACCCAGAACTTAATCAAGCATCTGACCAATTACGCAATACTTTAGTTCCAGGTTAACCAAGATTATGGGCAGAGAGAGGATTCAGCTCTACCCACACAGGGCAGCCCTGCCCATGCATGGGCTCATTAAGAGTCTGTACAGGCCTTCTGCTGGCTGGAGAAAAGCCCATGTGAGAGTAAGGGGGGGCCTCCATCCTGCAGCCTAGTATGATCGCAACCATGGCCCATGGGCCCCTCCCAAAGCACCACCTTGATCTCAGACCTGTCAACAGGGCTTGTCACATAGCGAATGCATAACTCCACTGGAGAAGTGTGAGCCAGGAGAAAGCTCAGTCTTTGAAAGCTCACAGTGCCATTGTTGAGTTGGAGTTCTAGTGATCGAAGAGAGGAAGCTGGGTAGGGTTTGTTCCCTACAATAATTGGTTATTCTGATCTCACACTATGCACATTCTTCAGTGCACTTACAGATAGGGCTGTGACGCTCATAACATTTTAGATGACAGTAATTGGCCAGCCAAATGACCACAGTCACCGTAATAACCGTTCGAATAGCAAAGACGCACATTTTCTCCTCTCCTCCGCTCCTGACCGCATGTGCTGCCATAGAAATAGAATGAATAGAACGGGCATCCCCATTCAAGTCATGACATAATGGGTGGACTGGCGGCCATTGTAAGTGTACCCATAGGAACAACGCAGGAAGTGTACTGTACCCATCAATATGTGCTGTGATTTGTTGAGTCAACTCATCTGAAATTACAAAAAACACATTCCATAGAATGAGGCATATAAGTTAAGATCATTTGAATGAACATTCTACATTACCATGGAAATTATTGCATCACAATAGCAGGCAGTCATTGCAAGTGTACCAGTCAAATTGCCAGGGTTAGAGGTTCCAAGCCTGTTCTATTCATTATATTTCTATGTGTGCTGCTTCTGCAGGAAGGGGGCATTGCCTAGGCAACCGAAGACTCATTTGCTACAACACCTTGCTTGTTTCAGCAAGGAGCAACAAAGTTTCATCACGTTGTTAAGAGTCCATGTTACCGCACGAATGCATGAATGCCGTTCCAGTCAGCTGGTTCAGTCAGCTGTTCTTTTATTTTCATGACGGTCTTCATCCATTACCGTAAGTTACACGGTTATTGTGCCATACTTACAGAGGCATAACATTTTTTGAGAATTTAAAAAATGTAATAGTCCCACTTGAGAGCATATATTTTATTGAGTCATTTTTATGGTTGTTTTTCACTCTGGTCTGAAATGCAATCTGAAGAGAGCACTCGTAATTTCTACTATAGCATGAGCTTTGGACCAAATATTTGCAATACATTTGAATGATGGACACTACCCTGATATTGAACCCTTGGCCAGGAAGATGGGGTCTGTTGTAGTGAGGAACTGCAGTCAGAACCCATCCTGACATGGACACCGACAGGACAGACAAGTTACAGACAATGGCTGGATAAATGGTCCACAGCACCACTGTCCCCTTTCTAGACTCTCTGGACTTTACTTTTCTCCTCTGGACAAAAGACACTTAACAGCAATCTGTAGCTTTCTGACCATAAAGGTATGGGAGAGCGATTTTAAGTTCAGGCTAGGCGATTTTGCAGAAAGAACAAAGTTACATTAAGTAGGTCAGCAGCCAATAGCACCAGGCTTTATCAGTCCATAAAAATATAAACCTTATTTATTTTTGTACTTATATATTGTATATTGATTTTTTGTGGTGTGGTTTTTATATAGTAATATGCCACTTAGCAGACGCTTTTATCCAAAGCGACTTACAGTCATGTGTGCATACATTTTTTGTGTATGGGTGGTCCCGGGGATCGAACCCACTACCCTGGCGTTACAAGCGCCGTGCTCTACCAGCTGAGCTACAGAGGACCACATCATCATAGCTATATAAGCCCTTGGGCTTCCAACCACACCTACACACCGTTTTATATTTGTTTTTATCTGTATTGTTGTTTATCACTTATTTTCTTTGGTGCAAATAAATTAAACCTACATTCTATAAAGCAGCAGAATCCATCCACTCTCACCTTTACCTGTGGCGAATGGGAAGAAATTGGACAAAGTGATGTGCATTTAAGAGAGTGTGCTGTAATTTCAGCTCACTACCCAGCTACTATCTGCTGGTAACTCAAAGCAGCCTCTGGGAAGGTAGTTGCAAACAGGCACCCGGTTCCAGGATGTGGGCCAAGTTAATTAAATATCAGCTCTATCCTTGAGCAGCATGGAAAATCCAAAGAAAACCACGATTTGATGAGCAATTAGGATTAAAAAAGCCTGCTGTTCAAACACTTTGCTATTTATTATGGGCTTCTACAGAAGCTTATTTGGCCTCATTAGAGACCACTGGTCTCAAAGCTACCTGTGTCACACAGCTGCATGGTCTTCCCACTCCTCATTTATTCAATTCCGTCCTGATTACATCAAATCCCTCACATACTACTCATCACTCCATTCCCATTCCCAAACCCACTCACTACAAATCCCATAAAGAATTCTCGGAGGGATTCCTATTACCTCACTAATTGGCCTTACTTCTGGAGACATTCCGCTAAGCACCACCTGGTTATCTACTCAAATAGGGAGTCTGTTACACGCCAAATGAGTTTACCACCCAGCAATAACCGCTTTACAGAAATATTTTATGAATTCACATGTTTCTATGCTTCAGTCAGTGGGGTCATGAATGTGAACCTGGCAAAGAACTTGGCTCAGTCAATAGCACTTTATAGGAAGCAGAACAATGCTTGGCTCGGATGAGCCTATAAACTGAAACCCTTCTCCCTGAACTGTACTCAATGTGTTTCTCAGAGTTGAGTAGAGTAAAGCTTTTGGCTACACCTGAATAGAGCCTTTCTCTAACTGGATGTTATAACTGGGTCTGATCAATAGACATATCTAGATTTACTGGGACTGCAAAACTTTTGACTTTTGTACAGCTGACCACAATAACTCCAGTATTGATTAAAGAAGACTTTACTGTGCCTTTCGGCAGCGAAATACTTTGCAGGGAAACGACAGTGAGCGAGACATATTATTGACCAATGAAAAATGCATGAGTAGAGCAAGCAGAAGATGAACAATACAATATCTGAATTCCAAATCATAGCCTCTTATTCGACACAGTGTCCTTGATAACTTTGTACAGTACTTTATACTCTGAACTTTGCAGACAGAAGGCCTAATCATGATGCGGATAGGAGACGGCAGAGGTAGATGAGACACAGTATTGGAAAACATTTGCTCTGGTGCCGTCCGTGGCCCAAACCAATATTGGATGCGGGGAGCATAAAGGTCAGCTCCACTGAGGAGCTACAGGTGTGCCTCTAGACCTTTCAGAGCTCCACTGTCTCCTGTTTACCTACGCCTGGCTAGACCCCCAAGGAATCTGAGTAGGGACGTCAAAGGTTCAGGCTGCTGCAATCACTATGGAAGCTCCAGTCTAGAGCGCCTGGTTCAATTGTGTTTAAAAGCATTTTTTTTACTCTCCAGGGTGAAAGTAGTGAGAAAGATGTAATTGTTGTAAAAATGTGTGTGTGCTTAATTTACTATGAATTATTTTGACATGATGAATTACTGTATATTACGCTTATTTCCCTATATTGGGCAGAGTTTGAGTTAATGAAGCTGCATACAAACATGGCTCTTTTTTGCTTTATTGAGTAAGGCAGCTCCAAAATGTTTCAGCCTAGCTCAGTGCTTTCTGTGTTGGTGGGGCAGCCAGCTGAAAATACGTAGCGTAGGTGTTGGTAATGTTCTCTAGTTACGCAGGGATTGGCTCAGTGTTCTGTCACTCATGGGGACACTACGTCACCGCCAAGTCTAAGGGTAATGCTTGAAAATTCAAGCCCTTTGGGTGCTGCCATAGAGTTACATTAGAAGTGCCCATCCAAGAAGGCTCAAGGTCATTGGCCACAGATAAAATGACGTCAAATCACGTTATATCTACAGTAGCTTTGATTGGACTGATCGTGTCAACATCATATCTTCAAAATCTTAGCTAGCAGTCATCATCATGAATCAAGACGACAATCTACTGGCAAATCCTTTTTAATCCTTGTCATATGAAGATAAATAATGAGGAGAAATTATAGATAAAACGTATCGGTGCTCATCGGCCATTGGACATAAACATTACACAAGTTGGATATCACAAATTCAACAATGAGTGGTTTGGAAGGAATCAGTGGCTAACTGCAAGCATTCCAAAGCAATCACTAGCCTGCTATTTAGTGGAGTGGCTGTGTGGTCCCAAGTCTGGGATTAAGGGTCTCTTTTCCCATCTTAAAATGATAAACATTCAACATTGGCCATGCTGTCAATGAAGCATGATTTGTGTCGCTCTCAAAACAACTGTTAACTTGGAACTGCGAAATCTGACTTCAGTGAGTTCAAGACAACTGGGAACACAGGAAAAACAAGCTCCGACTGGGAAAATATGTTTTGAACGGTCATCCAACTCGGAATTGTAAATCCAGAACTCGGTTCTCTTTCTAGAGCTACGACCTGAAGATCACTGACGTCATCATGATTTGACCTTGTTTTTCCCCCCCGCGTTCCCAGTTGTCTTGAAAGTACCATAAATCCAGAGAATGCCAGACTTTGATGACAACGTTTGATGACAAAATTTGCCCACAAAGGACCGCCGCGCTACCTTCCTGTTCAAGTGAGCACAGCACAACAAGGTGAGTCCAAAAATGCATTGTTTGCTGCTCCATCCATTTTCCAGTCCTTTGTGAACGAGGTGTTTCGGGACATGCTTGGTCGCGGTGTGGTGGTCTACATCGATGACAACCTGGTGTATTCCGCTACACGCGCCGAGCATGTGTCCCTGGTTCGCAAGGTACTGGTCCGACTGCTGGAAAATGATCTTTATGCCAAGGCAGAGAAGTGTGAGTTTTTCCAGCAGTCAATCTCCTTCCTCGGATATCGCATTACCAGCACAAGTGTGGAGACGGAGGGAGACCGCATTGCAGCCGTGCGTAATTGGCCGACTCCAACCACGGTAAAGGAGGTGCAGTGCTTCCTTGGCTTTGCCAACTACTATCGAAGGTTTATTCGCGTCCAAGGTAGGGATAGGAGCTGTCCTGTCTCAACGCTCGGGTATGCCACCCAAGCTCCGCCCCTGTGCCTTATTTTCTAAGAAGCTCAGCTCGGCGGAACAGAACTACGGCGTTGGTGATCGGGAGCTGCTGGCTGTTGTCCGAGCTTTGACGGTGTGGAGACATTGGCTCGAAGGGGCGAAACACCCTTTCCTCGTCTGGACAGACCACCGTAACCTGGAGTACATTCGGGCAGTGAGGAGGCTGAATCCTCGCCAGGCCAGGTGGGCCCTCTTCTTTACCCGGTTTGATTTCACACTCTCATACATTCCGGGTACGAAGAACGTGAAGGCAGACACACTGTCTCGGCTGTATGACACAGAGGAGAGGCCCAGAGACAACACCCCCATACTCCCGGCCTCATGCATTGTGGTGCCGGTAGTATGGGCGATGGACGCAGATATAGCACAGATCCATCTCCACCGCAGTGTCCAGCTGGGCTGCAGTACGTGCCTGCGCTTATCCGTGATCGTCTGATCTACTGGGCACACACGTCACCCTCTTCTGGTCATCCAGGTATCGGTCGTACAATGCGCTGCCTGACCGAGAAGTACTGGTGGCCTACCTCGGCTAAGGACGTGAGGGTGTATGTTTCCTCATGCTCAGTGTGCGCCCAGAGTAAGGCATCTAGGCACCTCCCAGCGGGTAAGCTACAACCTTTACCAGTTCCACAACGACCATGGTCTCACCTGAGTATTGATTTTCTCACTGATCTTCCCCCTCCCAAGGTAACACCACTATCCTGGTCGTTGTGGACCGCTTTTCAAAGTCCTGCCGCATCCTTCCTCTGCCCGGTCTCCCCACGGCCCTACAAACTGCGGAGGCTCTGTTTACTCACGTCTTCCGGCACTACGGGGTACCAGAGGATATAGTGTCCGACCGAGGTCCCCAGTTCACATCTAGAGTCTGGAAGGCGTTCATGGAAAGTCTGGGGGTCTCGGTCAGCCTGACCTCTGGATTTCACCCCGAAAGTAATGGGCAGGTAGAAAGGGTGAATCAAGATGTGAGTAGGTTCCTGCGGACCTACTGTCAGGACCGGCCGGGGGAGTGGTCGGTGTTCCTGCCATGGGCAGAATATGCTCAGAACTCTCTCCGCCACTCCTCCACTAACCTAACACCCTTCCAATGTGTTTTAGGTTACCAACCGGTCCTGGCACCGTGGCACCAGAGCCAGACCGAGGCTCCTGCGGTGGATGACTGGTTTCGGCACGCGGAGGATACTTGGGACGCTGCCCACATTCGCCTCCAGCGCGCCGTGCGTCGTCAGAAGGCCAACGCTGATCGCCACCGCAGGGAGGCCCCGGTGTTCGTACCGGGGGATCAGGTCTGGTTCTCGACCCGGAATCTGCCCCTCTGCCTGCCCTGCCGGAAGCTGAGCCCGCGGTTTGTGGGGCCGTTTAAAGTCCTGAGGAGAATAAACGAGGTGACATACAGGTTGTTACTCCCCCCTGATTACCGTATTAACCCCTCGTTTCATGTGTCTTTCCTCAGGCCGGTGGTAGCTGGTCCGCTCCAGGAGTCTGAGGTGCGGGAGGTTCCTCCACCTCCTCCGGACATTGAGGGGGCCCCGGCGTACTCGGTCCGTTCCATCCTGGATTCGAGGCGTCGGGTGTGGGGCCTTCAGTATCTCGTGGAGTGGGAGGGGTACGGTCCGGAGGAACGGTGCTGGGTCCCAAGGCGGGACATCCTCGAAACCTCCCTGTTGAGGGATTTCCACCGTCGCCATCCAACTCGCCCTGCTCCGTGTCCTCCTGGCCGTCCCCGAGGCGTCGGGGGGGGGGGGTACTGTCACGACTTCCGCCGAGGCTGCCTCCCCTCCTGGTTCGGGCAGGCTTTGGCGTTCGTCGTCACCGGAGTACTAGCTACTGCCGATCCCATTCTCATCACTCCACTTGTCATGTCTTGTCAATCACACACACCTGGTGCTCATTCCCCTAATTATTATGTGTATAAGTGTTCCCTCTGTTCCCCTTGTCTTTGTGAGTGATTGTTTGTTGTGAGAGCATGTAGCTCGGTTGAGCTACTATTCACTGTGTTTATGCCAAGGTGGACGTTTTCCCTTGTAATAGTTTTGTTTGACGCTTTGGGCGTTTGATTTATGTCAACGGAATAAACTCTGGACTTCGGTATTTTACCTCCTGCCCCTGACTCCTTCATTCACACCTCGTCACAACTGTTCTGATTTGGTAGTGCACATGTAGCCTATAACCTGTTTTAAAGAAATGTAATCATCGAATATTGTAAGCGCTTTCATTGTCTGCTTATATGCCCCCTTTATTTATCATACGGTTCTGACTTGGTGTACAGAGAGAACACTGTAAGAACGGCCCATGTTCTGAATTCTGTCGCTGCACATTTCAAAAGTGCTGAACAAATAGTTATATTGACTATGTCCATCCTAGCTCGCTCATTAATGTCTTAATCACAATTACGGATTGCCTCTTATCCGCTTGTCGTCCCCTTATGCCATAGGTTGTACATCTTAATTGTCAGTAGAAACCACATTTGTTTAAGCAAGTCAGCCATATCAGCTATGTTTTTTTTTAAAGGCAGTAAATGAGGCTGAATGAACTGTTTCGCTGCCAGACAAGGCTCCGCTGTTAGCCAGGTGTAGCAGTGGTAAGGTGTTGGGACTGTTGTTGGGATTCTGCTGTTGGGACAGCTTTATGTAGGCCCTAACAGTTTGTGGGCACCGTTTGTCACCGTTATAGTGCAATGAATGTATTGTTTAGTGTTGTTTTGTGTCGTGGCTTTGCTGGCATGTATCCCACATGTTTTGTTTGTTTGCCCCACCAAGATTGACATGCTAAAATCGCCACTGATATAGACTAACGTTTTCACCACACAATAATTACATGAAATGCACATCCTTTTTATCTCAGATTGGTGATGTTCGTATTAAAGTTTATAGTCATCATGATCTCACAAAATCGATTGCTTAAAACAGATCAATATCTTTGGTTTACTACCGGTATTTTTGTCATAAGCGCCAGTCCGTAGTTGGACTTAGAACGTAGCTGTCATTTTCAGACCACGACGGCTAGAAAGAAATCTGGCGTTCCTCCCAGAAACGTCTCTGGCCTCACAATTAATGGGTTTGAGGGTTAAGCTATCATTCAAATGAAAGTCAACCCCTGTCGCGTTTTAGAAACCAATGTGAGGTGGTGATTTGTTTAAATAATCCAATCCAAAAAGTGTTGCGTTTCCTTCCCGCATTGGCCATCTACCAAAATCATTTTCACAGAAATATACATTGATAAATTGCTTTGACAGGTTTCATATATCAACAGATATATGCAGCACACCCAAGTTCATTGAGGTTTGTCTGTTAGAAGAGCGCAAATGGTACGTCGCCATGGTTATTGTCCCAGTTCCATTGATTGACAATATTGATGTGAGTGATTAATTTGCACACACTATTGATTACAGTAGAACAAGCTAATCAATTCCAGTCTAGAGCGACCGCTTGGTCAATATTAGTGCGTGTGCAGCTTATAAGGTACTAATTTAGCAGAATACAAGCAATCTGAACAAAAGTGTAACACGTGTGTGTAGGGAGTCACTTTTGTGTATTGGTCTTCAAAATATCACAATTTATTTCAGCATATTGATTATGAATTTGGACATCTAAAACAGGTGTTTTTACACTCTGCCATATATCAAAAAGCCATGACAACAGGCAGCAACAGGCAGCAACAGTATCATTTTCAATGCATGTTTTAGGAATATAAATGATTATTTTAACACAATTTTTCAACAGGATTCTACTTTATCAGGTAAAAACTACTGAATGAGCCCCAAAACGTGCAATGATTTATTGATTTTGATTATAATAGTGAAATCGTGAAAATATGTTTGTCCTGGCTAATCTGAGGCTAAAACAGTCTCCCAAATTTCACAGGATTCTCTGACAAAATCATGCTTCAGAGTGTAAAATGGTTTGAGTGGATTCAACGATGTCATTATGTCACCACGTTGCTTCGCTTGACAGTTTGTTGGCTCATCTGTCTGTACTGTTTAAAGACGATGTGACGGAAAACATGCCGAGCTGTAAAATTGATTAACTCCTCTCACTTTGCGAACAGGCAATGGCTTTGAATCTAACATCATTGTAATCTATGACACCCAGAGATCAACACTCAGCAGTGATGCCACTGTCAAGTCACTGTCTGTCACTGTGCTACATTTTTGATCTGAGACTATGATCCCTCTCTCAGTGTTGACCAACAGATGCTGACATTAGTGTTGTTGACTCAACACTAGAGAGAGCATCTATGTAGTTTAATACAAACCACAACCTGGTCTCCCACCTATCTGTTGACACAGATTGCTTGAGAGATCCTGTGGAGAGAGACACATGCTGGCTCATCCCTCCAATTTCATCTCTCCTCCAACCAACTGCAGTGACGCAGGAATGACGGTTGGACTCACAATTATGACTAAAGACTCTAGATACCAGCAGCACCTAACCACCCCACACCAGCAGCATCCATCCCACACAGTCCCATTCTCCTCTTCCTACATCAGACGTGGGCACCGTATCTCTATGACGAACAACCTTCAGTCCACAAAGCTTGTATGCTGTCTGGGAGGGGGGAATGTCTTTGAATCCATATAACACTGCTGTACTGTGGCAATTACTCAAACAACTGGCCTAACTGTAATCATGGGGAAGCAGCATTTGAAAAGAGTCTGAACTATTGACGCAGAGCCAGAGACAATGATGTACCTTAGCCGATAGCTAATGATGTTTCCTCAAGACACTATCTGTCAGACTTTGAAGTGAAGGCAGCGTGTTGTGGGGGTGGACAAAGAAAACCTTTCCTTCCTCTGTGTTTCACTCTTCAAATAATTTTTCCTGTGTGGATAAAGTCCAACTAAATAATTGTTTCAAACTGATCTCTGACTGATATCAACATCTGATATTGATGTTATACAGTAATGACTACACAGGTTTCAGGCTTTAGGCGAGAGGATTGAGAAGAAACAGCTCTATTCCTTCATGACCAGGCATCTTTCCTTCATGGATTGAAAGCTATTTGACTTCTCCAATCAATTACTAATCATTATTTTAAATTCTCTGATCAAGCGATGACACACATATTACCACATTAATGATGTAGCCTAGGTATGGAAAATAGATATGAAGCTACCATTCAGATTCACTCAGCATATAACATTTTAGAAATACCTTACTACATACAGTATGGCTGGCTGGGAGTGTCAAACTAAATCCTCAGTATGAGACAGATTGCAGGTGCCATTTAAAAGCCCAGCTAAAACCTATGAAAAGGCATTATTATCTCCTCGTCTGGGTAGGGATGGGGGAAGAGTCGCTCAGCTTCTCTCTGATATGAGGGTTGGAGATCTGAACAGGCGAGGTGGCCAGCAGCCATTGAGGGACAATTTGTATAAGGAACTTCACAAATCACTGCTTTGTCAGTTGGGATTGTTCCAGAACGTCTCTCTTTGTTATAGCAGAGGTGACCTGCACAAATAAATGTGTCCCAGTCCAAAGACTCCCGGAGAACAAGATGATTATGAGTGGAAGTCAGGTTCAAGACCACACAGTGGGGAACTATCGTAACATGTCACCTCTGAACTGGTGCCTGTGATCCGCTATCTGTACCCTGTGGCAGGTTGACCATCACCACAGCTATAATGAGAGGGTCCTCTCCTTATTACACCACTTGTTACACTTCACTGTGTTTAACAAAGCACCTAAATGGGACCCAGAGAGACCAAAGGAAAACATTAATATGCCCAGTTTTAATTAGCATAGTAAAGGAAATGGGATTGAGGCAGGATGAAAAGCTTGTATCAGTCATGAGTTTTACTTCAATGTTTTGACTCATATCCCATGCTGAGAAACTTTACGTTGATTATTATTATTAATTTTTTTAACTCACAATGTAACATTATCAGTAAAAAAAAAAGTGACTGTATACCTACTGCATTTTTATGGTATTGAGAGCAGACCAAAGAGCAATTTTATAAAGAAAGTTAATATTAAGCCTTGTATGGTGGTATGATATATTTAGCATTGTGTGGGAGGACTATAATTGCACACCACGGCAGCGAATCAGGGAATTGAGGAACATTGTTGCCTTCCTGATTGACATTGCAAATCTAACATAAAGAAAAAGAGAGTTGCCGTGGCAACAGCTGCCTCCGCAGAGAGAGGTGGTGGCGAGAGCCGTAGGGTCCTTTTCATCGCTGTAATTTACTTTAGCTGTTGACGCACTAAACATAAAGATGTGATTGAGTTAAGATATTCATCCATACAGGCAATAATTAGACATTATGCAGAAATCAGTTGATTGGACTAACTGCCGTTATCAAGGCCATTAAGTTCCAGGCTGATTAAAGAAGCTGGAATAGCATGCTTCTGTCTCTAAAACCCCCTTCAAACCAAGACGAAAAGCTGCCAACCTTTTTCCGCCTATTCTTTACATCTGAAAGGTAATGCCGGTAACAAAGCCTATACTTTTATTTCCGCCAACTGTGGTAGTTATGGATGCAATAATATGTTTAAAAGTCCCGGCAACCCCTACGTCCCCTTTCATCTTACCGTCTTTGACACCATTCAATAATGAACATTCTATTGCTGTTGTCCAACATTAAACTTGTCCTTGTCATTACGAACAAGTATAAACACATAAACGGCATGACATCTCAGCAGCCTGGTCCAAAAAGCAACGTTACCTGTTCTATTTCTTGCACCAAAAAACCTATCCGTTTAAAAATGTATTTAGGATATGTCAATCTAACAAGCCAGGCAACTAAAAGCAACTTTTTAGACAATGTTTTGGTTCGTTGTAAACTAGCTATCTATCTAGCTGGCTAGTCAGCTCATATAATTACCAGAACACATCTGACAACTTTTTGAGTTTAACTGTAGCCAACTTTTTATTCACCATAACAGGAAAATTAACACATTACAAGGTAATTATTTACAAATTATTTACAAGCATGACAAGCTGCTAATTTAGGGTGTGTTGGTAAATTCAATCTGGAGTGCCAGAGTGCCCTCAGAGTGTGCTCTGGGCATTCGTACATAAACTCAAATCAAATGTTATTTGTCACATACACGTGTTTAGCAGATGTTATAGCGGGTGTAGCGAAATGCTTGTGCTTCTAGCTCCGACAGTGCAGTAATATCTAACAAGTAATATCTAAAAATTTCACAACATATACCTAATACACACAAAACTAGTAAGGAATGGAATTTAAGAAAATATACATACAGTGGGGAAAAATAGTATTTAGTCAGCCACCAATTGTGCAAGTTCTCCCACTTAAAAAGATGAGAGAGGCCTGTAATTTTCATCATAGGTACACGTCAACTATGACAGACAAAATTAGAAAAAAAAATCCAGAAAATCACATTGTAGGATTTTTAATGAATTTATTTGCAAATTATGGTGGAAAATAAGTATTTGGTCAATAACAAAAGTTTCTCAATACTGTGTTATATACCCTTTGTTGGCAATGATACAGGTCAAACGTTTTCTGTAAGTCTTCACAAGGTTTTCACACACTGTTGCTGGTACTTTGGCCCATTCCTCCATGCAGATCTCCTCTAGAGCAGTGATGTTTTGGGGCTGTCGCTGGGCAACACGGACTTTCAACTCCCTCCAAAGATTTTCTATGGGGTTGAGATCTGGAGACTGGCTAGGCCACTCCAGGACCTTGAAATGCTTCTTACGAAGCCACTCCTTTGTTACCCGGGCGGTGTGTTTGGGATCATTGTCATGCTGAAAGACCCAGCCATGTTTCATCTTCAATGCCCTTGCTGATGGAAGGAGGTTTTCACTCAAAATCTCACGATACATGGCCCCATTCATTCTTTCCTTTACACGGATCAGTCGTCCTGGTCCCTTTGCAGAAAAACAGCCCCAAAGCATGATGTTTCCACCCCCATGCTTCACAGTAGGTATGGTGTTCTTTGGATGCAACTCAGCATTCTTTGTCCTCCAACCACGACGAGTTGAGTTTTTACCAAAAAGTTATATTTTGGTTTCATCTGACCATATGAGATTCTCCCAATCCTCTTCTGGATCATCCAAATGCACTCTAGCAAACTTCAGACGGGCCTGGACATGTACTGGCTTAAGCAGGGGGACACGTCTGGCACTGCAGTATTTGAGTCCCTGGTGGCGTAGTGTGTTACTGATGGTAGGCTTTGTTACTTTGGTCCCAGCTCTCTGCAGGTCATTCACTAGGTCCCCCCGTGTGGTTCTGGGATTTTTGCTCACCGTTCTTGTGATCATTTTGACCCCACGGGGTGAGATCTTGCGTGGAGCCCCAGATCGAGGGAGATTATCAGTGGTCTTGTATGTCTTCCATTTCCTAATAATTGCTCCCACAGTTGATTTCTTCAAACCAAGCTGCTTACCTATTGCAGATTCAGTCTTCCCAGCCTGGTGCAGGTCTACAATTTTGTTTCTGGTGTCCTTTGACAGCTCTTTGGTCTTGGCCATAGTGGAGTTTGGAGTGTGACTGTTTGAGGTTGTGGACAGGTGTCTTTTATACTGATAACAAGTTCAAACAGGTGCCATTAATACAGGTAACGAGTGGAGGACAGAGGAGCCTCTTAATGAAGAAGTTACAGGTCTGTGAGAGCCAGAAATCTTGCTTGTTTGTAGGTGACCAAATACTTATTTTCCACCATAATTTGCAAATAAATTCATTAAAAATCCTACAATGTGATTTTCTGGATTTTTTTTTCTCAATTTGTCTGTCATAGTTGACGTGTACCTATGATAAAAATTACAGGCCTCTCTCACCTTTTTAAGTGGGAGAACTTGCACAATTGGTGGCTGACTAAATACTTTTTTCCCCACTGTATATGGACAAGCAATGATAGAGCGGCATGGACTAAGATACAGTAGAATATTATAGAATAGAATGCATTATATACATATGAGATGAGTAGTACAAGATATGTAAACATTATAAAGTGACTGTTATGATGAGTTTCTCGGGTATCAAGTAATTCATGATGCAAGAAAATATTTAACACTTAGATAGAGAGTTCATACAAATATTTAATAGTCGGTACCGGGTTCGTTAACAACATCCGAACTAACAGACAAAGAAAACCTATGAGAAGGCATTATTATCTCCTTGTCTGGGTAGGGATGGGGGAAGAGTCGCTCAGCTTCTCTCTGATATGAGGGTTGGAGATCTGAACAGGCGAGGTGGCCAGCAGCCATTGAGGGACAATTTGTATAAGGAACTTCACAAATCACTGCTTTGTCAGTTGGGATTGTTCCAGAATGTCTCTCTTTGTTATAGCAGAGGTGACCTGCACAAATAAATGTGTCCCTGTCCAAAGACTCCCAGAGAACAAGATGATTATGAGTGGAAGTAGGCTAGTCGATAACTCACAGTGAAGCTTAAGGGTCATGGCAGTCAGGTTCAAGACCACACAGTGGGGAACTATCATAACATGTCACCGCTGAACTGGTGCCTGTGATCCGTTATCTGTACCCTGTGGCAGGTTGACCATCACCCTGGTCCTCTGTAGCTCAGCTGGTAGAGCATGGCGCTTGTAACGCCAAGGTAGTGGGTTCGATCCCCGGGACCACTACACCAAAAAAAAAATGTATGCACGCATGACTGTAAGTCGCTTTGGATAAAAGCGTCTGCTAAATGGCATATTATAAAACCTCTCAGTTTATATACCTCATGTGACACGTTTCTTCAACAACATCTGTTAACCATCATTTGGCACTCCCTTCTTTGATGGTATTACCCTGTACCCAAATCAGTATATCATGTCCATCAATCATTCTAAGATAAACCTCAGTAATCTCCCTCGACATAATGGAATCCTTGGTATTCAGACTGTGCGGCGCCCAGAATCACTTATCTACTAAATTTAACCTGGTTCCCACAACACTATGAAATGACATCATAACGGTGACTGTAAACATAATTAAAGTGACTAGTGTTCCATTTCTTAAAGTGGCCAGTGATTTCAATAGGCAGCAGCAGCCTCTAATGTGCTAGTGATGGCTATTTAACAGTCTGATGGCCTTCAGATAGAAGCTGTTTTTCATTCTCTCGGTCCCAGCTTTGATGCACCTGTACTGACCTCACCTTCTGGATGATAGCGGGGTGAACAGGCAGTGGCTCGGGTGGTTGATGTCCTTGATGATCTTTTTGGCCTTCCTGTGACATCGGGTGCTGTATGTGTCTTGGAGGGCGGGTAGTTTGCTCCCGATAATGCGTTCGGCAGACCGCACCACCATCTGGAGAGCCCTGCGGTTGCGGGCGGTGCAGTTGCCGTACCAGGTGGTGATACAGCCCGACAGGATGCGCTCAATTGTGCATCTGTAAAAGTTTGTGAGGGTTTTAGGTGCCAAGCTGAATTTCTTCAGCCTCCTGAGGTTGAAGAGGCTCTGTTGCGCCTTCTTCACCACACTGTCTGCGTGGGTGGACCATTTCAGTTTGTCGGTGATGTGTATGCCAAGGAACTTGAAGCTTTCCACCTTCTCCACTGCGGTCCCGTCGATGTGGATAGGGGGGTGCACCCTCTGCTGTTTCCTGAAGTCCACGATCATCTCCTTTGTTTTGTTGACATTGAGTGAGAGGTTATTTTCCTGGCACCACACTCCCAGAGCCCTCACCTCCTCCCTGTAGGCGGTCTCGTCATTGTTGGTAATCAAGCCTACTACTGTTGTGTCGTCTGCAAACTTGATGATTGAGTTGGAGGTGTGCTTGGCCACGCAGTCATGGGTGAACAGGGAGTACAGGAGGGGGCTGAGCACGCACCCTTGTGGGGCCCCAGTGTTGAGGATCAGCGAAGTGGAGATGTTGTTTCCTACCTTCACCACCTGAGGGTGGCCCGTCAGGAAGTCCAGGACCCAGTTGCACAGGGCGGGGTTCAGACCCAGGGCCTCGAGCTTGATGATGAGCTTGGAGGGTACTATGGTGTTGAATGCTGAGCTATAGTCAATGAACAGCATTCTTAAATAGGTATTCCTCTTGTCCAGATGGGATAGGGCAGTGTGCAGTGTGATGGCGATTGCATCGTCTGTGGATCTATTGGGGTGGTAAGCAAATTGAAGTGGGTCTAGGGTGACAGGTAAGGTAGAGATGATATGATCCTTGACTAGTCTCTCAAAGCACTTCATGATGACAGAGGTGAGTGCTACAGGGCAATAGTCATTTAGTTCAGTTACCTTTGCTTTCTTGGGTACAGGAACAATGGTGGCCATCTTGAAGCATGTGGGAACAGCAGACTGGGAAAGTGAGAGATTGAATATGTCCATAAACACACCAGCCAGCTGGTCTGCGCATGCTCTGAGGACACGGCTAGAGATGCCATCTGGGCCGGCAGCCTTGCGGGGGTTAACATGCTTAAATGTCTTAATCACGTCAGCCATGGAGAAAGAGAGGCCACAGTCCTTGGTAGTGGGCTTCGTCAGTGGCACTGTGTTATCCTCAAAGCGGGCGAAGAAGGTGTTTAGCTTGTATGGAAGCGAGACGTCGGTGTCAGCGACGTGGCTGGTTTTCCTTTTGTAGTCCGTGATTGTCTGTAGACCCTGCCACATACATCTCATGTCTGAGCAGTTGAATTGCGACTCCACTTTGTCTCTATACTGATGTTTTGCCAGTTTAATTGCCTTGCGGAGTGAGTAGCTACACTGTTTGTATTCTCCCATATTCCCAGTCACCTTGCCATGGTTGAATGCGGTGGTTCACACTTTCGGATTGGCGCGAATGCTGCCATCTATCCACGGTTTCTGGTTAGGGTAGGTTTTAATACTCACATTCAGAGCGTTGTCCGATTGTCCATTCGTAAATTCAGAGCGTTTCGCTCGCGGAGCGTTCCGAGCGCACACTGGACGCTCTGGCCGAGGAGTAGGGTTGATCCGAACGTTCTGACCACACAACGGCAGTCAAGCACCCAAGCTAACTTGCTAACATTGGCTAGCTTGCTAGCTACTTCCAGACATAAATGAAAGAACACCTCACTCTGACCATTTTACTCGCCCTAGCAGAGCTGGTTAGGCTGTTTTCATGTTATCCAGAGCATTGGTGACTGTAACTGTGCTGCTGGCAACAATTTAATTACACTTTTTTGCCGACTTTTACTGACACCGGCCATATTCAACTGGTGTTGAGCGTTTGTAAATGTGAAGAAATTAATGCAGTGCATTCTGTAGGAGGAATTTAGAACTTGCTGCTGTCACATCAGGTTACCAAGACAACGGTCGCTACAACAGGGTCAAAGTTGAATGTCTCTTGCTCCTTGTCGGCTAAGCAATGGCTATATAAAAGACGAATGCAGACAAGAAAGAGGTGAAAATGGGGCTGTTTGAAAGGGGATCATATGAACATTGCCCAATTGTTTTTACAGGCAACATACCGTGAATCCTATGTGAAAGGTGTATCAGGGACAAAAAAACGGGTCTGTTGGTCAGACCAGCAAAGTCAGACAGGCCATAGGCTATAGGCTACGGTGGAGTCATTACCATCAACATTTTGCACATTTGTTCATTTATAAATGCCATGTCTAGCTAAATCAGGGCTATTCAACTGTAGGCCTGTGAGCCAGATCCCGCCCTTTTATCAATTTAGACTGGCCTCTTCTGGACATTAATAAAAAGATCGGGGGGAAAATCTTCACATAAATCTAACATTTATTGCCAAAATGAGAAGTACAACTAGGCCTATTAGTGTGGCTTCTAGCGGTTTTAGCAGTTTCTAGCGCAAATGTTGCATGTTGATAATTTTTTTGGGGGGCCATTGAACGGTTAGGGCCATAAGCTATTATGACCCCTTGCCTGAAGACTCTCAAGAACACGTACGTGCCTTCTGTTCTCTCTATGATGCTTACAAGCCGCACCAGACATGTTAGAAAGGAGTATGAGAAAAAGTGCTCCTAATGACTGAGGAAAATGAATTCAAAGTAGGGCTGTCCCGGGAAAAAAAAGATCTTGGTCGACCAAGAGTCGTCTGTTCTTTCGATCAATAAATTGGTTATAATAAACTCTGAACACCGTAACACATGTGACAGCAAAATGGATGCAGAGGACGTGACAAATAAACTCGAAACGGGAATGTTTCCTGGTTGCTCAGGAGGTAAAGGGAAAGTCAGATGTGTGGAATAAATTTGACTAGTTGTGAAAAATACTGGAGATCAAGAAAAAGAAGGTAAGGAGAAAACGCTGTGTCATATTATGTGTGCCAAACAGGTGCTGTATAGATTACAATAGAAAACAATTCTGACCGTTTGGAACAATGTAAATGACATTAAATAAATGATAAGTGTACCAGACAGTCTGTTATAATGTTTTTTTGTTAAGTATTTGTTATAGCAAAGACTAAAAACTGTCGCATTCATTCGTGAATGCAATTTCCGAAATGGAACGGTTTATTTATTGTTTAAGCTAATTATTCAAGGCTTGCTTTATTTTATTTTAAAACTAAAATGCTTGATTGCATTTCAAATCATGAATGACTGGTATGCTGTGTGATTACATGAACAAATGAATGATTGATTCAGCCTATATAAAGTATTGAAATAGTTACGGTATTAAGACTAAAAAGGATGCGCTCTTACGCCTACAGCTCAATTGTGGTTATACAAGGCCTATACTAAGCCTACTAATGATAATGATGTGACTAGGGCCTCCCGAGTGGTGCAGCGGTCTAAGGCACTGCATCGCAGTGCTAGAAGCATCACTACAGACCCGGGTTCGATCCAGGGTTGTATCACAACCGGCCGTGATCGGGAGTCCCATAGGGAGGCGCACAATTGGCCCAGCGTCGTCCGGGTTAGGGGAGGGTTTGGCCGGGGGGGGGGGGCTTTACTTGGCTCATCGTGCTCTAGCGAGTCCTTGTGCAGGCTGACCTCGGTCGTCAGTTGAACGGTGTTTCCTCTTGTGTTTCCTCTGACACATTGGTGCGGCTGGCTTCCGGGTTAAGCTGGCGGGTGTTAAGAAGCGCGGTTTGGTTTCGGAGGATGCATGGCTCGACCTTCGCCGCCTGTTGGAGAGTTGCAGCGATGAGACAAGATCAAAATTGGGGAGAAAAAGGGAGTAAAAAAAAAAAAAAAGATAATGACATTACTTATGATAATAGTAATAATAGCCATAAGAAGGAGATCAAGAAAAAGGAGCGTGTCACGTCTCCTCCTGTTGCTCCCCTCCGACGCTCTGATTCGCCGGTCTACTGAGCCACCGGTCTGAACGCACCACCTCGGCAACACAGGAATGGAAACCCAACGCACCCTAATCACCTCCAGCGCACCTGCATCTCATCATCTCATCACCACCACTATAAAGCCCTGGACTGTTCAGTCATTGTTGTGTGTAATTGTTAGCGTCGTGTCGTTTACTCGCTCCTTGTTATTCTCTTTCTCATTGTTAAGTAAACCTTTACCTTGTTGATTCCTGCGTCTGCGTTCTGCCTCTTCGTATCCTCAGTACTCGTCACAGAGCGATATTGTTGTTAATATTATGACATTTGGAACAGTGTAAACTATAAATTATAAATAATACCAGAGAGGCTGTTCTAACGAAAAAAAGTGTAAAGCCTTTATTACAGCAAAGCAACGATTAAAAACAGCCAATGTGAAATTCTTTACTTGACATGTCGTTGCGTGAGGCTTGGTGCTCATGGAATCAGTATCTATTAAACAGACACTCAAACAGGCAACAAAAGCAGGATCTGTCTTATTTATATAGATATTTATGGATGATTTATAAAGCCAGGCACATTTAACAGTTAGGCTATTGATTATAGACCTAATTAAGTTGGGTTTTCCGCTCTCCTCATAAGGCAAGGGCTGTTTTCTCTCCTCATTCTGCTGCTGCCTCTGGCATTGTTCTCAACACCAATATGCTGGTTAACTTTGCTATTATGCACATAGCAACATGGTCTAGGAAAAGGCGCCAATTCAACAGCGCACTGATGTGTTTCTGAACCACGGACAGCGACCACTATCCAACGAAGGAAAAAGTGCATTTGTTATAAAATAATATTATTTTTATTAGTGTTGGACCATTGTTCTTATGTTATATAACCATATACACTTTCAGTAGCACATGTCTTAGAGTGATGGACTGTACCATCCCTGTGGCCTCCACTATGGATCAGTCCACTGAGACAGGAGCCAATCAGACAGGTGTCTTGTACACCATGATTTTTTTTTTTGCTACTGCTCGA